ATTTTTATCCCGACTACGACGAAGTTAACCGCAGCCGGCCTATCAGAGTTGATATTGGACTATGTGGTGGCCCAGCATGGGTTGCCAGAGAATATAGTATCGGACAGGGGATCGAAGTTTACCTCCAAGTTCTGGAAGAATTTGACCGATAGTCTCGGAATAAGACTACATCTCTCTACTGCATATCATCCACAGACTGACGGACAGACCGAACGAACCAACCAGTCTTTGGAACTGTATCTTCGAATCTTCACCTCCTATCAGCAGAACGACTGGTCAAAGCTACTCGCTCGAGCTAGCTTTGCTTACAACAACACCCAGCACTCTGCGATAAACAAAACCCCATTCTATGCGAACTATGGATATCACCCTCGTTGGGCTGAAGAGATAAAGGCTAGCGAGGTCGAAGTGCCCGCTGCTACGGTGGTGGTAAAAGATTTGACTGAAATACACAAAGATTGTATCGAAGGAATTGAGAAAGCTAATGAGAAGTACGCCGAAGGATACAATAGGAAACACCGGACTACGCCGAACTTCGCGGAAGGAGACCTAGTGATGCTGTCGTTAGAGAATATTAAGACGAAGAGACCAATGAAGAAGTTAGATGTTAAGCAAAGTGGGCCGTACAAGGTAGTACGGCAGGTAGGTTCTCATGCTTGTAAATTGGAATTACCAGGAACGATGGCAGGTATCCATGATGTATTCCATGTCTCCTTGCTCCGTCCTTATCACCCTCCAATATTTCCTGGTCAGCAAGCTGAGCCACCTGGGCCAGTAGAAGTAGACAATGAGGGAGAGTCTTGGGAGGTAAAGGATATTGTGGACTCTAGAGTAAATAAGAGGTCAGGAAAGTTAGAGTACTTGGTAGAGTGGTTAGGTTACGAAGGAACAGACGATTCAGTATCATGGGAACCAGTGGAGAACGTCGATGGAGCTGATGACATATTGGCGAAGTTCCACGAACTTCACCCTACTAAGCCGAAGGAAGGGCGACTGCGAAGGGCTAGGAGATAGAACGTACTGCATACAACATAGGATTACAGCTACGTACCGCTCACTTGTCCTTACTCTTACCCTTACCTTTTCCTTTTCCTTTCTCCTTCGATCTACTCGGTCCCGCGGGATTGGTGTGGAGGCTACCGATGACCGAAGGTAGATCGAGAGTCTCAGACGGGAACGCAGTAGAGAGAGAAGCATTCCATGCCCGATTCATAGCCCCAAAGAAGTCACCGAAGTCCTGGACATCTCGAGCAGCTTGCATGCTCGGGGTCCTCCACAGAGAACGTATGGTCCGTAGACACTCGAAGGGAAGACTGAGGAGGTCGAGAGCAGTCTGGGCGGAAGCTGGGACACGAGAATTACTACGGCGACCTAACCAGTCAAGGGACGGTGGTGGCTCATACGCCATAGGAGTGACTAGGAAGGGGGTGTCGAACAGTCTTCGGCGAACATCGGCTATCTCAGTAAGGCTTCGGCGAGAGACGGCCGCTAACCTTGTCCTTGCTTCGTCGTCCAGAGCCCCAGTGTTGACTACATCTACTAACGCCGCAGTAAGATTGTTTAAAGCGTTAGCTTGACGAGAAGAGAAGTCAAGCAGGAGAGATGTATCATTTCGGGCGGCCTCAAGCTGAGTAGTGAGACCGAGGACGAGAGAACGATAAGTGGCGAATTCCTTTTCGTCCTCAGGAATACGGACGTCCAGGGAGATACGAGGGTGGACAAGGGACAACCGGGGAGCAGAGGGACCAGCACGCTGAGTATCTTCATTTTCCACATCACCATCATTGAAGGCAACCTCCTTCTCTTTAGATTTCCCTTTTGATTTCTTTAAAGAAGACTTCGGTGTCTTCTGGGGAGCAGAGGGAGGGGTGACGGGAGGGGCCGCCGAAGTGGCCGGAGTTCGGGTGCTGTGAGCCGGGGGAGAAGCTACCACTGGAGAGGACGGACGTGGCGCCGAAGGACGAGAGGCCGAAGAACGAGAGGCCGAAGGACGGGAGACCGAAGGAGCAGAGGCCGAAGGACGGCGAGAAGACGAAGGAGGAACAGCCGGGAGACGTGATGGGCCGGCCACAGGAGCGAAGGGCGACGGCGACGGAGGCGACGGGCGGAGGTCCGGCGAAGTACGGCGAACCGACCGGAGAGACGAAGGAGGTACCCGCGAGCGGGGGACAGACGCTGGAGTCTGAGGAGGGGGGAAGGGAGAAGCGTCGAAGGGACGGGGCGGGATGTCCCGGGCAGAGGAAACGGGACAGAAGGAGCAGGGGCCAGACGTGCATGAAGCACAACGGAGGGCCTTGTTGTGTGGCCTGACTGCCTTGAGGCAGGGCCAGTTTGGACGATTATACGTGATAATCTCACGTCTACTAATTAGCAGGAGTAACTTCGGCGTAGTACGAATAGGTGGACTCACCGGCAACGATCACACGCTTCGTCAACACCAACCGCGATCCAACGACCAGGCTCGGACTTCATCTTCTCCCACTTCACCCGTTTGGGCGAAGGCTCCCCTCTGGGAGAAGGGGGGGGAGCAGCGACGGGGGCGGCGGGAGCAGGACCGGCGGCGGGAGCAGGACCGGCGGCGGCAGCAGGAGCGATGGCGGCGGCAGGGCGGGCGGCAGGGCGGGCGGCGGCAGCAGCGGCAGCAGCGGCCGGAAGAGGAAGAAGAAGAGGAAGAAGAAGAAGAGGAAGAAGAAGAAGAGGAGAGGGAACGGCGTCGTTTCTGGCCCACAATTTGAGCAGGGGGAGGGGCAGGAGCGGCTGCGAGTTAGCAATGTCTTGGAGTGGAGAGCTAAAGAACAGATAAACAAGGCCAAGTTCGGCGAAGGTGTGAGAGGTTGGACGAAGAACTCACGCTCAGGACTATCTACGTTGTTGTCCTCTACACTAACCGCCACCATATCATCATCCGAGTGTTCCTCTAACTCGGTTTCACCCTCCGACACGATTCTATCATCCTCATCACTATAATCACCCCCTTTTCCTTCGAAGTCTGACTGATCGTCCGACTCCGAACCACTGAGCGAGTCCTGGTCGGAGGAGGACGGAGACTCACCAGGACGAAAGGCGGGCGTCCTGCGGCGAGGGCTGGCGGCAGGAGGGGAAGCAGAGCGAGAACCAGGAGGAGGAGAAGCAGAGGGAGAACCAGCGGGAGGACCGGCGGGAGGAGAAGCGGAGCGAGGAGGCGGGACATCGCCAGACGGCTCCCCCAAAGAGAGGGTGCCGAGGCCGAGGGAGGAGACTTGGCGAGATCTGTCGCCGAAGGAAACTGAACATCAGCCAAGTCCGGCGAAGTAAGGTAAGTGTCGAGGAATAACTCACGAGCAGACGACACCATACCACCAAAGTTCCTCATGGCGGCGAAAGGGTTAGATGTAGGAGTAGAAGGGGCCATGACGTTAAGATATTTAAATGAGAATAAAACTCGAGGCGATGATTCAAGGTAACAAATCTGTTTTCTAGGTAAGAGAGATAGAAAGTTTTGAAAGCAGATGGGAAAAAGAGAGAAGGTCGACGAACTGCTCAGTATTTAGTATAATCAAACCTAACCCCTCGTCGTCAACATGCAGCAAACTTCGCGTTTCATCAACAAAAGGCAGCGCAGGGACGATCAAAATTCCCACGCTATAGTGTCTCATCTCAATATAAGCGAGGGTTACTTCGACAAACAACGGTGTTGTTCGGCTGCCATTCAGGAAGCGTGTCTCACCTACAAAAGACACAGGGCTTCTTACGGCAAACCTCGACGAAGTTAGGGGAGTCTCATTGTCGGGTTCTGGAGTGAAAGGAGGCCCAACTACGAAGTGCGGCGCAAAGAGCAGAAGAGTGGAGGATGGTCATGGGGAGGGAGAGAATGGGGTACTACGCTGCTAAGTTCTCTTGCCACGACAGAGGTGTAATCGCTCACGAGGACGTTCGCGGCTAAAGAAGGGGGCGACTGTCACGAACTACGTCGTGACACCTCGATTACTCCACCAACAATGACCCTCCTTTGGCCATCAAAACCCCATCACGCCTTAACCTCTTTACTCTACACGTAACTCAGGACTTCTGACACCAAGTACGGCGAAGTTAGACGGGGTTAGGCTAAGTAGGGACAATGGGAGCAGAAGTACGGCGATGTTAGGCGGGGTTAGGCTAAGTAGGGACAATGGGAGCAGAAGTGCGGCGATGTTAGGCGGAGTTAGGCTAAGTAGGGACAATGGGAGCAGAAGTGCGGCGATGTTAGGCGGAGTTAGTCGAAGGAGGAAGAGGATGGCCGAGGGCTCGGGGAAGTTGGACGAAGTGCGTTGAAGTACGTCAAAGCGCGAGAGGGTTGGATGAACGTCTAGGAGGAGTAGATAATATTAGCTGAGAAGATCGCTGAAGTTCTTCAGCGATCCTTGATTGTTGTCAGTAGTAAAAGACAGATAGAGATAGCTATAAATCAAGATACATCGCCATCAGTAGATCAAAACCCTAGTTAGAGTAACTACGCCGAAGTACGCCGTAGTTACACCCCTTTCGACGTCTGCGCCCTCCTGGTTGGGTGAGACATCGACTCAGAGCGTGAAGTTAGCCGAGGTTCGTCGACCGTCGGTCTATTAAGAAGTAGTTGTTCGACGGCCGTGACACACATAATCCGAAAACCGGTCCGAAACCCACTCTAGGGCTGTCAATATGCATGATACACATGATCTCTATGCATTTCATGCATCCTGAACTCTGCAGGATCATTCTACATGTCTTACATCTTCAGAATCTGCAATATTGATGAAGTGTAGGGATTTGGGTGAGTAGTGTAGGTATTTGGGTGAGTAGTGTAGGGAAATGGGTGAAATGGCCAAATTTCCGTCGGGATTAATTCGAGTTCCGTCGCGATTATACAGTTTCGCTCCACTTTGGCTCACCACCAACGTTGGTGTTTTACCCTCTCTTCTATTCACCATCTCCATTCTGCCCATGTTACCGTTACGGTGTCGTTTACATACATAAAGCTACGGAATACGGAGGAGAAGCAGAAGATGTCTCTTTGGACTCATACCAGAGCTTGGTACACCTACACCATAGCTGCAGAGGTCTGGTCAGCATGTGGGGTTGTAAGTCTTCCTCTGTTCGACTATAAACAAACACATCTTTCTCTGTCCCTCCCAAGTGCTTGGACTCTCGGAATGTATAGTAAGGACTTGTGATTCGTAATCTATATCCTTACCTAGCACTCAGAGGAAACAGGAGCTTGACATCTGCTTCTTTCTTAGCACGCTACCGAACTGACCCATTCTTCGTGCATCCTTGAAGAAACTGATACATAGGCAATCTTTTGGCCTATCACCCTCGAACGTACGTCGACTCCTCTCTTTTTCCCACAACGATCTCTTCTCATTAACATTCATCATCACCCCTAATAACTTGCGGTCATTCATCGAATTTCTTTTTCTCACCACCCTACCCCACCTTATCACAAGGGAAAGCAGAAACCTTGCGGCAGCGAGACTTGTGTGTCACAACGTTCTGATCCAGAGATGAAGTGTCCTGGTCGGGATGAAGGGAGAACACTAATAATCAGATATGGCAAGAGAGATAGGTTATCTAGCCCCCGACTATATCACACCATGCACCCTTGTGGACCGACCGGCATTGGAGACTGCGTGCAAAGCTAGGATATTGGGAATCATGGTGGACACTGCTTCATTCAGGTGAGCACTTACCTTCCTCCCTCCCCCCTCCCTCTTCCCTTTTCCCTTGACCAGAACCTCCTGGTCATGGGTGAGAAGTTCGTCATACCTCGAAACTCCTTCACTGTTGCCGCCCGCTGAGCTACACCTGTGCTGAAGCATACTGATTCGCAGCATGTACGTCAAGTCAATATCGGTCTTCATACAAGCTTTGTGTATCATCTCAGTAGGATCTCTGGCAGATTCTCGTAAGTTCTTTTCCTATGACATGACCACACCTCAATGACCTTCTACACTAAGCGGCCATCGGCGGTTCCAAATGCTTGGAAGGGTGCTCGTATGTCTCTTGAACTCCATATAATCTGAGTTTGCTGTTAGGGGACTGCAGGGAAGACAAGAGTGACTGAGGAAGGGAGGAAGGAGGAGAGGAGAGAGAAAGGACAGTACACCATACTGAATATCAGCTTTCTGGCGAAAACGTCTTTTGGTCATCTTCGCACTCACCGGCTCCATATCAGCCATCCTTCTATTCCTCTTTCCCTCTTCCCCCAATCCCTCTCTTCCGATCTTAGCGGCACTGCTGAACATCCTCGGTAGTGTCACCTACTCCACCACTTTGGTATGTAGCAACGCATTTCTTCCTTCTCTTGCCAGAGAGGATCCGGTCGTCAGAGCAGCATTTAAATCGCTCCAAAGTTCCGACCCCTCTCTTCCACTCGAAACTGATGACGAAGAAGGGAATATTATACCTCCTTTACTTGATGACGCAGTGAGAGCCATCTCTACACAGGATTTAGCATCATCGGATCCCGCAATCTTACCAACTCCGACTCATCCAACGTCTCTTCCTGCCGATATATCGGAAGAGGGACGAGACATTCAGACGGAAGATGAACAACACGCTCAAGCATTGCTCAGTCTGACTACCTCACGTATATCAAGTACAGCCTACGCTCTCGGTTTTTTATCAGGTGTATCAGTCCTTTTACTGCTTACTATACCCGTATTGAAATTACATGGGTCCACTTCCGCCCTTCGATTAGCCATCGGGATCAGTGGATTGTGGTGGGGGATCTTCACTATACCAGCTTGGATCGGGCTTCCTTCTGGCTCTAAGAAGGGGAATGATGTTGGCGAGAGTAGCGGAGGAAGGTTGGGCTGGTTGGGAATGGGATGGAGGAGAGTGGGGGATATGATTAGACCAAAGGAGATGAGAGAATTACGGGATTTATTCGTCTTGTTGGTAGCTTGGATCTTTCTTTCTGATGGTGGGTTCTGTCTGTTATCACCCCCTATTCCCTTGGATCCAATCTTCACGTTCTTGCTCTGTGTCCATACCCTTCGTCATTCGTTTGATTAGACGTTTCCCTACGACGTTCTAACGTATCAAGGCGTACACCGATCATAGCAAAAAAGAGCTGCAACGCATCAGGCATTTTAAACTTTCATCTGACGACTAGGCTTCCACACGACAACCTACACTGCCATCCTCTACGCCTCTTCGACCCTCCGAATGTCCCCAGCTGGGATCATCGCTATCGGAGTCCTTGTTCAGCTCTCCGCCATCTTCTCTTCCCTCCTCGCTCCAAAATTACAAAGACGAATGGGATGGTCAAACTTGCATTTCTTGTTGAGTGTCACGGTGCTCGGCTTGGTGTTGCCGCTGTACGCTGTGATTGGGCTGGTGTTGCCTTTTGGAGGGTTGAGGACGCAGGGAGAGATGTATGTCGCTGCCGGATGGTTTGGGCTGGTGAGTGTTTTTCACCTCTCTTATGTGTTCGTGGAGATCACGAGTTTACCCATTCACTCCACTTTGTTTAAAGCTGGTGCAGCTGGTCCTGGTTCTGAATAATCTGCTGGGCAGTAGAGTCATGTCCTGCTTTTCCCAAGAGGATGGTGCTAAGCCCGAGGGAAACATTGACGCTGACGATGACAGCTGTATGGACCATTTAGCTCGTACTCTCGTGCCGTCTACGCCGAGCTCATACCACCTGTAGGTCGTCCCTTCTATCGTCTCTCCAACTCTCTTTCCCCTCTGATTCGTTGTGGCTTGTTCTGCAACATGAGAGCTACTTTGAATCCATCGTGTGAACCACTCAATACGACCACACATCAAGGTCAACTCTATGATTACGTCAAATCGAGTTGAAATATCAGAACCACGAATCATCGTTTTTCTCTCTATTTGCCCTCACCGACAAATCAGCCTCGTTCATCGGACCTCTAGTGGTAGGCTTGATAGCGGATACGACAGGAAACATTCGATTAGGATTTGTCTTTCTTCTCATCATGCTCTCCGTGCCTATTCCAGTGCTCTTACGAGTGAACATATCACGAGGTAGAGAAGACGCCTTACGATGGTCTGAGCGTCGACGAATAAAAGTAGAAGAGAGGTTGAATGGGGAACGAGTGGGTTTATTGAGCGAGTGAGATCTATCTTATATCTTAATATTTTCTCTCCTCCTCTTTCTTATCTTATGCTTTAGCTGATGTGTTGATGGGACCTGAATACTAATCCTCTCCTTGTTCTTTCATTCAAGTATTCATCATTCCGAATGTATAACACCAACGTGTTTCGATGTTGCATGGCCAACACGTTTCCCCAACCAGTCATATACGAGTAGACTGACATCTCAATCTGTACTCGTGTCTTCACCGTGGATAGTGACGTGTGCGATAAGTTATTTGAGAGGGAGGAGAAGAAGCCAAAGGAGGTATTGTAATTGTGATTTTGTGAAACACGTTGATCTAGTGCCCCCCCATAATCACATTGCCCCATTTCTCTCTTCATCGTCTTCTCTTCCTTCTCTACTTGCCACCTTCTCACTTCTCTTCATACCTCTCACATCACCATCTCTCTCGACGTATGGAACAGCGTCGACTCACAAGTCAAACGAAAAGGGTTGAACAATAATCTACCTTCGAAATCAAATTCCTCCTTTGGCACACACGTCTTTTCTTCCCAAAGGATTCTATCCTATTTCACTTTCATACAGTATACCAAAGGCTACTTGATACACATACGATCTTACGAAAGGGGATAAGCGACAGTACAGAGAAGAGAGACAATAGAGAGCGGGTAGAAGTAGAGGAAAAGGAAGAGAAAGATTAATCAGAATTTCGAAAAAAAGAAACCAAAGGAGGTGAATCTCAGATTGGTTGTATAAGATGGCGACGAAGACGGTGAGACAACCAAGAACAGTACCGGGAGAGAGGGAGAAAGTGAGGAATAGGGGGGTTAATACAGTTCGAGGTGAGTTAATTGTCTCTTCATAGTCATCTCACTCTCATTGCTCGATCTCCATTGGATCTCATCACTTGTATCTTCTCCTAATCCAGTCGGGATAGAGTGTGTGAGGGTGAGAGTGAGAAGTATGAATCAGATGAATTCCCTTCTGAGTCTATTCTCCCAAGGGCCTACAAGAGAATTGAAGAGTGGAAGGGATGCGTAAATGTCTAGAAACTTTTGAGATTTCGGAAAGTACCAAGAGGTTATTGTCAACCAAAAAGATATCCTTTGGGACAACAATACATCCTCTTTTTCTACTCCTTTACACACTTTCCATCCTCTACGTTCATCCATCTTCCTCTGCTATCCATCACTCCTTCTTGGAAATCCAGTTTCTGAAAGACTCAAACCATTCTATTCTGTTGCCACCTTGTTCTTTTTCACCTCTACTTCCTACCAATTCGGGTGCCGGTCACCTACACCTCTCCAAATCGCACGTACACCTCTCATCTCTCGTAAATTATCGGTAGATCAAACCCTTCCTTCAATCTCATCTCTCCAATACCAGGAATTCAGCGCCATCTCGCTGAACTTGAGTGGATGAATCAGTTGAAGTGACGACTAGAATTTTACAGTGAATTGAAGAAGTGTCGAGGATCATTCATAAACTATGGGAAGTGTAGATATGCTAACACCTTCTCTCCCGACTTTTGTTCTTTCTTCAACATATGATCCTCCTTCTTCACGTACATGGTCACGAACTCGTTCTTTCTCCGCACCACCTACTATCGAAAATGGTATTCCACCTACTACGGCTTCAATCTACAATACTACTCTTCCTCCTACTTCTGTCAATGTAAATCGACCTCATTTATCATTCCCTCCTTATACTGCCTCTCGACAATTGATCAATCTTTTAAATCCACCCAATAACAATGTAAACGACCCACGGATGTTCTCAAATCTTGTTAATCCTCTTTATCCTTTACATCCAACTGATCATCCTCGTCCTTCGGTTTCTGTTCCTGTTCGTGGTCCTTCCGATCCCTACGGTCCCTCTCACCCCGCCCTTGGAACACCTATATTGATTCCTCTTCCGGTACCTCCTTTCGAACCTTATGGTACTTTGACAAATTCAGGTCAAGTTAGTGAACAAGCTCCAGGAGTATTGGAAGAATTAAAAGCTGTACAAGGAACACCTTCGTGAGTTTTCTTTCTTCTTTTTCTTCTCATCTTGAGGAAAGGAAACTTTAAGCTGATCATGTCTTTTTTCGAAAACAGTACGAGACATAAAGGTGAGTTTTGGTTGTTACCCTATGTGTAATTTTTCAAACTGACGGATAGTCTTACCTTGGGTAGAAATGACACAAGGACAAGAGTTTGAAGATACTCCAGGTTTATTTGGACCTTACGATTCTCGTGGGTTTCGTCAACATCCCTCACCCATCGTCCTTCAGCACTTCATCTCCTCGACAAATCTCACATCCCCATGTCAACTACACTTACCCTTGGTTTGTCACCTACCCACATTCCTTTAAATTCTACGAGGGAGGAAAGAGTAAAAAAGATGGATTCCTCGCTGACACTCCCAGAACCCCCTACTCGTCCAGGCACACGCGATCCCACACTTGTCGATTCCACAATCCCTCATCCACCTGCACGATCCAATCACCCATTCGCCTACACGCCTATCAACACTGTCCCTTTCTCCGTCCTTGGTCCACCCAACAATGGGAACGGGATTATCGATGCTACGGCCGCTTTGGCCGAACAGGATCGTATGCGTAATCGGGAAAGTGAGGTTCTCAGTCGAGGGGCTGGGATGAGGGTATCAAGTCAACCACAAGGGCCGCTGGTCGGTGTAGTGGAAGGCGATTTGACACCAGGTAAGACTGGGAGTGCGGTGAGTGCTGGAATGGGAACTTTTGGGAGGGAACCAAGTGTAGAGCCGGTTCCTATTCCTGCGGGTATACCATGGGGTGGACAAGTGAAAGGGGTGCGTGCGCGTCTTTGATCTAATGCCACATCTCTCTCCTGCCCCTTATTCCCTCCTTGCAGCAGACCTCAACTCCTTTCGACCTCACTGACAGTAGTGGAGTACTGTGCGGTTCGTGTTGACTACCTGAACTGATTGGAGTTGGATGCGTTGTTGACCGACAGAGCCCTACGAAAACAGCTAGCTCACCAAGGAAACCTGTCCCTAGTCAAACACCTCGTACTCCTGGTCCAGCCCCAACGCAACCTCTTCCTCCACCCCCCAAAACTCCCTCAGCCCCGGCCCGTCCTCGTACAACCGGCCCTCAAGTTGACACCCAATCTCAGGCCGGTCCTCATGTACATCATCCCCACCCCGAACACCCATTCGATGTCGGTGAAGCAGCACGCAAACAAGCCGAAGCTATGCAAGCTGCTCGTGCAGAAGCTTTAGCTCAATTAGAAGCCGCGACTCGTACTTCACCTCAAGCTCCTGATACTCGTCAAACAGCCATCGGTCAGCTCGTTCCGGAGGGTCTGGGAACAGGACAGAAAGGTCCAAGACAGACATATGAAACTTCTACCAGTGGACCTTCTTTCGGTCATTTGTTACATCAAGATGGACGTCCTATCACAGGCAGGTTTTCTGCTCAACCAGAACCTCCAAATCCCGCTTCTCGTGGTAGTGTTGGAATAGGAGGAGCAGGAGCTTTCTTCAGAATACCTTTTGGAGTTCCATTAGGTTTAGGAGTTCCGAGACCTTTGATGGTCATGAGGTCTGATACGGGTTTAGGAATGGGATTAGGTTTGACACCGCAAGGTGTACAGCAAGAGGCTAGACATATAGGTGAAGTTGCGGACAAAGTGGAATTGGATAGGAAAAGTAGGAGTGCTTTTGTGGAATCGATTGCAGATGTGAGTCAATTGTTCATCTCGTTTATTCTCCTCCCTCACTCTCACTCTCACTCTCACTCATATCCTCTGCTTTATGTGGCATCAAGTGTGTTTCCTTCTGGCAAAGTGTGTTCCTAAATAGCTGTTCCAATACTCGGAAGGGAAGACGTCAGTGAATCTTCCCACGCCATTGCTATGAAAATGATACCCTCGAGACGGAAGAGACATCGCTGATAAGATAGGAAGAAGAACCAGTGAATCCCAATGCTAGATCACCGTCTGTTCCGCCCAAAACAACCGAGCGGGCTATACAAAAAGCGCCTACCCAGGCAGATGAGATAGCGTTTGACCCTGCTCGAGCTAGTAGCCAGATTCTACTCACTCGTCCTTCATCTGGTGTTGTAAGTCTTATTTTCTCTGTCGACAACCTCTTTTCTCCTCTCTCCATTATCTGAGAATCCTTTCACGCTGGACGACTGTCACTCCACATTGCCCACTTTCAATTCTCCGCTGCGTTCATTTTGATCATACTCGCTCATTCTCAGATTCCTGAAGGCTCCAATCAACCCTTGAATATGCCGCATTCCAGAGCTCCTACTACGGGCGCACCTTTACCACATATCTCAGAAGTCCCAACTTATCAACCCGCTCCTCCTACGGGAACAGTGAAATCGGTCCGATTACCATCCGGAGCAAACACCATCATCCCCGCTCCTACCGTCGCATCTACCATCCATGCTCCACAGCCCGACTCTGCGTCTCTCTTACAAGGAGGAGGTTCAGTGATCAACGGTAATCATTCTCCTTACGCACCATCGGTGGCTCCAACAACAACAAGCAATGTACATCGTTTAGTCGCTGAAAGTAAGTTTCACGATGAGACACTTTGTCAATTGTTAGATGCTGCTAGATTGAATTTGATAGGTGACGAAGCGAAGAAAGCTTTGAACCGTGCGGCTAGAGCTAGGGTGATAGAGTTGAAAGATATGCGTGTGAGAGGGGAGATGCCACCTGAACCTGTCATTCCTGATGTGAATGAGAGGGAGAAAAAGTCCAAAAGTAAGCGGAGCAAATCGAGGGATTCACATACACATCGGAAAGTCAGTGGAAGGACGGAGAGAAATGTCTCAGGACGGAAGGCCGAGAATGATTCTCCTCCCCAATGGGCGCAAGAGGTATGTTTATTTCTCTCACATCATCTGTCTTCTATCCTCGTCCATACCGTTTCACTCATATAGTTGTGTCTTTCAAATACCACTTCATCTCGGTGGTCCTCCCATTCTCGCCTTGTCTGAACAGTTCATCGAACAGATTGCGCGACAACCCGAGTTCAGAGCTGATAGAGAGATCATGAATCGTCTTGGAGCGTTCGAATCTCGTTTTTCCGAATTGGAGAAAAGTCAACAACAATTTGCCCCTGATCAAAACGTCCAACAAACTCCTTCAGACGATCCTACCATCCGAGGTGAAATCACTCCTGCCCAGATGCAAGATCCTCTTGGAGATCTAGTCCGTCACCTCATCCTCCATGATCTTTCCGGATCTCCAGGTGAACCAATGATGACGATCCCATCTTACTTAATGGATCAACCAAGAGCTTCTATTCATACCATTCAACCTACCGCTCCACCCACGATCGGTTCCAGAGGACGACAAAGTGAACACCAAGTACAACAATCTATTCAAGGTACTATTCCTCAACCTGGAGTCTCTCAAAATGGGACTGTTCATCAACAAAGTCTACACCAAAGTCAAAGTCAAACTCAAAGTCCTCATACTATCCCTGTCACACATGTTCCTACTACCCCTGGTACACATAATCAATCAACTACACCAGGTACGAATCCTCAAATTAGTGGAAGAGGTATGACACTTAACGCCGATCCTTCTGGTGAACTTTTGACTTGGGGTTCAGATGTTGAATTTCCAGAACCAGGTGAAAGTGTTCCTCCCCCTAGACCTAAGACAGGTATGGCACCACCATCTATTTTCATCCAAGCTCCTACGGATAGTAATATGGGTAAATCCATGGGTGTTAGTGTTACGCCCAGTGCTAGAGGTACAGCTTTACCCGCCCAAGAAATACAAACAACGCCCGGAGGAGTTGATCAAGATGTTGATTCGGATCATCAAACACATAAAACCCATCAGACTCAACAAACTCAGAAAACTCATCATACGGCATTACCAGATCCACTTCAAAGAGATCTTCCACCTGTACCATCTGAAAGTATAAGATCACATCGTTCTTCTCCAGCACAAATGTCCAATGAAGGTTATCCTCCATTACCACCTTCTACAGCACATGACCAAGGGCAATCTATGAAAGATTCTTCTAAAGCTTTTTCTGGTAAAACGGTAGGAGGACAAGGATGGCAAGAAAATACACCTTCAATGACGAGAACTGTACCTATTCAACAATCTCAAATAGGTAAGACGACTTCAGTCGCTAGGACAGTACCACCTGGTATGATGTACATTCCTGGTTTGGCACCACTTGGAGAGGTAATGGGACAAACACATCCTGGTGTAGATCCAATGGGTGGGATGAGTACTGTACCTCAACAAGTAACGGATATGGAAAATCAGATAAATCAACAACAACAAACAAATATTCCTAGAGATTCTCATAATTTCTCTTCTCCAACCTTTCATACAGCCCCACAACCCGGTGAAACGCAACGAGAAGTGACTCAACCTTATCCCCAACAACAATCTCAAATATACACAGCTCAACAACTCAATGAACTCCAACCTCAATCGAATCAACAACCTTCTCAATATCCAATTCAACAAGGTACAATGCCACAAACGTATTTCGTTCCTATGCCAGAACATCCGAAGGAAAAAGATATGATCCATATTTACGATCCTGAACAACCTCATCAGGCTCCTTCTTCAGGTGGAGGTGGAGGGGTCATACCTCCTTGGGATTTGATAACTCAGAGATTATATAGTTGGGCTTTAGTTTGGGAAGATGAAAGTTTTGTTAGAGCTTTGGAAAATGTTAGTTTGGGTAAACAGGTCGAAGAGTTTCCTTTGACGGTTTTCACAATGATGACTTTTAAACGGTAAGTAAAACTCTCCTTTTTAAACCCTTACTTTATCTCTTTTCTCCTGGCGTGTCTCATCTTCCCATTCTTTTTCTTCCTGGACCTGTTATCTGTCTCAATATGGAACTTTTTTCTGTCCGATCGGCATAACCTCAGCGTGAGAAACACAGCTCGCAATATGATTACAATCACCTTCACATTAGTAGGCGGGACTCGCACTTTTGCTCTCAAAGACTCATCAAGTGACCCACATCCATCATGACACTTTACACAACCTGCTTGTCGATGATTGAATACGGTTCCGTTTTCCGGGGTGTACCGTCAGACGCTAATGTACAGATTATTGAGACACAATCTATCCTCCACCCAGCCAAAAAATTGTGACAAGTTGTTCGTCCCTCCCGCCATGGCGGACGCCATCAATAATGCTGTACATGGAGTGAGTGTTCTCTCTTGTGTCTGTACTCTGTTCCATATCTCATTCAAGTCTTTGCCTTGCTGGGAGAGACATGAGTCATACTTGGTCAAATGCATCCCTGGTCAGCCCAGAAATGAAGTCCGGATTGCTATGACATCTCCCATGTACTGTAGAGGTCTTGAAAGAGAAGTCTTCGGGGTCAAAGCTGATTGTAGAAACACTTTACTTTGGCCCAACAGATCCTGGAGGAATTATGGTATCGTAAGTCCTCCTCCTCCTCTCTCTTTCCACCCTCCCTGGGGCTTCACTCCTCCTGTCACCAATCTGCCCTTCATCTCTCTGTTCTCATCCCTACAGTGTATTTACCTCAAGTCTTAAATCCGCGACACGACTCCTCTCACCTGGTCCCATATGTCCCACCTGATTCCGCAAGCATGGTGAAAATCCCTCCTCTGACACACAGCATTCGGCTTCAACGACCCACCAAGAATCATCATTGCCCTTTCAAAACATCGTCAAGAACCCGATCACTGGACCGCACACCGATTCGACCTGACCAACGGTCATTTGACCTCTTACGTCGTCCGTACCCCGCTGGCGGGACAAGCGGCGATGCACGATGGTAGACCTTTCATGTGGTGGCATGCTATACGTCTCGCATGGCCTCAGTATGATATACCTCCTCCTGAGAATATGAGACAGAGGACGGAAGTGTTTGACAGACCTGTAGAGGTAAAAGGGGATAATAGTTTATTGGCTTCGAATATAGCTAGGAATTTACTTTTGTGAGTTCCTTCTAACACCTCTCAATCACCGTCATAACTCTTGTCTCCTCTGTGGTACATTTGCATATTCCCCATCTCACTTTTTGGATAGAAGTATGTCACTAAACTCCAGGGGATATCGTCCGGAAAGACAAACCGACTTGAACAAGATGCGCGAGCTGGTATGGACCGAAGTCAAACGATTGTTGCAGAAGAAACGTACGGGAAGATTAGCATTGGATATGGATTCTTCCGAGCATGTCTACGAATTGTGATCTGGATACCACTAGTTATACTATCTTATACTTTGCTTCCAAACCTGTACTCTTGCTGAAAGAGTGAGACTGTTGGATGGATATGACCCGTATTGAATCTTTGCCTGTAGAAGACGGTATGAATATTCTTTGTTCCTTGCAAGTGTCGAGCCCCTTGTTGAAGTAATCAAAATAAGCTCCCTAGCCAATGGTCCTGCAGGCCTATTTTTCCAACACCCCTTGACAGAGTGGTATTGTTTACGTAATCATCTTGAGCCTCAGTTCTCGGACTGCGCGCCGTTTCTCTTTCCCCTCACTCTACACAGTACTACTTGTCCAAAAGTCCCCAGTGGATATACATTCTTTCTACTCAACCTTCCTATTCCCTTGTGCGTCTCACACATATCTAGAAATAGAGACGATAGTGCGGTTGGAGGTAAAAACCGAATGTTGTCGTAACGAGTAGGATGGCACCGTCCATAACTACCCTTTCGACACAATACGCACTCGTCATCGATGCAGGTTCTTCAGGTTCGAGGTTACAAATATATTCATGGAGAGATCCCGATTTGGAAAGAGCTGAGATATTGAAGGAAGTACAAGAGGCTAGAAAGGGAAGAGGAGGTAGGAAATGGTGGTGGAAGGATGTATGGGTAAAGGGGAAAGGTAAAGGGAAGGGGAAAGGGGAAGGGGAAGAAAAGGTTTGGACAGAGAAAGAAATGGAAAGAAGAGCTTTGAGAAGGTTGGTAAGAGTTGGAAAAGGTGTAGAAGGGGATGGATGGGTGAAAAGGGTTGAACCTGGTGAGTTTTGTTGTTTCTCATATCAAGCTCGTTCCCGTCTTGGTGACGTGTGGACCTGCGCTGTACTTGCAGACGTGAGGTGGATTGTCAGGGTGACAGCCAATCACTTTTCATACGATACCTCTGGTCATCTTAGCAGGTTATTCGCATGTTGGTTTGTACAGTTTTATGTTCGTGATATTTGAAATCGAGATGATAGTAGAGAAGTATATGCTGACTATTAGGTATCTCTTCCATCTCTCCTGAAGATATCCCATCTTACCTCGCTCCTCTAATCACTCACGCCCTTGAACAAATCCCTCCTTCTCAACATCATCGTACACCCATTTATCTCTACGCAACAGCTGGAATGCGTTTACTTTCCGATGACACTCGATCTGCCATTCTGACTTCCGCTTGTGATACAATCCGATCTTCTTCCCCTTTCTCCATTTCTGGACCTTCTTCCGCCGGTCCATGCGGTGAGAACATCAGAGTTATTTCAGGTGAAGAAGAAGGTTTATGGGGATGGGTAGCTGTTAATTATTTAATGGATGGTTTCGGACATGCTCCTCCTTACCCATCCTCCTCCTCTTCTACATTATCATCATCATCAACAACAACAGCCGAAGGAAGTACTATCACAGGACTACTTCCTTTAGCTCCATTAGCAGAACCTCCACCTGATTCATCCGAACAATACGTAACTCCGGTGGATATCAATCATCATTCACCTACATTCGGTTTCCTCGATATGGGTGGTGCTTCAACACAATTAGCTTTCAGTCCAACTTCTTCTGAAGTTTTCAATTCAGGATTTCCAAAAGAACAACTTCGAACTGTTTCTTTAAAACTTTTATCTGGTGAACAAGTCGAATGGTCAGTTTTCGTAGCTTCTTGGTTAGGATTCGGTACGAATAAAGTTCGAGAAAGATATTTAAATTCTTTAATCGAAAATTGGAAATCATCAAACGACATATTAGATCTTTCCATACCTATTCAAGATCCATGTTTACCATCGAATTTATATATACCTTCTTCTGAACCTAATAAATATCCTGGGTTTTTAGGAATAGGTTCTTTTGAAAATTGTTTAAAAGATTTAAAACCTTTATTAGATCATCATGTTCCTTGTCCTACGAATCATTGTTTATTCGCGGGATTACCAACACCTCAAATAGATTTTGAAAGAGAAGATCAAAGAGGTTTTATTGGGATAAGTGAATATTGGTATACCGCTCAACAAGTTTTAGGTTTGGGTGGTATTTGGGATTGGGGAGAATGGGAAAGAGGAATGAATGAATTTTGTTCAAAAGATTGGAATAATATAGAACGTCAGGTCGAACAGGAGAAAGGGTGGTTGGGGAGTCAGGTGAGTTGCGTTTTCTCTCGTCATTCACTTTTCACTTCTTTCTTCTCCTTACGGGATTATCTCCCGAGTTACTATCTCTTATCCCACGGTCCTTTCCTTCATCTTACCTTTGTAACGATGCCTCTTCCTCCCTCTCTATCCATCCTGAACTTGAATAGCCCCCCTCGGAATATGGGCAGCAGTTTGACAGCCTGATATCTTAACCTTGCCGACATCTGTGTGTTGCGGTGTGGTCGATCGATTATCTCACTCTCGTGCCTCTATATCATCTCTCACTCTCGTGCTTCTCTAGCTTTCACCTGGTGGATTATCAGTTCATATATTAATTCCCAGGTCGAACTGTCCCGACTACAAACACAATGTTTCAAAGGAGCTTGGGTTTCAAATGTCTTACATGAAGGTATCGGTATCCCTCGTCTTGTCGACGCAAAAGGGACCGATACAATCACCGGTGGATCCATTGGTGATACAGCCCTCGAAGCTGCTAGAAGAGCAAGAGAGAAAGGATTAGCAAGTAAAAAAAGTCATTTTCAATCAATGGATGAAGTAGATTCTACAACTATAAGTTGGACATTAGGAAAGATGATTATCGAAGCTAGTCAATCTATACAACCTACTTCTCATTGGTATTCATCACCATCACTCCCATTCGATTTATCCATCGTATCTGATAAAATCGATCAAATGGGATATTGGAGTTATCCTTTTTTCTTACTCTTTTTACTCTTTGGTGTATTAGGATTTTCTATATTCAAAAGAAGATTCAAACGTTGTATACCGAATACTAGAAGAGTAAGGAAATCTTCAATTTCAACATCATATGAACCTCTTCAAACTTCAACATACTCATTATCATTCAAAAATTCATTTTGGTCATTATCATCATTATCATTCAAAAATTCTTTATGGCCATTATCGATATCATCAAAAGATTCGATATATACAAAAGAACCTGTTTCTTATTTAGATGATACTTCTGAACCTTTATCTTTATCATCTTTATCAAAACGTAATTCAAAATATCGTTGGTGGTTAATAAAAAGTACCAATTTCATTCGAAGGATACTACCTTTAAATTTCAATAATAATCATAACAATACACGTAATTCTCATTCTGATCATCGTCAACAATCAATATTACCATTAAGACGTACTTCTTTACCAATAAATACCAATTCGAATTATATTCCAACACCTAGATTATCAACACCTACACCTATTCAATCTTTTTCTAATAAAACATCTTCATCACCGACAACAACAACAACTCCAAGTGTATCACCACCAAGAACTAGATCATGGCCTTCTAAAAGTCGTACGAAAGGATTATCAACCATTTCCACTAATACTAGTGGTGGTATTGGTGGATTATCGACGAATACATCATTTACGAATATATCTTCTTTTACAAACACTTCTCTAAACTCAAATCCTTTCACTCCTTCCGCTATCACCAGAGACGGGTTGAATGGGAATATTAATGGTTCTGGTAAAGCAGTTGGAGTTGGAAATGGAAATGGGATGATGAACGGTTGGAATGATCCACCTTTATCAATGTTTGATCCACATACTCCACCACCAAGAGAATGGGAAAAGTGTAAAGAAAGTGAATGGGATATAACAGATGAAGAAAATTTAGAAACATTAGGAACTTTAACTCCTAATGCCGCACCTGTCTTTGGTTCTTCAACAGGTTTAGCAGCTATAACGAATTTTGATAATCATTCTGCTTTATCAAGGAATTCAAGTAGGATGAATCTTGGTGAACTAGCTGGAGTTGGGGTTTTAGCACAGAGGAACGCTAGTAGGTCTACAACACCTTTAGAGTTTGAATCTGCCTAACTTGTTTTTTTTTGGTGTAATGAGGGACCGGATACTGGAAGATGGAAGATGGAAGATGGAGCAACTGAGAGAAACAAAAATATAGGGAAACAGGGATACAGGGGCACAGGGATACAGGGATACAGGGATACAGGGGTAAAAGCCAACACATAATATAATCAAGACTCATATGGACACTCAAAAGAATACTTTACCACACATTGTAAATCAACATTATTGCCAATGTACTATCGATGCATCAATTTCTCATCTTTTATCTTCTCTTCAATCTAACACGCAACTCGAGCAGATGCAATCAATCACTTTCCATCCTCTCATCCTAAACTGTCCTCTTCATACTTTGATACATTCTTATTCTGACGATACGCTCTGCTCAATGCCGACTCTCTCTCTCTCTCTTCAAGCATCTGTGAGTTAGCAACCTACATCATGCGTGCCACGGCCAATACTTAGGAGGACGTAGCTTAATTCGGACGAAGCACAGCAGACGGAGCTAAGAAGGATGGTAGAGTAGGAAGAAAGAAACATCACTGACAATAAGAATTACCAGCTTGAGCATAATTCATAGCGCTCAATTCATCCTCTGTGAATTTGTCCTGATACTTTTCATGTGTGCGTTTGAAATTTGCAACGCATCTAAAGCGTCAATTTCATTCAATTTCCATACTTAGAAGCATCACGCTTTAGGTAGAGTAAACGAAAACCCTGAGGTAATGCGCGCCGTGCGGGATGTCAGTCATCGGCGAGGGGGTGCGTGTAGGGGGATTAGATGCACGACACGTGAAAAGGCTGAAGCGGATCATACATGAACAAATGAGATGAAATGAGATGATTGAAGAGGATGAGGGTACTAGGATATGAGCCACAACAACCCCACTCACTCTCGAATAGTCGTAGAAATAGGAGGAGGTTCGGATACTCTCGGTGCGAGTACCTCCGCTAAAAGTTTGGCTATCTCATCAACAACCTGTCATATCTCATCAGAGACTAAACACTCACGCATAAACTTGGGGACCGTATATGGGAAAGCGTCAACGCTGTCTTATCAGCATATATGAGAAAGTATAATGATAAAGCGCTTACAGAGCCGTGGCACCCAATACTGCCCCGTGTAGTTGCACAAGTTTAGCTTGATATTCCGGATTCACTTGACCTGGTGGACCACGACGTTTAGGTAAAGAGGACGATTTGATCTCCCGGGTGAAGCGATCTTTGAGAACTACCACCATGGGTCTTTGAGAGACACGAAGGAAGCCACTGAGGGTGCTGGACGTGAGTATTGCGTTTGCAGAGTGTTTATACACAGTGACCTGCACTGCAGGAGAATGGGGAATGAAGAAGGTGGGCCATTTTACGCGACGAGAGATCTCAGAAGACACTTGAGGGGATGTAGTGAAGAGTAGGGGGGAAAGATAATGAGATATTGAAGGGAGGAAGACATTGGAAGACTCACGTAGAGGCCATCTCTCTCACTTCCTGCGTAGTATCCCTCAGACACATACTAGCTACCTCCAAACACTTCGCCTTGCAAGTTTCCGACAATAGGGATAAGTTACGGAAATAGAAAAGGGACAAGATGGGCATGGCGTTGATACGTGTTCTCCATGACTGTGGGTCAGTCAAAGGCTGCAGACGGGCAGTCGGGCGGAGGGATACGCAGGGGTACTGGGAGGGATAGGGGCGGATGATTGGGAGAGAGGTTGAGAACACGGCCCAATCGAAAAACGCAGACACTCACTGTAGACGTTTGCATTATATCGATCAAACTCGCCATGAGCGGTTCAATCAAATCCAAACTCGGTGTGATACTCGTGATCATTCCCAATAATCTAGTTGCGCATCTCTGCAAATCGGGATTATCATTCAAGTCTCTCAATTCGAAGATCTCAGGGCTACACATCAGGTGTTATCCATAATATAACTGAAGACTTACAGGAGGGGGATGATGTATGGGAACACTGCCGCTGCATGGACATCGAGAAGTTCGGTAGTGAGCCACATGAGAACTGTTCATCAGTCACGCCCGAACTCTCGCATACTCATTCTTCACCCATTGCAAGGAGGCAGTTTGAGAGAGAAAGGATCAAGGTGAAGCACATCACATGAGTACCCATTGCAAGGGAGCTGTCAGAGAAAGAAGGTGTAAAGGTGAAGTACATCAAATGAGTACCCATTACAAGGAGGCAGTATGAGAGAGAGAGAGGAGAAAGGTGAAGTACATCATATGAGAACCTGTTGCAAGGCAGCAGCATAATAAAGAAAATGGTAAGGCCAGGTAAGTCATATGAGTCCCCGTTGCAAGACAACAATTTCAAAGAGAAGGTGAAAGGGGTGGGGTGAAGAAGCTGAGTGGATGAAGATAAGAGAAATATGGAAAAACGACTCACTAGTCAAAGCCGAAGTGTCATGTGTCGATAACACAGCTTGAGGTCCATGAGGTCGTTCAAGTTTCCATTTCGGTAAAGAATCCATAATCTCTCTCAATTGTGGCTCGAATCGACCACTCTTAATCTGCATGATATCTTTTTCGTACCCCGGATCACCGAGGACGTCATCGACAAACGTTTTGACGGATGGGTATGAAGGGTGGAACTGAATGTCAGTCGTATCCTTGCGCATCAATATGATATCTGACCTTGTATTGATCCACTCCGTTGAGGACGGAAGCCATCAATGTTCGGACCTAAGCATCAGCGGTTTGTCATAATGGGTGGAAATGGTAACAGCTTACATCAGCGTAGGGACAAGAGACTGAGCGGAAGTATAGGTCAATAAAGTCGTCGGACCATGCGTTGAAGCGCCATGTGAAGCAACGGAGTAGCGAGCGAACAAGATTGACACGTCGGGTCACTATACGGTCAGCACGGAAAGATGTTATGTGGGTGAAGCTTACGATCAAAGGCAGATCCACTGGCAAAATCGGCCGATAGGGCGGTGTTGATACAGAAATCGACCAGAGGTTTATGTCTCCGTGGGTCTTTGTCATTCAAGACGTATTCGATTGATGAATCCCAGCATCTATGCCATTAGCACCTTACGTCGCACTCGTGAATCCGTCTTCACTTGAAAGGAGCGTGAGGGTGAGCAGTGAGGGGTTAGGTGATCTTTTGAGTGCGTGCGAACGGCCAGCGAAGATATCACCCGTTGAGAAAGGTACACGATGAAATGATTCAACGAAGGTGGAAAAGAGATTAGAGGACAAATGAAAACCCACTTGACAGTATCATGCCTGATCATCCCATACAATTCACGCAAACGAGGAGTGAGCCATTCCCAGAACTCCGCCCTCTCTTTCCCTGTCCATTCCTCTAATCCTCTCAAGAAACCAGCAAGGAATTCCCACATGGCTCGGACCTTATGCCGATCGTACACTTTTGTCCGATCCATCTCTTCAGCCAGCCCTCGATGATCGGACGGATACTATGGAAGAGGCTGATACCGACTATTTGGGCAATGCAAAGTACGAAGTCTATGTGAGTCGAGGAAGGGTATTTGCGATTATCTTCTTGAGCCCAATAGTCGGCGACCTGAGAGTCAGTCTGCTGTGGTCTTGACTACAACACCAACCCCCCCCCCGGGCTGCTCCGCATCAAGCCCGTTTGTACCCTCACATGTGATTAGGTTTGCGAGCGAAGTATCGATGGTCTCATAGCCGAGAAGCAAATGATTGCCCGATGACGTCCCAGCGGGACAGCTGGGAGAAGAAGAGAGTCGCAGGGGTCGGAAAACACATATCACAATCTATGAATGAATGAAAAGAGAGAAGACTCACACTCTGCCATAAACCCGGTTTGTTGACAATCTCATTGACCACTTCCAATGCTTCTTTACTCGACGGATCTATTATCCAACTCTGTTCCTCCCAACCATTCAGCCTGACTACCTCCATAGTTTTTCCCCAGACGAACCAGCCTGTAGTGGTCCGATCTTGTAGCTGAGCCTGGGTTGGGTCTTCCGGCAGAGGCTCGCGGAAAGAAGAGAGGTATCGTTTAGAAAACTCTTCAGATGTGTCGGTGAGCTCGATGGTTTTGGAGAGAGCATCTAGAGGTTCTTGCAAAAGGAGCTGTTTGGGTGTAGGGCAGAGTGAACGGAGAGCTAGGGAGAAGAGGAGACGTGTAGTACCGCTAACCTGTCAGACTTGTCCCTCAGAACTTTGAAGGCAGGCTTCACGACCCGTCCTCAATAAGGGGCATCTTTTATCCTCATTGCCCACCTATTATTAAAGACTGAGAGGAGATACGGAAATTATTTGATGCCTGATCTGAGAGGATTTGCGGCAGTTCGCTCGATATGTGACATCAGAGTGTTCATGGACAATCGTGACGGGGAAGAATGAACGAAGAGGAAAGTGGAAGATGAAGCGAAGTAGGAAAGAGTGAATGAGATAAATGGTATAGATCACTCACAAAAATCCATAATCTCTTATTCTCGGATGAGGGTTCATTACACCCTCCATGAAATACCTTGTCAATCTCACATCCACAGGCTTGTCTTTTCTCGACATGGCCAATAAAAATCTTCCACCTTGCAACGCATATTTCCAATTGAGAGTTGGATCTTTGATGATTTCCAACACCCTATCTGTGAATTTATCCACTTGTTCATCTTGTTCCTTGTCTACTTCTATCAAAGCTTTCTTGACTTTTTCGACCGTCTCTTCATTTGGTTTATGATCACCTTCGAACAGACTGACTAATTCGTCTGCAGCTTTGTCCATGGCTTCTGTATTCACGTCTAATCGTATGGAAGAAGGTTCTTTCATCCTCACTATGAGCTCATCCGTCGCTTTGGATACGAGAGCTTGGACTGAAGTTTTATTCTCATGATGAGCCTGGAGGAGATATTCAGCAAGTCGAGGAAGGTCTTTCCAATCTCTTCCAATTCGAGATATACCAACTATGTTGTATCGTAATACGTATAGAGCACCTTTCATCGTATCGGGATCGGTTCCTGGTTTCAAAGCGTCGAATAAAGCTGGGAAACACAACGCCCAACAACCTCGATATACACGTGTGATAGAATCTAATTGACTTTGAGCAGATCTACGGATCCTGACGAATGGTGAGAGACAGAATGCGAGCATACAGCGGATTAACCTGTCGTCGAGCTCTGATCGTCGACGCCAGTATGTCAGACTGGCCAAACGGTTCTGATGATGCACAATGGCTGCCTTGACATGGACAGTACGATGATGTTTACGTTGGGATTCGAAGAGTCGTTTTAATGCGACAAGGGTGGAGTAGGCGGTCTGTGAAGTGGAATAGTACTTTGAACGCATACCGTATGCTGTGAGATAGTTGCCCAGTGTAGTCACGATTGCTCGGGTGGTCTCGACGGATGAATCCGAGTCTCCGGCGTTCTGTAAGGCTGATGCCACACGGAAGAGCATCTCACCGATTCGAGTACGCCAAGCAAGGGCTTTTTGGAATTGGGGGTCGTCAGGGTCAGAGAGAACATGACCGGCTTTGAAGGGTTTAGGGACGGTGGTAAGTTCTGACGGCAGATAACTGATAGTCAGCGAGAAGAAAACAAGTCCAGGTCGCTCACCTTTCCACAGGAAGTCCGCCGGTCTTCATGTCTTGATGCTCGGCCACGAAAGTAGAGGAGCCTCGTAACACCCTGTCGACGACGCTAATGGCACGGCAGAAATCGTTCGTCCATACTTTATCTCCCAGTCCGTTCTGCTTAGACAGCTCGTCGAGTCGTTCGGCAGCTTCATCAGCGATGGCCATGATGTCGAATGCCATTAGCACATCAGAGGCCGATGGAACTCGCCAGGACAATTGAACTTCAACGGCACGATAGAGTTTGCCCCAGTATTGAGTGTGATTGAGGTTGTAGTCTGAAAGTAAGCATACTCCTCTCACACAAATGCGTGGCATAATATTGCTGAAAGACAATCGACCACGGATCATATATGACAAGATGATGAAAGGTGTCACGCACCATCGCTCTGCACTTCGTCTCTGTTGAGCATACCCACTTCCTCAGTCTTGATTGCGGTCAAACAGATCATGCACGATTCGATGAGTTTGCCAGTCCAACTGTACCCTCTCTCGGAAAAGGTCGATTGGACCATTGCCCTGAGCAATTCGAGAATCTGTGAGCGATAGGCAGGGTCGGACAGCTGAAGGTCAGCCTACTACCAATTTTACCCTCAGGAAAGCTCGGAGAGGTTTACCAGACGTCACCAGGGCGTAGGTTTCGGGATAGACAGGGCGGCGGTATTCGGAGTAGGTGACAGACAGGGGAGCAGAGCGGATGAAAGGGCAGATGAACAGTACTCACCTCGATATGTCCCGGTATCAACAACCCACATAAAATCGCTTGCCACCAATGCAATGCTGCATCGGACGGCAGTGGGATGCTCGTGGTTGTAGTTCTCATTGAACTCGCACCGCCCTTCAACTCATTGATGATCCTCGTATGACACATCGGTAAGAACTTGTCCATTGTCTTTTTCGCGTCGATAGCAGCGAGATTCCTCACCAAGTCTCCCACGGCGCCAACAGCGTTCGGTCGACAAGTAGTTGATGCGTACTCAAAGATCTGCTCTAAGGCCGCATCGAAAAGTTTGGGAGACAGAGCTCCAAAGACGTTTCCACAAGTATGAAGCACACTCTGTATGACGACTTCTTCCAACTTGCCACCGGCTCTTCCAGAACTTCCTCCTTCCTCGGGCAGATTAGAGAACAACAATAACACACGACCGATGAACTCGGGTACCCAATCTCTGAACGCGGCAGTGGCCATTCTTATCCTCTCGTCCACATCATCCGGACTAAGATCTTCGATTTCGAAGCTCGCAGGATCATCAGGGTCGTCTTCAGTCTTGATCATCTCAACCTTTCTCAGCGCTCGGACACCAGGGGTGACCTTTTCGTACTCTTCTCTCTCGACCTCGGAGATGTCACCCACGCATATGAAATCGACGATGGAGGAGATGGCCATGCAGGCTAAGGTGGTTTTGGAGGGGTCATTGAGATCGATACCGGGAAGAAGGAGAGTGAAAATGTCGGCAACGAACATACCTCCCATGCGCCAGAGCTGGCGGGCGGAGAAGGGTTGTGAGAGGGCAGCGAGAGCGTAGGTGACGGCGGTGGTACGGTGGGTTTCTTCTAAGCCCTGGAGGGAGGGAGTGGCTCTTTCCATCAAAGCCGGCATGATGAGATCAGGTTCGAGAACGGCGAGTTTCTTGAGGGCTGATACGGCAGGTCCTGCAGAGCGGTTGTCCTGAGCATGTAAGCTTGCTTCCCAGCTGGTAAATGGACAGAGATCGTGATAGACAAAGTGAAGGCTTTCCATACCCACCGAACTAAATGGCAGCAGGGCTAATTTAACACGAGGGTACGAGACAAAAAGCAGGCCATCGACTCACCTTGTCAAACATGGCACTGAGAGCTAGTGGTCGCAAGCATAGCACAAACTCCCTCTTGATCGTCGATGTCAACCTCCATTCCTGGGGAGTTTTGCAATTTGGCGCTTGTTCGTTCTTCCATCTCTCTAGGAAGTTACCAGCCAAATGGGTGAGGAAGGCATTCAAGAATGCCGACCAATCACCCGAGTTGCTCGGATGGAAATACTGTCCTCGTCAGTATGACCATGTGAGAACGAGATGAACATACCGATTCGCAACTGGTCAGCAAGCTCCGCAGATGATCCAAAGCCTTGCTTCCTCCGAGATATCGTCTCTCCGCTTCACTCTTCTGCCCCGCGACAGCGAGACTGTCCGAGCTGTTGGTTTTCTGAAGCTTGAGACCATTTTGTAGCCTCGAGATGGCGGAGGGGACGGGAAGAGGTGTCGATGTTCCTGATATGTCGGTACCGGAAGGAGGCAGTAGGGGAGCATCTTCAGAGATACTGTAAATGATTGTCTCCGCTAAGGATTGGACTCGGTCAATGGGCTTTTTGGCGTCAAGGATCTTTCGACTTGTACGTTGATCGGCTTGGGTGATGGACATTGCGTTCTGAGAAGCTAAAGCGCCGCCCACAGGGACATCTAATCATCAATACCAATTGCAATACACAGACACAACATCCTGATGACACGGGCAGGAGCAAGGGACGGGAGAACGAGTTCGAGAGATGAACATGGATCTTAAACTTACTCAGAGATCGCAAGCATTTACTCATCAAGAACTCAAATTCCCTTTCTGTGAAAATTCCAATGTCTTTCCTGATTCCCGGCCAGTTGGGGTCGGCCATGTTGATTTCCGGAGGCAGCAAACTCTCTTTGGCGTAGTAGTCCAAGCCATCGTCATCTTCCACGATCTCACCAGCGACATCCAGCAATCTAGCCTTGTGGCTTCTGAGGATACGATTGTGATTGGGACTGTTGGCTTCCTCTTCGGGGGTGTTGAATATACCGCGGGGTATACGTTCGATGAAGGAAGGATCCGAGCGACCGGGATCTACGTGGTTGATAGCAAGCTGTCCCATGAGGTCGGAAGCCTGATCATCCCACAGACCGGAGTTGAAACCCTGCCACAGGCGAAATACTAATTTATCAGCCACGGCTCATGTAGATACGAGCAATGAATGACCTTCAGTGCAATAAAAAAAAACACAAAGACTCACTGAGAGGTAGCCACTTCTGGCAGTGTGTGATGGGTAGGAAATGCACAAGGAAAGCTTGTGTGGCAAGAATGGAGTCCATGTCTGGCTCCAAAGTTGGTAAGATCACTTCGAGCATCTCGTCTACATCGCCAGGGTGGAAAAAGCGTTGTGCGCTTTCAGCTACGTTCAAGAACATCGTTGAGAGGTTTGGAGAGTGACGTTTGAGTTTGTTAGGATGGGGAAAGAGCTCCTGGTACAGAGCATCATAGAGAGGACGCCATGGAATGCGAAAATCGTAGATGTTGAGGTTCCGGTCACTGATTGATCAGCTGATTGCACGGTCGAAATGAAGGGTAACGGCGATCATTGATAAGATTAAGGAAGGTGTAGTGAGAATGTGTGTCACGTACCCGAGGAAGTTCGTAACTTGGTTGCCCACATCCTCCAAGATTGCAGATGGTACAGTAGGTACGACTGCTCATCAGTGTCCATAGGAGGGTGGAGTGTGAGACTTACACAGTATTTCCCAGTAAAGGAAAAGAAGCTTGATCTTCATTTGTTTCTTCATGGGATAACCCATGCTCAACCAGCTACAAGCATCAGCGGCCGATCAATCTCGCAGGTGGGTCGTTATCAAACAGGGCAGTTGAGTGAGATGATGTTTGAAGAGAAATGAAATGAGATTAAATTGTAAGCAATCTCACGAGTTCAAAGCCGCGTCCCATACACGGAATCCGTGTCCCCATTCTCTGGCCTTGATACACTCGATGATCTTCGTACATATGACCTCAAGCCGGTCGTCCATCTCCGCCAAGGTCTCGACCTCGTAAGGCAGAGACAGGGGCAGACCGAGGCATGACAATCGAGGATCATCATCCTGCGTTCCGTCGGCATTTGTTGGCGGGTTACAGGGAAGGATCCAATCGTCGAGGTCCATAGAAGGCATTTCTTGCAGTGCGTGTGGAGCATCGGGACGTTCGGGTTGTACAATTACGCCAGCATCGCAAAGACGAGCAGAATTGGAGAATGCAGGATGCCAGCACCATTGACGTGGTTTAGGCGGACGCATGACAAGGAGTGTTGCGCACGGTTCAGATAGAGGAGCAGTGATGAGAAGGTAGATGATAGATGATGAATGAGGAGTAAAGGATAAACTGTATCAGCAAAATTCTCCGTAGTGGGAACAAGATACTGGGAAGAGATGATAGATTGATGAAGAATGAAATGAAAAGGACGATGAAAGATGATAAGAGGGCTGACCAACCTGGATGGTTTTAAGTGACAAAGCGTCCCCATCCCCAATGCGCCTTGGTTCGCCTAGACGATTGGGCACGGCTGATGGCCAAGCGCTACCCATTGGCCAGATGTCGTCCTCACTGTCGGCTGCAAGGATCAGCGAGATCTTCCCCCCAATATTCTCGAGCACAGGGTGACATGAGCCGAATCACGAGTACATGAAGACATGAGGTGGGCCACAGGAAGGTGGGCCACAGGAAGGTGATAATCATTCTTCAGTCCGCCATACGAAGTTTTAATCTCGGGTGGGTCGCCGTAGCTACGGGAGAAGCAAGATATTGGGGATGTCTTTGCTGAAGGCAATGAAAGCAGATGTGTGTGTGTATGAGAGTAGGGGCGTAGTAACGAGGAGGGAGGGAATTCGAAAAAGGGGTCAGAGGAACAAGGGAAGAGATGACTGACATTCCAATAACTCTTCTTCAAGCTTTGCGATCTCTGCTTCGATATCAAAATCTTCTTCGTCCCCTTCTTCGTATTCTTCCTCGTAGTACTGCTCTTCAGGTGGAGTCTCGAATGTTGGATGTGAGATAGCGGATTTGATAAAAGCGGGATCTAGGATCATATCAGTGATCGACTGAGAGACTAAGGGAAATGTAATGAGACTGATGGGGGGGAACATGAGGCAAGAAGGAAGATCGGAGATAGATAGAAGGAGTAGAGATATGAGAGTCGCTTACGAATCGCACGATGGGGCAAGACAGGATTGGTATGCGTCTGCGTGTGCGTCGCCGACATGCGTTCGATCTGACAACCCTCGACGCTCTATGGACCTTGATGAGCCTGTCAATTGAGAAGGCCCCTCTCTTGAGGGTTTATCAGTACCAGAGGTAAGAGATAGAGAGAGAAAGTATACACCGTAAGAAGACTCTTGTAGGTGTGAGTGTTTCGAGTGGGTGGGGTAGAGAGGAATGGAACGTACAGTACAGCTTGATCCTTCTTTGTCTGAGAGCGGAGTAGTGGACGCTCGCGTGGCATCGGACATCGGTTCAAACTCCGCCTCATTGCCACAAGTGACGTGTCATTTCACCAACCTAGGAGTGATACTGTAAACCTTTGGTCGAATTTCTGCTTTTCCATCATCTGCCTACCTGTTTTTTGAGATATCTTGACCCATCTGCTACTTCTCACACACAACCCACAGCTGTAGTATAGCTGAAATAGTCGTATCCTTACCTTTTCTTCTCATATTTGATAATTTTCACCGACCCATATCGCCATGCTCGTCCTTGCCGAGACGGCCATCGGCTTCGTCGTCTTCAAACTCAGCTCGGACGCTAAGATTGATTCCAAAGATTTGTGGAAAGAATTTGAGACCCCAGAGGGTGCCAACAAGACGTGAGTGTATATCGCTTACTCTAGTATCAAAGGAGTGGCCCATAAGATCAACACTGATGTCCAGGCTCAAAGTTCAAGCTATTCAACGCTTCACATCAACCGCTTCTGCCGTAGAAGACTTATCAGCCGTTCAAGATGGTCGACTCACAGACACACTTTCAAAATTCCTTTTGGATGCTACAGGTGGAGCCGGTGAGGCAGATGGAGAGAAGAAGAAAAAGAAGAAGAAACTGGAAGAGATGTTAGTCGTATCTGATCCTAAATTAGGTCAGTCATCTTCTCTTTTCTGCCTACACCTGATCTTTGACAGCTTTACACCACGCATGATTCATAGGCTAATCCATAGGCTCAACGATCAATAAAACCCTTTCCATACCAGTTCTTTCCGATTCCACCACTCAAGATCTATACCGTGGTATCCGGCAACAACTCGCCTCACTCCTCGGAGGCGTGGAGCAGAAAGATCTCAATACCATGTCCTTAGGTCTTGGACACTCTTTGAGCAGGTTCAAGCTCAAATTCTCCACTGATAAGGTGGATACTATGGTTATACAGGCTATCGCGCTCCTTGACGATCTTGACAAGGAGATCAATATATATTCTATGCGTGTAAAGGTTAGCAGAGACTGATTGTGGGTCAGGGCGATGCTAACGTGCAGGAATGGTATGGATGGCATTTCCCGGAGATGGGAAAGATCATTGTTGATAATCTTGCATACGCTAGGGTCGTCAAAGCCATGGGTCAGTAACGTCTTCTATTCACCACTTGATTTGACTCTCGCTTCTCCTCTGCATCACTAAAACACCCTGTACGACTAGGCGAGTAGTATCCACTCCTTCAATCATATCATGATGCCTTCTGCCAAGCCACTTTGATATGGCTGCCATGCTAACTTCTCAGGCTTCCGTACAGAAGCCGCCACCACTTCTTTCGAACTGATCCTTCCTGAAGAACTCGAAGCTACCCTCAAAGCCGCCGCCGAACTGTCCATGGGTACCGAAATCTCCGAATCTGACCTGGCGCATATCCACTCCCTCTGCGATCAAGTCATCTCCATTACCGAATACCGTACACAATTATCAGAATACCTCCGTAATCGGATGCAGGCCATTGCGCCAAATCTGACCGCGCTCGTGGGTGAATTGGTAGGAGCCAGGTTAATCAGCCACGCTGGTAGTTTGATGAACCTTGCCAAACATCCCGCATCCACAGTACAAATTCTGGGTGCAGAAAAAGCTTTGTTCAGAGCTTTAAAGACAAAACATGATACACCAAAGTATGGTTTGATATATCATGTGAGTGACCATCTCTCCCCTTCCTATTCTTCCAACTCTCAAAACATGACAGTCATATGGTCTTTATGATACCTCGAAAATGAACACTTCTGACAGATAGGCATCCCTAGTCGGTCAAGCTCCTCAGAAATTGAAAGGGAAAATGGCACGTATGGTAGCTACCAAAGCCGCTCTTTCAATCCGTGTCGACGCTCTTCCGATGCGGATTCACGTTCAGACCCTCAAGCGGCAGAAGTGGGAATTACCAATCGTGTCAAATTAGAATCTCGTCTTCGAGCACTTGAACATCGTGCTGGTATTCAGGGCGTACGCAAGACGACGGTTGGTAATACAGCAAGACAACAACCGAAGTTGAATTAACGGGAAGTACACCGAAATACAATACTGCAACTGATAATGTACCTTTGCAAAATGGTTCGGGATTGTTACCTACTCAACCGTTGGTTCCGAAGGTAGAGGAGGTGATCACTGCTGTCAAAGAAGAGAAGAAGGAGAAGAAAGAAAAGAAAGAAAAGAAGGAGAAACGGAAATCTGAGATTGGAGCGGATACTACGATGGAGGTAGATGGTGATGAGAGTAAGGTAGGGGAAACGAAAGAGGAGAAAAGGGCGAGGAAAGAAGCTAAAAGAGCTGTGAGTGGTGGTTTGTTTTACTCTGTCTATTTGATGGTACACGAGAATCACTGTATGACTTTCATTCCGATTCATGTGTTTGAGACCCGTGACAGTGATATGAATATAGAGGGTTTGTGCTAATGCGAATAGGCAAAAGCAGCCAAGAAAGAAACAGACGTATCATCGACATCCATCATCCCCTTCAATCAAAGTAACGGAGAGGAGAAAGAAAAGAAATCAAAGAAACGTAGAGCGGAATCAGATGCTAATGCTTTGGTTTTCAATCAAGAGGAAGATGGGGAGAAGAAGAAGAAAAAGAAGAAGAGAGAGTCGGTGGCTTGATGTATATCTCTCACATGATGTTCTTTGGTAGACGAAGATGGTGTGGATCTTGATCCATCTTTATCCAACCGGACGCGCACCAGTGGGATGACAGAGTGGAGGGTTGGACCGTGATCACAATGAGTGTATAACTGCTGATGCTGGGGAAGAAATACACTGGATTAGTGGGAGAAACGAAAAAGGACATATCTCGACAAACGATCAGGTTAGTAGGATGAACCAGGGGGGTAGGGATCAGCACAGGAGGGTGATGGGGTGAACCAGGTGTATGGACAAGATCTGTATGCATACATTTTCCGATTTCAAACAGTCCAGCTACATTACATATTGTTCATACTTCTCCACTCCACTGTTCTCTGTAGCACTTATACACCTTAAATACTTCTCATCTAATTCGGACTAAGACAATACTAACATGAATATACGAATCATATTTTCTTTCAATACTAGAGAACATATTTTTAGTTTCAATCTTCATACGAACCAGGTATCCTTCCTCTTCCTTGCCCTTCTTGATCTCTACGAGTCGGATTGGGATCTGTTGAGGACGGATCAGATCGGGTTATACCGGTGAAATAATGCATGAAATTAGATACGTCTCCCTCCGGGTCTTCAGGTCGAGGGGTGTGATGTGAGGGGGAGGGCGAGATACCTAAGAGAGTCAAGAGATCGGGTGATTGTTCTGAATCGGGTGGGTGGATCGTATTTGGTGGGTGGGTTAGATTGGGTGTTTGTCCTAAATTGGGACGGTAAGTAGGATCGGATGATTCTTCCGAATTTGGCGGGTGTATATTTGGAAGAGGATGTGTAGATGAAAAAGGTTGGGTTGAAGCCCTAGGAACGGAAGAATGTGGTGGAGGGTGGGATGGAGTGCCAGAAGTGAGAGAATTTGTCGGAGGATAAGATGAATTAGATGTATTGGGAAGTATACGTGTGGAAGCGGAAGGGACTGAAAGTAGAGCAGCAGTAGAAGTAGAAGTAGAATTGGGTGGGACAAAAGTTGTAGAAGTTTCCACATTATTCGATGATGTTGGGGGTAACGGAGGATCAGGTCGTTCTCTTATGGACGGAGTGACAGGTGGTGTCCCACCTGAAAAAGCTCTTGTAGGTTGAGGGTGAGGAAGATGTATGATGAGTTTTATCAAGTGTTGGAATGGGAGGGAAAATATGAGTGGAGGATCGTTTATTTGAGATTGTGTAGGAGCTGGAGAGAATGCTTGAGGGACTGAGAATTAACATAATTTCCACATTGCACGATTTGACTTGGGACGCTATTCATATCGTGCGTTTGACCTTTCTCCAATATGTGAGAATGCATTAGCTAGGTGTTGAGGGGATATACAGAGACAGAAGTCCACCGATCCACCGAACGTGCCACGGGATCGAGAGAGTGCATAGAGTAATCGAGAGAGTGGATAGAGTCAAACAAATGGAAATATTGCAACGATGTGGAGTGTACGGAGGTTGTAGAGCATTGGGAGAGAGAACAGAGGTCTGCAGGATAAACACGGGAGTGGGAGTGAGAGTGGTAGAAGAGGTTAAAAAGAATTTTATTCGAATAAGAATGACTCACCATGTTCATCAAACAACTCACTTTCACCTTCTTCATTCAACCACATTTCTTCATCACCCACATCAAACCATTTATCTTTTCGAATTTTACGTCTCCTAAGACTTTCCTTACTTTCTTTTGGTATATCCGGAGGAAGGAGTAGATCGTCATACGGTAGTTGATCAGATTTAAGGGTGGTTTCATTATTCACTATGTATAATGTTACTAGAGCTATGATTCGTATGATGTATATGAGAATGTCGAGGAGGAGTATACGAGTGAGGGATGTTGAACCAGCTGAATGTTAACTGATTTCTTCGTGCGGGTGGACCAATCAGCTAAGGGTGTAAGACATTAGAGTTTCGTTCCAGGCTGGGTTTCACATTGTTTCCACTAAACGAGGAAGATCTCCGTGAGGTAATGGAATGAAGGTAACTTGTGACTTGAAAGATAGATAGAATCTCGTGAGATCATTCAGCATCGACGGGAAGAAGGTTGGAAAGAAGTGGTAAGAGAAGGGAAGGGCAGAGAAATGATTCTTCACTGGATCAAAGAGATGAGTGAAGATGATGTGATTCAACATTGGTGATAAAACTCCAGTGCCCAGTGAGAGACGTATAGAACGAAAGGTGTGAAAATGCATTGGAGGAAGATAGAGACCCACCCTGTCCTACAAAATCAATGATCAAACTTTTACCCGCCTGAGGTCCATTGATGAGATGCCAAACCAAAGCTGTAACGTTCACCCAAGTGAGTAAAATGACCGAACCTAGTAAAGAATGTTTAGGAGGTGAACCGTCGCCTAATGAAGCTGTCAGACGGATCGATACTAATGTACGGAGTGCGAGAAGGAGGAAAGAAGGGGAGTAAAGGTGTTGAAGGACCATGAGGGTTTGAGCAGTGGAAGTGAGCTACAAATCAGTGACGTTCGCTTCATATCGGTCCTACGTTTACTATAGAACAATGTGACTTCCAGCGCAGTCGAAGCTCGAGATTTGTACTCAACTGGACGTGGAATTGGACTGGCTGGAAGGGGGCTTAAGGGGGAAGAAGGGGGGGGGACTTGGAGGACTCACAGTAGAGACGGCATGTCGCCGTTGTGGGGAGTAGACCATATGTCTCTTTGTTTTCGTCCCTTTTATTTACTTATCTATCGTTTAGAATACTCTATGATCATCTCTTCTCCAAGTCTCTGAGCTCGATGAGTGTGGTCCAAGGTGATATACAGTGAGGGATAGATGAAAGATGTGTAGGTACTTGGCATATTTGGGGTAATTTTGAACCAACTCTGCTTGCACTTTTTCCCTTTCCTCTCACGCGTTTTTCCCTTTTTCTGCTTCATCTTTCTCCCCTTTTCCCTCATCTTCTTCATCTTGTTCACATGTCCATCTAGTATCACATCTCAGTTTCATGCTCTTCATACCATCGTCTCACGATATAATGTTCACAATTCAACCCAATCTGCGATACCCGAATTGAGTCGGAACACTTTCAAAATGACCCTTCCTCCCCCGGAGGCTGGTCCTTCTCGTCCATCGCGTTTTTTCCCGAAACCGTTCAACATAGCTCAATACCAACCTCCCCATATCCCATTCTCTTCCCCTGCACCTCGTTCGTCAACCCTTATCAGACCGTCAGCTCCTCCTCCAGCACGTTTCTCATCACCTGCAATACTACCACAACGTTTTCGATCCGTCTCGGTCTTTTCCAACAATGACGATGTCGAATTAGGTCGTCAACGACATGCCTCCGTTCAACGTCTTCGAACTACATGGGAACAATTGTATGATAAATATGGAAAGATACGACCGGAGGAAGATGACGAAATACATTTACGTACGGGTAGGATCACAAAGAATAGGGGTAGATTGAATCAGATACAAGCGAGAGATTTTGGTGAGATAAGTGATACGGAAGAACAAGATCAACAAGAACCTCAAAGACCACAAACACCTGATCCTGATGAAGATGAATTAGGAGGGTGGGATTTTGATTGGGGAGATGATGAAGGAGAAGTTGTACCTCCTCCTTGGACTAGAGAGGATGAAGAAGATCTTGCTGCTTTTCTTAGAGCAGAGGCACAGAGGGTGGCTATGCAAGGTCCTGTAGATACGGAAAGAGAATCTAGTAGGGAGAGTAGTGAAGATAGTGAGGGAGTGGAGTGGAGGATGAGAAGAGGGACTACTATTTCTAGGGATTTATTGGAACATTTTCCAAATGCTCTCACGGATGACTCGGAGGATGAGTTGGCTCATGGATTGAATGAAGAGTTTGTGAAATTGGATCATGGTAACAAGAAACATGATAATGTGAGTCTTTTGTTGATCATCTTAGTCACTCCTTAGTGTACTCAGCCTGACCCGAATCGTTTCCACGTGGCTTGTGATATCAAACTGACTTGAAGCCTGTTATCAACACGGTATCCCCTATACCTGGGCAAACCACACAACAAATCGCAGCTGACAGACGAAAATCGCTCCCACCTCTCAAGAAGGATGTCTTTCCAAGACCAATTGACTTACCACACTCTGTCTCCGCTCCTACCTTACGAGACTTATTCACACCTCCTCCTGATTCATCAGCCCCGTCTCCCGCTCTTCCTTCTCCTGCTGGTGGACGCTCTGATGTCGAGGTCATCCCACGCCATGTACGACCATCATCGGCGCGAAGATCTCGTAGTTACACGAACAATTCCCATCCAGAACCGGTCCAAAAAACTGTCCACACGCAGAAGGATGTCTCGGGAATCGACGATGGCCCTTCGACTGACACTTTCCCATTCTCGGGACCCGCTCCCACTACGTCCGTGTCCAGACGCGTACCAGTTGTTGAAATCATTCAGACGAGGAGAAAAGGTATCAACACCACAGCCCATGCACAAGGTGCATCTCGGTCTAGCATGAAGGCTCCCTCTGAGACGATCTCAAATCAGGAAGCTTATCACCAGTTGAACAAGACGGAAGAGATCAGACGGAAACCTGAAGAACGACCACCTTCTCCACTTGATCCCGCGTACTACCAAAGCCGGCTGATACATCGGAAACATGGGTCGTTGTGGCAATGTCGGTCTTGTCTGTTGGCCGGAGGAGAACGCTTCAGATACGCGAACTTTTGCAAGGGTCGACAATCGGAGGACAGGTGCAGATTTGCCCATCCAGATCTCCTCACTTCATCTCTTCCGCGATCCCATGAGACGTCATCTCGACGTTCAACAGAAAAGCGTCATGTTGCACAATCAGAAAGAGAAACGCGATCTGATGAAGGAGACGATGAAACAGGTGACGAGGCTTCGACCGATGATGATCTCGCGTCTATCAATTCCTGGAGTTTCCAAGCACATTCGACGTGGCGCTCTGAATCTCAACCTCACAAGGCAAGCACGAAGCAGAAGCAGACCAAGTCAGATCTCGATCCAAGACGTTACCATCCAACTCTTTTGATAAACGCTAAGGAGAGAGTCATACGTGTCTGTGAATTGTGTCGTTCGGCCGGTGGAGAGAGGGAGAAATCGGCAGGATATTGCAGAGGACGTTATTGGTCTAGTAAGTGTACGTTCGGAGTAGATGACGAAAGTGGTGAGAGCGAAGGAGAGGGATACGATGCGGACCGATCATTTATTCCAAACACGACGAGATCGAGGACTGTACCACCTAAACAAAAACAAACTAGAACTTCACTTCATAAAGCCGATAATTCTTCATCAACTGAAGTGCAATCAAGTATGGGTAGAGCGTCAACGGTAGTACCATCTGCGAGATCGAAAGTGATGACAAGAACTAAGATGGGCGTGCATGTGTCTGATCGGAAGTCCGAGGTACTGTCAACGAATACGAGAGTACGTTCTGAACCTGCCAACGAAAAACACACCATCACTACTTCTGGAATATCATCTTTTCCTATGTCGAAGAACACCGTATCAACCCGTCGAAAGATTCACAACTCAGTATCCGCCAAAGGATCCGATTCTGATCGTCCTCCACAGTCTTTAGTCTCCAATAGAAGACCACCTGTCCAATCATCGAATGATGAACTGTCAACCCCGAGTCGGGATCTACCATCAACCAACCAGATCATCCCTCATAGACCTCGTAAACGCCCTATCGGATTATCATCACTTTCCATGTCTAACCCAATCCAAAGTCTTCCTTCACCTCCAAGATCTTCATTACCACCTGATCAAACATCCATCACTTCAAAATCTTCATTACCACCTTCTTCACCTCCTATACGTATGAACCTCGGTCGACCTACGCCCTCACCTTCTGTCCCCATATCTTCCTCCCCTTCCATTCTTCCTATATCTTCCACATCTTTTCCTATATCTTCCCTTTCCTCCTCTTTACCTATATCTTCTCCACCTCTGTCATCCCCACTCAAACGACATCATCCATCCTCTGTCTTCCGTCTTACTCCTCATCGATCTTCTTCCCTATCTGATAAATTACCTCTTCGAAGTATCTTACGTCTACCATCGGAGATAACCCATTCATCACCAAAGAAAGCGAGATTTTCTTTAATTCCTCGATCTCCCCAGAAGATGTACACATCTTCTGATATTGTTGATGAAGAAGAAGAGGAGTCAAGTGAAGATGAATTATTACTTGGTCCTTCTCATTTGAAAAGAGGAAAATCTGTTCCTAGTAGTAGTTCAACCTTCAAGTCGGATACTCATGTTAGGAATATGAGATATGATACATACGATGGAGATGATAAGTATGGGAATTCTAGGGATAATGAAGATGTTTTCTCTTCACCTGTTCCTATGGCTTTCTCAAAAGAGATATCGGTAAGAGCTGCAGATATTGGATTAAGATTAGGTCCAGGTCCAACAGGAAGATTATCAAGAGGTATGGTAGCTGCTCTTGCACCTGCTTTAGGAACATTCAGATCATCTTCAAATCTCTCAAATCTCACAATCAGTCACAATCACAATCACAATCCCAATATCCTTCCTTCCACATTCATGGAACTTTCTGCCTCGAAGCAAGCAAACATCGGTGCAGAAACAAATAGGACGAGTAATTCAGAATCGGTTCGAAATTGGAAAATTCATCAAGATGGAAAGGAATCCAATCAAGAAGATTATATCATTTCATCAAATATGACTCAAGTATTACCAACTCCACCAAGAAGTACAGGTAGTACAACATCTAATTCTTCTAAACCGAATGAAGGTTTAATGTTACCACCACCTTTACCGATCAGAACGAAATTACCTACACCTTGTTCTCCCGTCCCTATGAACCCGTCTACATCGATACCTCGAAGAGTTGGATCGATTCCTATATCAAAATCGCCCAATTCATCCGAAAAGAACTTCATATCCACTTCCAAATGGCCCAATACAATGCCACTCGACAGGATGGCAACTACAGACAATGAGGGTTCGCACAAGTACATCGGTGGAACCCCGAGACGGAGGGAGAAAGATGAGAAGGGTGATGGTGCAGTTTCGTACCAGAGAGGCAGTCACGAGGCTAAGAGTATCAAAGGGAAGAACAAGGAGTCGACAAGTGAAAAAGGGGAGAAAGAAGAAGAAGAAGAAGACGAAGAGATCAAAATAATCACTCTTATTCCTCAAATCAGATCTAGATCAAAAAGTATATCAAATTTCGTCTCTATCAAACCCACCACACCTAATACTTTACCTCGTCCACTTAGACACCCAAGGAACTCGAACGAATTCAATATTACTCCAAAAGGGGGAGAATCGAACGATATGAGGATAAGGGAAAGTAGTAGTTTAACAGATTTGAGAATTGTCAGAGATGGCAGATCTAGATCTAAATCTATAGGAATAGGGATGGGGACGATAAAACGTACGAAAGCGGAACTTGATTTAGCTAGAATCGTTAGGACCACAGGTGATGATGAAGGTTTAGAATGGGGTTTAGATGAAGATGTTGGTCAAGGTTGTGCTAGGTTATGGAGAGAAGGTAGTGTTAAATTTATTTTGTAATTTACCTCTAGTAATGTTATATATTCAGGGTTATTTTTATGATTTCAGAATGCATCTTTTTTCATATGAGGTTGTATTTTATTTTATTCTCACACTAATTGTACTGTATCTACTCATGCTTGTTTTTGTTCTTATGTCCGTTTTTCAATGCAGATCGAGGTGGTCAAGGTCGTATGTACTTCATCTCAGATATCGAAGGAGAAGGAGGTGTGATGAATTTCATGGGTAGATCGAGGGTGTACTCTTGAACGTTGACAAGTAGAATGAACGTATCATGTTGAAACCGACCATTCAGAGTCAGACCTATGATGGAGGTGGACATAGGGAAGGAAGGAAGTGAATACTTTTCGGTGTGGTGATTTACAAGGAAAAAACGAATGAAAAGTTGTGAAAGTCATTACACATCGTTTTTTGGGTCTTGAGAAAGAATTCAAGTGCATGATACTTTTACAAGAAAGTGCATATGCAAATGATGAACAAAAATACCAAAAAGAAGAAAGAGAATGATAGGTTTTAACCTTCCGCTCTTGGTCCTTCGACATCCGGTGGGAGTTTTATAATGCCTTTATCTAATGATTTCTTCACAGCTTGATATTCTGGAGTCGTTTGGTTTCTACTATCAGTCGTGATTCACTCAAACATTGATCAGACTTGTTATTTGAATATGTTCCAATTGTTATTGAATATGTTCCATGGTAGTGATGCAAGATCGTTACCAAGGGGCTATTTGGTGTGAATGATTTAAGAAGAGAGAAACGACATGAAGGTGATGAAAGAGAAAAGAGTTGAGGGTGAGAAATACGGATTGACCAGAGAAAATTTGTGAAAGCGAAGGAGTGAGTTTGAAATGAAAGCAGGTATCACTCAATGGTATAGAGATGTGTGTGTTTGTGTGGGGGGGTGGGGGGGGGGGATATAAATGGGAGTGAGAATATGTGACACTGTGGTGGACGAGTGATGAGAAGGGATAAGTTAGTTGAAAGGGGACAGGGAAGAAAACAAAACTTACGTTAGAACATCATCCAAATACGTCCTCAACACCTCTCCAGCCCTCCTGTCCATCTTCTCCACACCTTTTAACCCGTCTGCACGGGTAGGTCCAGTAGATATGATCAAATCGGTTTACCACTCTCTGAGGCTTGTTTGACCAACCGGAAGGCGGAGTAAGTGGCGAGTGAGGTACCGAGTACCAAAAGGCGAGAAGCTTCCAATGCGATTGTGAGGCTATGGGTCAAAACTTCGTCCACTGATAAGTGACATTTTGTTGCCGGTGATGTAAAGATGGATGATGGTCCGTACATGGATTTACTAGATGACCAGCGAGATTTAAAAAACATCATGCGATGAGATCGAGCGATTTTATCTTCAGGAACAGGTCACACTGCGCAAGAATGGGTTTGTCACCAGGGGATATAGACGAGAAGCGAGAGAATGAACCTGGCAACACTCACGATTGATCCCTTACTTGAGGCGTCAAAGTCTCACCCTTTTCATCAGCCACTTCACGTTCCACCGAACTTCTGCTGCACTCAATCCAGGGACAGCGCACGGGACATGTTATGAGTGATCTGGGAGACTAGACAAAGGAAAACTCACAAAAAAGACAACATTGGGCTTGACGATACCTTCCTTCCCTCCTCTTTCCCTACATATCCGGCAGCCGGGAACTCGGAAAGAAGTATAGTCCACTCCACGGAGGTCGACATCACCATCGGGGTTGGTCCGTGGACGACTGACATGAGCTCACTCACAAGGATGACATTTGCATTTGAGATTTGGGCGGTGACCGATCTGGATCGATCGCGTCACTGACATACTCTACCGCCCGTTACGAGTTGGGTTTTTTGTTCATGCTCCTGATTTAAGATTACACCAAGTCGAAGAGTACAGATGGAAGGGAAGAAGAGCGGTGAGAGGAGAAGGGGGCAGTAAACAGGTGAAGGGGACGGGAGGGAGGGGATGCGTGGGGAGAGGTGACCTGGTGAAGATCGACTCACCGACCAGTCCGTTCAGCTTCTTTCGCCTCCTCGTTCCAAACCGGATTCATATCCGCCAGTTCTTGCTGATAATCATCTCTAGATTGCTCATGTCGATGTTCCAGACAATGAACTTTTGCTAATGTTCCATGAAGTTCGAGCAGCGTTGGTCTGGGTGGAGCAGGGAAGGTTGAGGGAAATAAAGATTGGATTATGGAGATGGCTTTGGGATGAAGGTTGTCCACCTGGGAATTAGCGGTTGTCTATGTTATCCCCTCTGGATGATTCAATAGCATGAACAACGAAAAAGACCTCTCATCTCTCATTCTTCCACATCAAGTAAAGGAATAAGGAGTGATATACTAAGAAAGCAGTGATGACCTAGTGATTTGTCTTCTTCAACTCGAGGTAGGTCGGAGGAGACGTATCAAGAGATGAAGAAGGGACTTTTCAACTATATGTAAAGCGAGAAAATCAATTCCTGTTTGTAGATCAAGAGGTCAAGAGAAAAACTCACATTTTGTGTAATATGCTTAGGAGCTAAACCCAAAACCTGTAATGCGGCGATATATATATGAGTTGGATTTGGTAGTGCATCTCTGACTGGTGGATACTAGAAATCAGTTATGTTTAGTTCATGACAGTATAAATTCACACCGAGAAAAGAACGAGCCCAATCTATATGTGAGCTATAATTGACACGGAGCACGATAAGCTCACATCGTTTCCTGTACATTAGCAATCTTCACATGACGATATTTTCATTCATTTCAAACTCTTTGAGAACATGATACAATATATGTTAGATAGAGTAATGATCGATGAACTTACCGGAATATTTCTCCTCGTGGACTATTCTCTACTAATTCATGATACAATATCGGACTTGAGGTCAGTCAGTCATATCTTTCTTTTCCCACTTTTAGGGGGTCACATTTCACTCTGGACGGGATATCGATACGGGAATATGGACGAAACTCAAAAGCGACCACTATGAAGTGAGAGTACGAGGGAATGACAGTAGCCTATACGAAATTCTGAGGGAAGAGTCAGAAGTACATAGTATCAATAGTAAAGGTAAGTGAAAGTTGATACAGCCAGCAGCCAAGGAAGAGAAAACATAGTCAAGATGACTAAACAGAGATTTAGTGAGGTGAAAGGGTATGAAATTGAGAGTGAAATCGAAAGAAGGAAGAAAAATTGTTCAGGAAAGAGGTACACACGTATAATTAGGATTAGTATAATGTCCTTCTTTACCTCTATAAGCTCTTATACCTGAATCTACACTTACTCCAGCACCGGTGATTAATCCTGTTTTACCTTTCCCATCTTGGATAAACTTCGACAGATGTTGAGAAGCTAGGTTGAGAGGGAGGAGGGAGAGTTTTGTAGGTGGGAGGAGAGGAGTTGGAGGGAGAGTAGGGATCGATATTCTGACCATTGAAGTATTCGTTATCCTATTTCCTGTCCAGTGTTCGACCTTCGTGAATAATTGTGAAGGTGGTAGCGTGTCAGTTTGATAGAGATGGGCGAGGCGCGGAAACGAAAGGTGAAGATTCGATGTGTCAAAGGTGAGAGAGCTTGGGGTCCAATTCCGATGAGTGAGGTGAAGGTGGTGAATAATGTTTTTTGTTCAATGGGAAAATCGTGGTGGGAGAGGAAGATGATGCTAGGTGTTGATGTGGGTCAAGTAATACAGCCAGAATGTCACATGGATAGATCGATAGGGGAAACAAGGGCAGGAAAGAGCGAGATCAGCGAAGTAGGAGAAGCTGATATCCTGATATGAGTCGCTGTGAGTAGCAATGATGATCGAGTAGAAGGAAGGATAGGGGGGAGGCGAATCGACATCGTTATCTTATCGATCGATCCATGCATGATCACTTCACTGATTCAAAAGTCACTACTATCCTTTACTGTCCACATGATATTATAAACCCATGACCCATGAACCTATAGTTTAGATCATCTAAACAATGACATGTACCGACGAACAGACGATCCAGACCGTATCATACATACCCCTAACGTACATGCATAGCTTTCCAATCTTCCACCCATTGTTTGACAAAATCAACTTCATACGCGTGCACCTCTTTGATTTCCTTGGGTTCAAGAGAATGGTCACTCAGGCCGTTCTGCTCGTCAGCTGTGGCAGTTGAGGACAGATTCCAGCTCACCTCATCGTAGTGATGGACCGCGTCTGAACGTCAGTACCTATTGAGTTCGAAGAAGGGATGACAAACTGTAAATTATTTGTCGGGGCTCGTTCACCGTCGACACGCGACTGGGTGCAGAGTCACTTTGAGGTGTCTATAGTCAATCAAGGATTTCACACATGATGTTTACATTGTAGGGGGAATGAATAATAAAGCGACACAATGAAGTGGGGAACGACCATAAGCCAGAAGAGTCTGGCAGAGCGCTTGAAAGGAATGGAGAATAGGTAAATAAAAACTCACCACTGGACGCCAAGGATCTCGATCACCATCGATGAATGCCAGTCTATCCGCACGTATCCCATAATCTCCTCTACGGTTGACAGACTCCACATCGGGCCATTGTGGTACTTGATAGTGATCCCCAGGTGGGAACGCCTGATGGCAGATCTTTGAGGTATACTCCAGAGTCAATCTTGACGTTAGCTCCGCTCATCCCATCAACTTTCGTTCGAGTCCAAAGCCAAGGTGGCACTGTCATTTACCGAGGTGAGGGGAGAGCCGAGAAGGGTCGGGCATCCAGCCACTCACAGCTCAGAAACAATGGACGCGCCCTCTGCTGGAGCAGGCATGAAATAACCCCATTGCGTGCAAACTTGGAATAACCACAATCTCCATGTCTGATCAAGTGTGTAGACTTGAAACTGGGCGTCGTTCTGGGTACCGAAGCACTAACTCGTCAGCGGATTTCAAGTGCAAGGTAGGGACGGGGTGACATTTTCAAGGTCCGTCGCGGGATCACCAGTGTCGCGAGGACATTGCGAGACCACACTCTGATCGTCAGCTTTTGACGAAGGAGGAAGTCAAGGGAGTGACGTCGTTGATGTATTTGCCATAGTTGACCACTGTGGAGGGTCTGAGGTCAGTAAAATGTCATCTACCTCTGTTCTCCTGGGATCATCGTCAGGTTTCACCTGCTTATCAAGGACGAAAATAAGTGAACAAGACAGATCAGAGAGCTTTGATGGAGCAAATAAGTACGGTGTCCAACTCACATATAAATGGAATCAAACCAGACCCCGGTCTCATTTGACAACAAAGCATCGCAAAACTGCTGAAACTCGTCAGATCCCACCGTAGGGTCCCAATTCTGCGACTGCCAATTACCTGTCCATCAGCATTCCAATCATCAACATTCTATTTCCCTTCATCATCTCCCGCATGCCATGTCATACAAGCGCACAGCATGTCTAGCTTCCAATATAAGAGGAAGTGACTTAAATCTCAGAATTGAACTCACCAAGTGGACTCTGCAAGACATCCGCAAAGTCAGCGGCATCTCCCAGTAGGTCCAACCCAAACATAGCCTTCAGATCCGTAGGTACTGGTTCTGGATAATACAACAGCTGGTCGATGATCTTGATTGAAGATCGGACAGCAGCTATACAATCGGACGAGGCGTAATGCTTGATGGGGTCGTAGTATTGATGAAAGTCGACCTGAGCGTGGGTGACGGCTGGAAGTCAGTCAGAACGACCTCTCCGCAGACAGACAAGGAAAGACGCATGGGGAAAGTTGGAGTAGAATACTGTGACACGTACCACTTGACCCGATGGCCCCATAGACGATATCAGGATAACCAACACGCATATGAGCAGCCCTGGCTCCGGCATAAGAACCACCGTAGTAGATCCATGGAGTTCTATCGGGCTGCAAGATCCCTTCATCTGATAGCTTAAGCACATCAGAAGGGATTCTGAAATTTCTGATGAACTATTCATCAGCTCAGGATCAGAGGTCATGAAAAAAATAACATCTCCGAAGGGATTGTGGTATCAGGAATGTAGAATAAAGATGATCTCACCTCTGCGGAATCTTCCAGGGCTTCTTCGTTATTCAGAAATCGAAGATTATCCGTTGTTAATGAAGATACAGGTTGAGATTCGCCATAATATCTTGTTGGTCAGTCGAGGCCTCAGAAATAAGAACAAGTCGGTGGTTGATCAAGAGCATTGAAATTCTGGAATATTTTGACATGCGAAGGAGACATTGAGTTCTGGTGAGAGCGGAGTGAAGACATAGACGGTCAACTCACCGATGCTCCAGAACGATACTTAGACCATTGGTAGCGTTAGATAATATCTGCAAAATACCTTGTTTCAGGAATGGAAGTCTAATCGTGAGCGAATGTCGACGATCGAGCGAGAGGTGGAAAGTAACAAGGTCGCCATCATCCAACAATGATACACTGGACGAGTGAGAAGTGCGATGAGTGAAATCATGAGGAATGTAGTCGACCAAACTCACCTATCTTCCCCACTCGTCTCTCCTCCATCGAGAACGAACACGGGACCTCCCTCTTCATACGAGCTAGCGTCTATCCAATACCTTTGACAAAAGGTATCGGTGATGGTATCGTCGAAATGAGAGACGGGTTGTGTGAAGCAATAAGCTTTGTAGTGGGTCAATTGTACCCCGAACGAAACCTGAGTCTCACGTTTCAAGTCCCCAGTGTCACCATCTGAGGATCTTGAGCTGGGTGTTAGTGCATGGGCGTTTTCTAAGTAGCACAGCCACATGGGCACATCTAGAGAGGATGCATGTGCTGAGATGGTGGGAGAGTCACATTGGAGGTTCGGAATACCTGAGCAGACAGCGTGCATGCTTGGCTGAGGATCACTTGTTGGAAGGGAAGCAACTCAGGGGCCGGGATGGATATAGATAAGAAGAAGAAGGAATGAGATGACGTACGTCAAGACTGAAGGATATTTCTGTTCTTGTCTACTCAAAGCTTGCCAAAGACCTATACGAGGTCTACCAGCTCGGAGCAAGAGATGATCGATCTCTGGTGAGAGCCGAGCTTGGGTGTGATGGGTAAGGATGGCAAAGAGGAGGAGGGGGGACAACATGGTTAGCATGTTGGGAAGTGGGGGGTGTGGTGTGAGGGAAGGAGCGTGGAACGGTGATTGAATGGTTATGGGGGAGGGTTGACAGTGCTCATAGGATCTGTGAATTTGGGGAAGAATCGGTTGGATATGGACCGGAAAGAGGAGTCAAGCGAAGCGAATAGACTATAGACGATCGATGGTGCTAACTTTTGAATCGGCTTAGCGAGCACGTGACACCCGCTTCCGGAATACAAGACCTTGAGGAGAAAGGATATGCATTCAGACAATGCATACAAAAACACTCCAGGCAAGTAGATAGACATGTGGTATCACTCCTTCTCACCCTACCACCAAGATAAGATGAACATATAAAGAGCAACACGACCCCGTCCAAAAGGAGGAAGGCCGGACCTCGTTCTCCGCCTCTCCGAGCACCTGACCGTCGTGGGTATCGAGATGATCAAGCGACTCTGACCGTTAGCTTGGTACTTCTTCTCTTCCTCCTAAGCTACTAATCTCTAATACCTTCAGTAAAAGTAGTGGAGGAGAAAGAGGAATGTCATACTGACCAGTTGGAGAGGCGGTGGTGAAAGTGTTGAGAGCAGTTTCGAGCATGTCTTCTAGTGGCACGCGGAGATTGACGGAATGTCCGTTGAGATCGAGATTTTGAACTTCCAAATGTCGAGTGGACCATGGACCATGACGCTTAACATCAACTACGAGTACTCGTACTGCTCTTCTTCTTCTTTCTTCACACAACTCAAAGAATCATCCTGTTGTCCTTCACTTCATTATCATACGGCTCTCGCCGATACGTACACTCTAAAGCTATCCGATCGATTGATCTATTCCCCCCTATCAAATTATCCAGACGACCTCTAGCTTTCCCAACCTTGCTCAAACCCCCTGCGCGAGACCTCGTCGATCCCAATTCCTGCTCATCGGACAGTGGACGATCTTCATCAATTAGGGATTTGAAGTCTATATCGAGAGCTCAACCACCAGAACAGTCAGCCCCTCCTACGATTCAACGACAAGAGCCAATTGAATCGACTCCCCTAAGAAGGGACATGGAAAAAGATTATCGACCTAATTGGGTTGTACGTTGTCTTTCCGTACCTGGACCAGATACCTCATTATCTCTTTATATAGCATTTGACAATGCTCGATGGCTGTTTGGATGTGGGGAAGGTACTCAGAGGGCGTTTATACAGAAAGGCTTGGTGATGAGAAGTTTGACGGGGATCATCATGCCCAGTGGTGGAAGTAAAGATCGGAATGGGCTTCCTGGTGGGAACTTCCTTCTCAATTCCCACTTCTTCCCTGGAATTTTTTTACTTTACTCCACAATTTCACAGTAGCTGACGGTACGGGAGGAGAGTGGCTTGGACTGACAAGATAGGACTGATTATGACTGCTGCCGATGCGGGGATAAGGAATCTCGATATTATCGGTCCTCCAGATGTGGGACATCATCTTGCCTCTTTTCGAGCTTCATTACAGCGGTAAGTCTTTATCCCTGCCTCTCACACCCCATTGACGACTATACCCCGGTCCAATGGATGCTGAGCAGTGGCTGATTCTATAGAATCTCAATCAATGTCAAAACTCATCATCCTTCCACTGCCTCTTCTGAATTGAGACAAATATACGACCATCCAAGCATCAATATCAAAGCTTTCTCTATCTTACCTTCATCGCAATCTGACTCGAATGATCAATCATCCCCTATCCCCACACCTCCTCCTTTTATACCCATCACTTCCACAGTAACGAATCCCGTGCCCCACCTGCATCCACCAACACAACCATGGGCTCTCCCACCTGACCAAAAGAACACCTGGATAGAACATATCATGGACGACATGTTCTCTCGTCATTTTGCCAAACCCAGTCCCGATACGCCAGGTCCGATACGACCAAACTCTGCCGATGCTAGATATCCTCTAGGATTGCTAGACGACTCAGTTCAGAGATGCGATATGATCTACGTCTTTCAAGCTCCTGATTTTCCTGGGAAATTTGACGTTGCTTCTGCTGAGCGATTAGGGGTGTATGGAAAAGCGAGGGGGTTGTTGGTAAAAGGACAGACTGTGGAGGTGAAGGATCCTAGTCAACCGGGTGGAATGAGAATTGTGAGACCTGAGGAATGTTTGAGTGGAGGAGGCACAGGGGCAGTGAGTCAAACGTCACGTTCACACATCTGTTCTAGGACCCAATTGCTCTGATGTGTTTGAGTAAGGAATGCTGACGAATCAGGTAATGGTGATTGTACAATGTACAGAGAAGACAGTATCTTCTTTGTTGGGATCGTCTCAATTGAACGATTACAAACATCCTGGAGGAGGCAAGACGGTCGCTTTGATGGTGCATCATACATCCAAGGATATTTGGATGAGGGAAGACTATCAAAGATGGGTACAATCTTTTGGTACCGAGCCAAAAGTGAGTTCTCCGCCGACCAAATTCAGATAAAATTGCAAGTTGAGATAGCCAGTAGCTGATAACGTAGCATCTCTTAGCTGACACTACACCCTCTCCCAACGAAATCTTCTTTACTTCGGCAGCATGGAATCATCTCCATCTCTCACAAATCGATTCTACGATATTTCACTTTCCAAATTCACTTCCTCAAACTACACCGCCTATCTCTTTACCTTCAAATACCGTCCTCTTACAATCTGGTCATAGTATTCGAATGCATCCTCCTGGATCACTCGAACTTCTCCCTCGACCATCCAAAGATATCCCTTTCCCACTACCTTATCTCTCATCGATATCTGATATCCCTTCCCCTTCATCTGAATATCTCAACGCTTGTTTGAAAGCTCAAGAAACGGTCAAACACTTATCACTTCCCATACCACCTAAAACATCAGCCACTGAAACGACACCCTTGCAATCTGTCAATCCCATCCTCCCTCTACAAGACGTGGGTATGAAAGACCAGCATGACAAAGTCACATATGAAGCAGAACCGAAAGTAGGGGACGACATAATCATCACAACCCTCGGAACAGGGTCAGCTCTTCCAAGTAAATACAGAAACGTTTCTTCTACTCTTGTAGAGATACCAGGGACTGGTGGAGTATTGTTAGATTGTGGAGAAGGTACTTTAGGTCAATTAAGAAGAAGGTTTGGTGATTTGTCAGAGCTCTGGAAAGATTTGAAAATGATTTTCATCAGTCATTTGCACGCTGATCATCATTTGGGCTTACAATCGATTTTGGAGGATAGGTTCAAGGTGGGTTTACGAAGTCTCCTATTTTTCTCCCCTCTCCAACCTTTGTCTTGATCACATTTTTTACACGTACTGCTCTCTTATATCTGGGTCATGGATCATCAAGGTGTTTGATAGTTCAGTGCAACTTTCTTCTCCTCGTTGTAATTTTGTCTCGAACGGGATACCTACGACACACTTCATGTTACCCAAGGTCACCGACTGGTCCTCAGTTTGTGACAAATGTCATTACTCTGGGGAAGCGTCAAAGTTTCGAGGAAAAATTCATGTGTTATGGTGTAGAGTTGATAAATAGCATAACATACATACCCCACTATACATCATAGCTCCAATACAAATAGCATTATCATTACAAGAAAGTTATAAATGGCAATTGGACGTTCCTCGGGAAGCATTGAGAAATTTGGTGTTTTTACCTTCCAACAGAATACAGGGTATGATATCCCGGGATTCGTTGTCTTTGGTCAAGAGGGTTGATGGTGGATCTGGGTCGTCTGTGGGGGTGGGGAAAGATGGGTCGGAGGGTTTGGGAAGGGGTTGGCCGTTCGGTTTGTTGTATAGTCCTGAACTTGCTTCGTATGTCTTTATCTGAACTCAGGTCATTTATCCTGTTCCCTTCATCTCTCATCTCTCATCTCTCATCTCTCATCTCTCGTAGTATTGCCTCACATGGTATTTCTTAAAGCCGAGTCGATCTGACGAACAGTGAACAAACTCTCCAAACTAACCTCCGAGCTTTGTTCGACGCGTTATCTCTCGAAGAAATACAAATACCTTTGGTAGAACATCGTGGCAGGGCTTGGGGTCTAGTGCTGAAACATCAAACAGGGTGGAAAGTAGTGTGAGTTTTTTTTTCTCTTCTCTCTTGCTCGTGACCCCCAACTCTATACTATCAATCACGTTACTGCATGTCATCATTATCTTCCCTATTCATCATATCCTCTGAACTTACACTGAATCACTCACCGTAAGGAACCAGGAGCACAGTTGACACATAGATACTCGGGAGATACAATGCCTTCTGAGAATTTGATACAAGCCGGAAAAGGAGCAACTGTTTTAATTCATGAAGCTACTTTGGAAGATGACAAACCTGATGTTGCAAAGGAAAAAGGACATTCTACTTTTTCTCAAGCTGTGGGTGTTGGTAGAAAGTGAGTCTTCGTTCTCCTCATTGTCATACCTCACTTCCCCAACGAAGTGGCTCTGCAATCATCACGGTTGGGTCGTTTCGGTCTTCCCATCACCATCCCCGTCTATACACTTCAACACCCTAACCGAGGTGGCTGCCCGTCGAGCATGATTGATTTGCATCGGTCTCCCCTTTACACTTCTCATCTATGCATCGAAACACCTTGTCGAGACAGTTCTGCATTCATTATGACTGATTCGTGTTGGTGTTGATTATCAGAATGGGAGCTTCACACATCCTTCTGAACCACTTCTCACAACGGTATCCAAAACTTCCTCGACTTGCCCCTTCCTCCACTTTCTACCCTTCGTACCCAACAATCGACCAAACCGACCAAACTATTCCTTCCACCTCAGAAGCCGTCGCATCAAAAGGGACGGATCCAAGTCACACTATATCATCTCCACTTCAACCCGATCCAGAACCCATCATCTCCATCTCATTCGACTTGATGTCTATCCGCGTAGGGGACATGTGGAAAATGTCCCATTATATGGAGGCCATGTCCCTTTTGTTCGCCTCCGAGCCGGAAGAAAGTGAGGGGATGGTAGAGGGGGATGTGAATAGTGTAGGTACGAGGCAAAAGAAGAGAGGATCGGGTGAAGCTTTACTTGATGAAGTGGTTTCGGCCAAAGAGGACGCTGTGGGAACTGAAAGTGGGGGAGGAGCAGGGAAGGGGTCGACGACAGTTAGGAAAGAGGGCCAGAAGACTGATATGCATGACGGGTCAGTTCAGGACTCGGCTTTGGGGAAAGAGAGTGGGACGGTAGAGATGGGAAGGAAGAAGAAGAGACGGGCGGAGAAGGCGAAACGAGCTGGGAAAGGTTTGTCTGGAGGAGATGGTATGATCAGTGGAAGTGGGGTAGGTACGATGGAGGGGAATGTTTTGGGTGAGAAGCCTGAAGTGGGCGGGCAGGAGGTTGTCTGATCTAGGGACATTGGGGGTTTTTCGATTTGCTAGGCGGAAGGGTGGCATCAAGACAACAACTTGCATGATTTATTTACTTCTCATCAACTACTTGACAAGGTATCCTTGTCACTCGTCGTCATTCTGCAGATACTTGTATCCTTACAGGTATGATCTGGGAGTGAGTATACCATTATGATAAGTGACGAGTACAGCTACCCTAGCCCGAGGCAGGGTTGTATACAGAGTACGGTACCGTACTGTACTCTGCAAGTACTCTACTCGTAGTTACTCGAGTAGGGGCAGTGTGGGGAAAGCAGTCGGATGTGTAAAGTGGAGGTTGAACAGTGGGGCTCCGTAAAACACGCGACGCGTCTTTGCACCCCTTTCACCCAAATGGCAATGTTCTTCTCTACAATTTTCCCACTTCACCAACACAAAGTCCAATACAAAAGTAGTCATTATCAACCCCCCGACTTCTCCTCCCACTTCCTCGGAAATATATAAAATCGATGTCTTCTCCTATCCACCTTCATCCAAGACCTTCAAACCTATACACTGGTAATCGGATCAATATGAAAAACTTTCCTAGTGAAATGGAAGAATACGAAGATTCACAAAATCCACAACAAGATATTCAAGATATTCAAGATCTCACCCCTCTTGATCGTCTTGAAATATTCTTACCAGCTGTACAATCTCTAACCAACGCATTAGGAGGCTACGAAGAAATTGAAATTCTTGATCCTATCTCTAAACCCGATCCCAACCATCTATCCAATGACAAATCCATATTTAATTCCAATGGAAAATTTATTTCTAAACAAGAGAAACAAGATGAAAAATTCGAAACTATCTATCGACCAGGTGATAGTGTAATAGCAGTCCTGAAGGATTTGAAAAAATTATGGAGAAAAGATGATACGGATGACGAAAGGACAGTAGCTAGATGTATGGCGAAAGCTGGTACTATGAGGGAATTAATTAGTTTAATGGTTGAATGTACTGAAAGAGGTGAATGGGGTAGAAAAGTTTCTTTAGTTGCTTGTGAGTTTTTTTTTGCACCTCCATAAATAATTCGATATTTGCCGAGGAGGGGATTACACATCGAGAATTGAGAATTGAAGAATTGAGAATTGAAGAATTGAGAATTGAAGAATTGAGAATTGAAGAATTGAGAATTGAGAATTGATGGACTGATGTTTACAGGCGATTTGATAGCCGCTTTAACTTGGCCTATCGATGTACAACAAGAGTTAAAGGAAATGGAGGATGAACAGGATATCGTCAGTGATTATGCTTCACTTTTGAGGTATCAAGTGGAATATAAAGTGAGTTTGCTTGTTGTCATCGTCACATCTCCTATTTATCTTCATCTTTTCATCTCGTCTTTCACCATCCATGTGTAGATTGTATGAATGGATTGATGTAAGACGGAAACTTCACTACTCTTAACTTCTGTTTCTCGGTGGTTAGCATTTATGTTGTGGTGTAACTTTGTGTCCCTTTTTATCTTGCTTCAGTGGTCGACTTTTTGATGTGTGGTGATTTTGGAGAGACAGAATGTTAATGATCAGGCTATGATATTACAATCCCCCGCACCGTTGAGATGTCTCTTGACACTTATTTTACCTTCATTGGCCAAACCGAAAAAGTTAGTCATCTCTCTTCCATTTTATTCCCACTCTTTCACTGCCCACTTGCCACTCTCACATATGTACTCTCATCGAGCCATCTCGGATTGAAAGGTCTCCATTTGAGTAGAAAAGAACATCTAAAACAGATAAAGTAAAAGACATGCTCACACGAAGGGATGAACGTGACTCGCGTATCATCTCTCTAGGTCTTCACATCGTCCGTAACCTTCTCGCCATTCGAGACGACATAGCGGACGGTTCTGCCGTTGGAGAAAAAGCCGAGTTTTCAAATCTCCAAGTCAGCTACTCTCTTCTTTTCCTACCAAGCGATAGGCTGACAAATTCAGTCATCTTTGGTCATTCAACTTGGTCAATTGACATATTTTCAACTGATATTGTCTTTAGCTTCTTATGGTGACAAAACGGATTTCAACCAGTATAACGTATTGGTTTTGGATATCTTGCATTTGGTCTTTAGATCTGTACGAGCGAAAGACCTGGCGCAGGATCAAGCTAGGGTGAGTAACGTCTTGTTCACAGTCACATCACACCACTCTTTAGTCTTATTCCTCTTGCTAGGCTGATCGCCCTCTACCTCCGTGCATTTGACTTCCCCCCCTCCGCGCTCATGTCCAATCTCACAGACCTCCTACTTTCAGATGTGACGCTGCTCGCAATGATGAATGACGTGTCGTCATACTTGAGGTGAAGCTGAAATATCACTGACCCAAAGGCCCCCATAGAAAATCTATCCAAATTACTCGAAAGTGAACGTAGACAAAAAGCCCTACATTCAAAAGTCGGAATGACCCGTCATTCTCGATTCGGAACTACCATCGCCGTCAAAGCCGGTGATCAAAAATTGGTACTACATAAACAAAACGCCATCACCGTCGACGCTGGTAAAATCCTAGATGCCGGTAAGAGAAAACGTGCCGAAAGAAAAAAACGAGTGGTAAGTTATCCCTCCCCTTTTTCTGGCCCCTGTAGCAATATGGAGGTTGACAGGCAGGATGATCCTAGTCGTCTTACTTCGTACACTCCCGACGCTATGCGAATCTTACAAGATGTCGCTAAAACATTCCTTGAGGCATGTTTTAACAGTAAGTGATCTGCCATTAACTTTGGTCATCTTTACTCACTGATAGCTTTCTTCGCTTCTGTACTCAAAGATATCCGGATGGAGAGAAGTAAAATACGGCCAGCTGATAATACACGAACATTGAGTTTGTCTAGGTTTTTCGTAGAGTATTTGCTACTTGTTCGACAGAAAGAAATCGATAAGAAAGCGACGCAGCAGACGAAAAATGGTGTTAATGGGGATGAACGGAATGGTGAAGGGAATGAATGGAGTTTAGGGTTGGTGGGGGAGATGGCGGAATTGGATTCGGTACGTTGGGTTGTGGGACGTATGAAAATTACCATGGATGAGAAGGTACGTTTGACACTGATATATTCTCCTGTCCACTTGTCCCATTCTAGTAACACTTTTCCGCTTATGAGCCAGACAAATGGGTATAGCTAATGTCTAGCCTCCGGCTTTGACGGAATTACAAGCATGTTTAGATTGTTTCACTCAAATAGTGAGTACTCTATTCCACTCCATTTCTGCCTCCCCTCGATCTTCGTCCTTGATTCCCAATTCTTCAATCCGAGTTTGTCTCTTCCAGCCGTTACTGCTTGCAGAAAGTGAGAGCACCCAATGAAAAGAAGGAGAGGAAGGAGGAAGATAATCGTACTTACTCTTAGCTTCTCCTAATCGACGCCATGTCCCTTTCCACAGAAGAAGTAGATAACGAAATCGCCGAAATCCTTCAAAACCAACTATACTACAATGGTGACGTTCTCGACGCTTCATTAGCAGTCGTCACGAGCTATAAAGAAAATACGGGTAGTGTTACATATCTCGATTCTGTAGTTCATTTCGCTTATGTCCTTTTGAGGATGTTGGAAAGATATAGTAAGACTAATACTTACATGTTTGTTCGGAAACGTAAAGCTGCGAAGAAAGCTAGGAAGAAAACTAAGGGTTCGATGGAAGGTGAAGTGCCTGAAGAGTTTATGGGGGATGAGGGAGTTGATGAGGAGGATGTAAATGGGGAGGACGAAAGACAAGGACAGAGTTATAAAGAACACGCTTTTCAATTCTCCTCTTTCGAGCAGGTAAGTTCTACCCTCTTACAGCCATTCTTCTGATTCCATTCGAAAATTCATCCCCACACTCTCCGTTTTTTTCCTTCAATCGTTCCGACTTGGCTTTCTCGTCATGAGCAACGCCCCCTGACCACCTAAGGCAGTAAGTGGAGAGGAGGGGTACTTGTGGACAGATGGTACAGACCGTTCATGAGTGTATGTGAAGAAATGACATATTCGCTAATGTCAAGCGCTTCGCACAAGAATCAGTAGTCAACACTCTTCTCTCCCACTTATCCCGATTTCAAGAATTTGACGATCCAGATCAACTGAAGCGTGTCGTCGGATTAATGCATCGTCAAGTTGTTAAATCTCAAGCTGAAGGATTATACTTTCGTGTTTCTTGTCTTTTGTTATTTCAACGTATATTAGATCAACAACAGTCCTTACCGAAACATGAAAGTTCGACGGATTTGATACATTTGATCAAATTCATCTTGAGGAAATTTTTCAAAAAAGTGAAAGAAGATCCTTTTGTCATTGTTGAAGCTCTTGGTCCTAAAAGTAGAGGGAAGTGGAAAGAGTGGAGTTCTTATAAGAGTGAAGAGGATGATGATGATGATATGGGAGGACAGGGGAAGAGGATTAGGGAAATGGTGAGTAACTCTATTTTTTCTTCCGAATTATCGTTGCCCTTCCATCTCTCCCATATGTTTGATTCACTTTCACTGATCCACCATCGAATCTGGGTCTGTGAGAGTGGTGAAAAAGGGCTGTCTGGGATCATGAGAAATATTGTTGGTGTGGAGTGAATTGGTGGTACGGTGGGATGCCGGAGTGAGAAGAAAAAAGTTGACGATTAGCTTGAAAAAGAGCCGACAGAATTGGAATTTAAGAAGAATCGAAAACTTTCATGGTCACAACAAATGGGTGTGATAATAGGTATACTCTTGAAAGATGGGCATGAATCGTGGATTCGATGGATAATGAGTGTAAGTATTGACCATCACCTCTTTCATACCGCCTCTTCGTTTCTCTCAACCTTCTCCGCCCAAGGCTTCTTATCTATGGCTTTTGACTTTGTTTCAAATCTGCAGTGAAACACGTTTTGAGGATGCTGATGAGAAGGAACTTGAAATCGCCTTGGCACAAAGACAAGAAGTCGTACTTGCCACAGATGTACCATTGGCAGATCAAGATAGTGAAGAAGAAGAAGGACGCGCACGGAATTTCGCTGGGCCCAGTAATGATGCGATTGAGAAGTTTGTCCAGCATGGTAGGTTCATTCTTCTTCCTTACCTCTATCTCTCTCGTCATACAATCTTACGATGTTAATCGTCGTTGGGCCTACTTTGAAACCTCTTCTACCTGTCCAATCACCCAATTAACTCTTGACGGCTCATGATCCTCTTAATCAGCTGAACAGGCTATTTCATGTGGTCCAAATAGCTGATGAAAAGATATTGAACCACAAAACGAAGAGATCAAACTTGCTTTGTCCAAGAATTCACATTTCCGTCTAATGTTAAGACTCTTATCGGTCGAACGGACCGAAAATGACATTGGTAAGTTATCCTATGTACCATTTTCCTTACTATCTCATCAAACCCATCACCAAACCTACTTTTGAAATTTTTGTTGATCATACCAGCGGAAAATCAAAATTTCTTCATTCCACAATCTATCCTCCCTTCCAACCTCGAAACTTCTCTTGGGGCTTTATCCCAATTTTTACTTTCTCCACCAGAAATAGAAAACCCTCAAACTCTTCTTCGTAGAGCTCGAAAACCTCGCGTGTACGCAGATACAGACTCGTCTGGTGGATCCGATCAAGAAGGTGCCGAAGGTGTAGGGGAACATGGGGGAAGGCGAAGACGAAGAGGAGATGGAGAAAATATGAAAGAGAAGAGGAGAAGGAAAAAGAGAATAAGTAGTGATGGAGATGGAAATGAGGAAGAAGAAAGACCTAAGAGGATGAAAAAGAGGAAACAAGCGGAAATGCAAGTTTATAAAAGTGCTGCTTTCATACTTGATTCAGAAGAGGAAGAAGATGATGAAGTTTTCTTCGCTAGGGAACGACGGTTAAGGGAGGAAATGGAAGAAATGGCTAAGAAACAAGGGAATGTCATGAGGTCCACAGGGACTAAGAAGCGGAAGAAGAATAAGAGAGGAGAGAGAGAGGCTGAGAAGAAGGATGAGGGGGTTGACTTTGAAGGTGAGAGAGATGAGGTTGAACATGAAGATGCAGGTGATGATGAGGTCGAACAAGGGGATGATGAGGTTGAAGATAGGGAAACGGATGTGGAGATGGAGATGGAGGTCGTGTCTGAGACTGGAGGGAACACAGCAGGTGAGGATGAGGGTGTAAAGGGGCACAGAGAAAAAGAGCCGGATGAAGAATCGGAGGGCCGAAAGAAGAGTGGGAGACGAAGGATGAGGGGAACGAGTGGGAGTAAGAGTGAAAGTAAGGGGGACGTAAGTCAATCAACAGAAGGGATAGAGGAGAATCGGAGCGAAAGAAAAGTACGTCGGGCATCCAAACGTCATAAAATAGACGAAACAGATTCAGACTCGGACTGAAACTCTTCTGTACAAGTAGGATACTCAATCTCAAGCCGATCTGGGATGCATGGTGCTTACTTGTCCACACAATTGAAAGTGTCATTTTGTGATGGGGGAACTAGAGAGAATGTGCAAATGCTTTACATGCAGAATGAATAAGATGTTCACAAATCTATGTGACAACCACACTTCAATGCGTATGTTCCATATGTGTATGAGTGGATCCAAATCTACCAAACAAAGCCTCGCCGACGCCTGCGCCAAGCACGATGCACATGACCCACCAAATGTTGAAAGACATGACTGCCAGCCTAGAGAATTAGCTGTGCCTCTATCTCCTACTCTATCTTTACACTCTACCTCCATTGACGACTGTAGTCGATGTGAGGCTAAATTGTACAAAAGCGGAAGATCTGCGTACCTCTTCAACCCACTCAGTGATAACCTCAGTAGCTGAAGTGTGACTCAGATATATATATAGACAGAGGAACCATATAGGGGAGGAAACCTGGAAAAAGGGAAAACGATAATGGATGACAACTCCGAGTTGAAGGAAAGACCCAACACTCACATGAGTAAATAATGCACTAAAGTCTGTAAAGCTTGTAACATCCCTCTAGGCACATCCACACCCCATCGGAATGGTCGACTCCATCTCCCTTCCCTATCCGCTCCCATACGTCGTACAGCTCGAGGTAAATGCGAGTTACTCCCATCCTCCAGATCCACATCCGCTAGGTCTTTTTCGTCCCTCTCGGATTGTCTGTCAACGGTGAGGATGGTGGTATTGCTCGCTGGTCCAATAGAGGCGTATGAGGGAGAAGGAGCGAGGTTCTCGGTTTCCGTTCTTGTGTAGACGGCTTGAGGTTTGGTGGGTAGAGTGATACGGCCTGATGAGTGGGTCGAAGAGAAGCCTACTTGGCTAAGGAGTCAGTGACTCTCTTCCTCCTTTACCCGCAGCATTCCCCCGTAGGCCCAGAACATGCTAAACTTTTACCTCAATCATACTCATATAGAGAGAACGAATACATGACTTTGGGTCATGGAGGAAAGAAAGAGGTAGATCCCGAGATTCATCCTCAAGATATATAAGTGGGGGAAGGATGCCAAGGAAGAGAGAGGGGGAATAGGCGAAACTTACCCCTTACTCCAAGCTACATCACAAGCCCGTCGGAAAGCCATAAGATATCTCTCGAACACCCCTAACAAGAACAATCCTATGCAGACACCAGCGGTAGCCCCTCCTGAGGTAGGCATCCAAGAAGCGAACCATAACACTGTTCATCAGTTAATCTCTTCGTTAATTATAGCATCGAGAAACTCGCAAAGGGGCGCATATGGTGACAATGAGAATTAGAACACTCACTGTCTGTTCCTATAGTCCCATGAAACCACATTTTCATAGGCATATCCGTCCCACCCGTTGACATTCCTACTCATCAGCTCGTATTCAACTCCATATCTTGCGACCACACATTATTCAAGATGGAAGAGAAAGGGAGAGAGGATGGACTCACCATCTGTCATACCTGACATATCCGCGTCCATTTTGCTGTACTTTGCTTCTCAGTAGGATGAATGCTTTCTCTGTCTGCTCGTGGTCACTAGTAAATGCCAGAAGATATAATACGAGGTGCGAGATGGTTTGTACGGGGAAAGAGTGACGTTGCGATGACATAGACCGAGGTCGCGTCTCGTCGCTGTGGTTACCTTTGGACCAATCGGATTCATCTACCCCATCTCCTTTGGGGCTCCACAGTCCGGTGCCTGAGGCAATTCTTACGGACCTGAGCCATTAAACCCATGACGTGGGATTTAACCGAGAATATTTGATCGGGTTCGGGAATCGATCGTGCCTGAATCTCGATCGCACCCCCAAGTGGAATGCCCCCACTGCCGATTCTTCTCCCTCTCCAACTCTGACAACGAAAGTCTATCCTCACTCACCCCTTCAGGCCTTCGGAGACAACAACCCTAAAGTAACAGAGAAAGGCGAGGAGAAGAGAAAGAAAAAGTTGCCAAAGAGAAAAGGCAAAAACAACGCAAGATGGAATACGCATACGCTCTCATCGATAGAGGTTACGTACCTGATATGGTACTACGGCCTGTGATTCGAAAGTTGTGTAGGAACAGACAGAGGGAGATTGATCATGGTCAGTGATCTCGTTCATTAATCTCTACCCTCTGCTCTGGCTATTTCCAGTAATTGTCCCTTTCCTTGTCACCTCTACTGGGGAAAGAGAAAGCGACCGAAAACTGCCCGTGAGACCGTGTACTCGGTATCTTAATAAGACGAATCGGTCCGGGGTCGGCGGAGACAAAACACTGACAAGTAGGTAGCCTCGAAGCCAACCACGCTGCCAAGCTATCCTTCATCTCGGATCTGTACCACCAACCCATTGCTGTACACCAAGACAAAGCCAATGAACAGCACTACGAGATTCCAACTTCTTTCCTCCGTCTTTGTCTTGGACCGAGGATGAAGTATTCTTCTTGTTTCTGGCCCACACCTACTTGTTCTCTGGTAGATGCGGAGGATGCTATACTTTCGCTCTACTGCCAAGAGGCAAGACTCGGGTTAGGTCTGAGAGGTGTAGGGAAGCCGCAGACAGTGAATTCAGTTGGTCCGATTTCTTCGGAACTTTCTTCTGTCGCCCATGAGAAGGAAAAGGGAGTGGTTGGAGATGCTGAGTTGAGAAGTTGGGAAAAGATGGGAGGAATAGGGAAAGAAGGAGAGGGTTTGAAGATTCTTGATATGGGTTGTGGATGGGGAAGTTTGGGGTTGTTCCTTGCTGAGGTAAGTTCGGTCTCGTTCTCCCCAGGTTCTCCCGGAATGGAAACCAGTCAATACGTCCAATGCGGATCAGGAGATGGTAGTCAAGTGAGGCATGGCCAGGGACAAAGATGGAGGATCTTCATTGACATTTCAGCATTACCCGTTGGCTGAAATTACTATGCTATCGAATTCCCGCACTCAGAAAGAATACATTGATTCTATAATTACAGACAAGGGATATGAAAAGGTCGAAGTGATCACGGGTGATGTGGCGACTTACGAATTCTCTCCTTCTCAGTAAGTACCGTATATTCTCTTACCCTTTCTACCTGATCTCTTCTTCCAGTCCTCTAATCGCCTCCGACTGTCTTTCTGCACGCTACGGGATCAAACCCCTCTTGAACCATCATTACTGTCCGACAATACATCTCTGATACTTTTGAACCTACACCCAATGATAAATCCACCACAGCCTGGAAGTTTGATTTGTGAACACAAAGAACAACCGGACTGATCCCAGATTCACCCATATCCTCTCTATAGAACTACTCGAACACCTACGATCCTACCCTCTCCTTTTCACCAAAATCTCAACCTGGCTACAACCCCATGGAATCCTTTACATCCATATATTTTGTCATCGAACCCAACCATATCTTTTCCTTCAAAAAGACGGATGGATGGCTCAAACTTTCTTCACTGGAGGTTGCATGCCATCATTTGATCTCTTTCTTTATTTCCAAAAACAGTTCACTATACTCGATTCTAAATGGATGAACGGACGACAATATTCACGTACATTAGAAGCTTGGTTGAAGAATCAAGATAAGTTTCAGAAAGATGGTTTGGAGATATTAAGGAAAGAAATGGGTTGTGAAGAAGGTGAGAAAACGTTTTGGAGGTTTAGGGTTTTCTTCATGGCTTGTAGTGAGTTTTTCGGCATGGATCAAGGTGAGACTTGGGGTGTGGGGAGGTATTTGTTTGAGAAGAAATGATGAGTTGAGCATCATACCTTACTTCCTTTTGCTTGATCACTATGATTCTGGAAGGATTTTCTCAACATCATTAAATCATGCTTCCCTTAAGTTCTTCCATGTTTGTACAGACCACTTTATGATATGATTACGACACAATGTGTATAGATTCTTGTAGATATTAAACAGCACATGTTAAGTTAGAGTGATACATAAGCATCCCATGCATTCAAGATCTCATTTCACTCAACATGATTTTATTTCCTACGATTCACATACGGTCCACAAGTGGAAGACAATGTTGACGACTATAAATCATCGGGCAAACCAAAAATCGACACTTCGAGGAGCTGTCATCAGTATCCATTCACTGATCTCCACTTAAAATCTGATTGATAGTGAATAGTAGACATACCTTGCCCTATCGACACTTTCTCCGGTATTTCCAAACCGTCACCTGTAATATCCAATAAACGAATTTTCAATGCCAGATCATTCAGCATCTATTCGTTAGTCTATTGGCATTACATCTCCATCTGCCACACGCTCGGAAACATTCGTTCGTACGCACTGACTATCTGTGAGAATTATGATAAACAGGGCGGTGAGAAAGGGAACGGGAAATTGACACTGGGGCAAAGAGCTGAGGAAAAGATGAATTTCATGTGGTGTATGAAATTATCAAACTCACTTGCAAAGCCGCCCCACTTTCTTTAGTCCCCATCCCTCCTTCACCCCTTAACACTCTCAAACCATCCGTCCATTCAGACATCTGCGCAGTATGAACAGCATCCACATCTAACAAACTCAATTCTCCACTCATCAGTGAGAAACTGAGTTTTGAGATGAGGTTGGGTGAAAGAGATTTGATGGCGGTGCCGGTACGAGTACGGATTGTTGTGATATTGGAAATATCGATGTGATGGAGGAGTGAGTCGTATGTCGGTGGTGTTGGGGTACGAGAGGGGAAATCGGAGTAGGCTATGGTACGACGATTGGATGACTGTACGTCGGTTCCGTGGACGTCTTCTTTTTCACTCTAACTTCGCTCTCCAGAACTAGACACGAGTGTCGGTCTAGATTGAGGGGAACCGCTTGATGACAGAGAATGAGGTTGTTCCTTTGGAATGGGAGGTAAGTTCCAGTATGAAACGATGGTAGTGATGGTTGTCGTACGACATGAAAAATTGACAAACGTACCAGACGCAAGAACCGAAGCGGTTTGGAAGAGTTAGGCTTGGAACCGACTTGGATACCTGGAATGAGGATGGTGGCTGCGTTGAACCAGCTTCCTTGTAGCATACATCCGATTCTGTCGATCAGTCAAAGGTACGAAACAAATTGTCCCTCTCACACACAGACAGGGCTGATTGACAAAGTTGTGACAAAGGGCTAACGCCTGGTCAATATCTTCGAACGACAGATGTGACGCAGACAGGGACGCCCCGAGCTTTTCCAAGCCAGAAGGAGGTTAAGACTTCGTGATAAACACTGATAATTGTCAGAGACTTACCGTTGTTCAGCCATGACCTCATAAGCATCCTTTCCTAATTTCTCTTTCAACTCCCTTACAGCCTGTCGCGCCAACATCCCATCTTCCCTTTCTAGCATCTCCAATTGTCTATCTCGTATAGTGCGATAATCTGCTTCCAGTTCTTGTTCCAAATGAAGCCATGTTTTACCTGCTTCGTCTGCCAGTGAGAGACGAATTTGGGAACGGACGAGGAAAGAAAGACGTGCGAAGTCTGCGAGACGGGACTCTGATTCGTGCCACATCCTGGGTATCAGTGATTGTGATCAGTTCAGTAAGTCTCATGCCGGTACGCGCTGCACCAAAGGGAAAGAACTCAGCCGTGACAGCGCTCATAAAGAACATGAATCACAGAGTAGATCGCAAAAACAATATCAGAGGGGAGTGGACACGCAAGAAGCAGGAGGTCCAGTCTCACCGCATGAAAAACCTCAACACTAGATGATGCAGTCTAGGAAAGTTGAGTAAAAACAACTGGAAATGCGCCGGAGCATGATGACCCGCTTGTGAGATCTTATAATGTTCGCATAAGATCTTGACGCATTCGGCGCTGTCTGATCAGCATCCACTCCACTCAATCATCCCTCTACCTCTCACAGTCTCATACTGACCTAGCAGCACCAATGGGGCATCGCCTGTCTTCCGGCCGGGCTTGTTGTTCCATGATTACCTACGTATCAGTACCTTTCGTATTTGACCCCGTCGATGACTGACATTGTGAAAGCTTTCCTCATGCATGGCAAACCAATGCTGACCATCAGCTCTGCAACCCACGCTTTTGCGGACTCACCAGGCACTCTAAGCCCAACGATCCCACATCTCGGAACAAATCCGCCTCACTGCTCACCGGCACGCCACCTTGGTCAAAACCAAGACCGATTCTGACCCAACCATCCATCGTCCTATCTCCTCCCCCGTTCTTTTCTCTCCTTGCTAGACCGGGACTTCTGGGGGTTCTGGGACTTCTCGGACCGAGACCACGAACTGGACTGTGTCCAGTGGATAAACCATCGAAATCTTCGTCTTCAAGTTGTCCAACAAACCAGATATCGTCGAGCATCTTCTCCTGATCTGGGTTGATCACGGGACGAACGGGACGTAGACGTCGATGATCCAGTATGGCCATATAGCGAGCTTGGAAGTTGAGTATTTGATTCTCGACGATATTGTTTGCACTTGTAGGCATGAGACGCGAAACGTAACGTCTGACGGACAACCTCTCAAGAATTCCCACCAGGGCGGGATAATGAGAGCTGGATTCCTGCGCTGCCGAACGCAGTGAGGCGTTGACAAGCCCAAGACTGACATCAGTACATGATCGCAAAATATTTGGAGAACATGGAGCAGAGAGAAGATGTGGAATGATTTACCTTTGCGCTATTAATTCGAGATCCCCAGTACTCTCAAGTCTCCCGACTATCACTCTGAACACTCTTTCCGCTCCACTGCCACCATGATCACTCAAGATGCCCTCTCCGACTTTCTGGATCACAGGCCAAACTCTGTCGAACCCGTATTGCCCCGCTCCTTTCACATCCTTACTCTTCTTCTCCTTCTCTTTACCTTTTCTACTGGGATAACCAGGATGACCTACCAGAGTACCGGTATTGGCAGAGTTCGTCACTATGTTCTTGGCCGAGCCAATTACTAGCTTCCGGACGATCGCGGTAGCAGGTCGGATAATGTTGGGAGCGGTGGAAGTGATGAGAAGAGAGACAACGCGGTGGACGAAAGCGTCTGTCAGATGGAGCCAGGGAGCTTCATATTCCAGTAATCCGCGTATCCCTTGAAGAGCGTACTGCATTTCAGTATGACCATCATCAGAATCAGGTAACAACTCACTGCGAGACTGTTCCCACTGAGTGCCTCGTTACATACCAGCTCGACTAGCATGGCAACCCCTCCACGGAGCATGAACTCGACGGCGAAATCATCTTCTTTGACGTATTTTTGCAAGTTGAACAGAGCTAGTTTGAGAGACATCCCGCCGGCTTCGTGTATGTTGATACTAGAGTCAAACGAGGGGCGGAGTGAGGTATGTTGCAAAGCCGTGACCACTGCCAATGCTTCGATGGCAGGCGAGGATACCAGCCTATCTGTGAGCATTGGGATTCACTGATCTTTGATGATACTGTTCGTGATATCCTAGTCGGAATCAGAAGTCCATATAGAGATAGTAGGGTGATATACTGATTGATGAGAGAGGGAGTGAGGGCTGACAGATACTTGATGGAATGTGAATGGCAGAGGGGTGATTTGGCAAATCGAGGGTGCTGATGGTGATGGATGAGAGAAAGTGGACCTACTTGAGATTATCATGATTGTAGATCTTACTAGGAAGATTGTTCTGCGTGATTAAGATATCATTCTCATCCCTCAAACACAGAGTGATATGATGTTCTTTGGTCTGAAAAGCAGTGGCCATCATCTCTAACACATATTGCACTCTCTACACTATCAGTCGTCTTGCCTCCGTCTGTGCTCAAGAGATAGAGTAAGGACATACCGCTTCTGGGTCTATCCTAGCTGGGAGATGTTTTCCTATCCATCAGCACATCAGTAAACCATCGAGTTTTCACTTCATAGTTTGTACAAATTTCGAGGGTAAAGGATAGGCTAGGGGACCAGGGGAAGATAGGGAACGATCTTCCGTGTATGGTAAATCTTGGACTTGGTCGAGGACTCACCTTTGTAAGTGACGAGATTGGTGGGCACAGCATCTCTCTTCATGACCACCTCGTTCTCAATCTGTCTCGGCGTATCTAATGCCATACCTAACTTGCTCTTCTCGTCACCACGGTTGTCTTGAGAGCTACTGTACCAAAGACACCCTTGATGACGAGTTGAGGGAATCGATCACCAGCGAGCGGAATCACTTTGAAACACCCCCAAAAATTAACACGTCATAGTCACTACTACTGTAGTACCACCCCCACCCCCATCCCCACCTCAGACTCAAGTTGGACCTCCTCACAATGAGGTTGTTCATATCTTTCGCTTCTTTTGGTCTTCTCAATAATGGTAAGCTCGGTCTCACAGAAACTGAGTGATCTCTGACTTCCAGTGCTTTACGTTATCATCCTCTCCGCCGCTCTCGATCTCGTACCCCCTTCCACACCGAAGGGCGTCGTGGCATTCTTCAACATCTTCCCTGCCGTCTTAGCCAAAACTGTCTTTCCCCTGTGGTCAAAGGGGCAGATACGATATACCACAAGAGTCGCATTTTGCGCTGCTACTTCATGGTTGGGCATCGTCGTGAGTTTTCCGGACCTCAGTCAAGCACAATTGGCTCATGTCAAGATCGTCGCATTGTCTTCTTCCGTTCCACCCCGGTTACTGGGCATATCCCTGGCCTCTTTATCTTCAGGTTTGGGGGAGCTCACATTCCTGCAAATGACCACCACGTTACCTACAGATAAAGCGAGTAAGACCGCTTTGGGCGCTTGGGCGAGTGGGACAGGTCTGGCTGGAGTGGCTGGTGCGGCTATCTGGTGGATGTTGAGAGGTCTGGGTGTCAGAGGAGGACTCGGAATTTCAAGTGTCAGTAGCTATCTTTCTCTCATTGTATCATCATCGTATCATCATACCATCTGTGCCTGCGGTCTACGATGTCCGTGCGCATGCTCACACGTCAGATATTACCCCTCTTGTTCCCCATAATATACAATTTTGTCCTCCCGTCCTCGTCCGACCTCACCTCAACAGTAGCTTACCAGCCTCTTCCCACTTCCCTCAATGTCTCTTCTTCTCCTACAGTGTCGCCTCCTGCTGTACTGTTGATCGAGTCAAGTCTTCCCAAACCGCGAAAAGACCGACTTCACCTCAGCACGAGGGACAAGCTGGAATTGCTCAAGCCGCTTCTACTGCGATACATGCTACCGCTCTGTCTCGTCTATGTTGAGGAATACGTGATCAATTCCGTGAGTCGTTCATCTTCATCTGCAGGACAATGTGCTGAGGAGAAGGGGGTAGCGCCAACCTTAGTGTTTCCCATACCTACTCAGGGGATATGGTCGGCTTTCTTTCATACGCCAAGGGATTATTATCCTTTCTGGTCGCTCACCTGTATGTTCATTACTCTTGTGTACCAGCTCTCTCTTCGCCTCATCCTCTAATCTGACTTCTCGGTATCCTCTCAGCTCCTGTGGTGTTTATAGGTCCCGAGTATCCGCCGTCTGAGCTGAGCCATCCCAGACCAAACGTTCGTTTTCATATCACGCTCTTCCCTTTCCTTGGGATTTCCTCCCGTGCCTCAGTCTTATCTTCCCCTTCCCACTCTCATCCAATTCGCGATCCTCCTTCTCCTCTCTGTCCAATCCTCGCACTTCATCTTCTCCTCCACTGCTTATACCCCTCCCGCCCCGCCGCCACATACAGGTGTCGATCGATCCATCACAGTAGTCTTTATGTTCATTTGCCTTGAAGGACTCTGTGGGGGTTCGGCATACGTCAACACATTCTATCATGTCGGCCGGATCAGTAGTACAAATGTTCCGGCACATGAATCCCCGAGTGAAGCCGAATTCGACGATGATACAGGGAATGGCTTGTTGCCACTGCCTACCGGAGATGGTGAAGAAAATGGATGTGTCGCCGAAGCAGGATGTATGGAAGACGAGAAGGAGAAAAGATGGAAGATGGAACGGGAGTTCCGTATTGGTGTCACGGGCGCCGCGGATAGTTTCGGGATTTTATTGGCCAGTCTCATCGCTATGCCCGTCGAGATGGCTTTGTGTGACGCTCAAGTCATCAAGGGTAGAACAACATGCAGAGAATTGTAACTTCGTCAACCACCGAGTCACCGACTAGATACTTTGGTTGAGCGTGACGTGGATTTGTGGTGTGAACTGAAATATACGAATCAACCCACCTTTGATGGACATCCTTGCTCCAATACGTCTATTCAATGACCGACTCCCCTTACCTCACGCCCTACATCGATTTGACGGGCTGTAGACACGGCGGCGTCGATAGAGGAAAGAGTGGTCGATATCGGGAGGTTGGTCAGTGCGGTGCTCGAAATACAGTCTATAAGAAAGTACAAATTGGGCATTATGGCAAGTTCTTTCCCAAACCTCGTCTCTTTGCCATCCAACATGTCGTCCTCTAGAACTTTGACCACAGAAGACAAGACACACATTCAAATGGTGGCGGAAGTTATGTGTGAGTCGGCTTTCGCGACTCAGAGAAGAAAGAAATTTCTCCGCGATGCGGCCGCACTCGCTTCGGGAAAATTATGTTTGATGACTGGTGATGATATGATATCGTATTTTGAGGGTCAGTCCAACCCCAAAGAAGGTGAGTCACCTGTTTCATAATCTATCCTCATTGACCATTTTTAGATGATCGGAGAACTTCAGTACGGGCTTGCCGAGACTTTGCCAATTATTTGATACACGATCGTGGGGCCTGGTCGGGATCGAATGAAAAGGTTTGCAATACACACCAGATGAAAATGATGAGAAGAGTAGAAAGGTTCAGACTAGTAGAACACAGTCATGCTCATTGGGAGGACCAGGCCCGATTTTTTTACCGATTAGGGGTATCACTCATCCTGGGCCATCTCCTACCTGACCTCCGTCAGAATCCCGCTGAATGCAACTTCAACATTCACACCCCATACTATTCTCATTTCAGGCTACATGGCCAAATCCCCAGACAAAGCGGCATAGTGAATACCATTATTGACCCTGTCCTAGGGGTAAACCTGGAGCCCGAGTTGCAAGAATCACCACTTTTCACAGAATGGCTCAGCGGACAGATTGAAGTGCCGAAACTAACTGACCTGAGTGCATCACAACTCACCATCTATGCCCAGCAAGGCTTTCTGGTGAGCTTGCCTTCTGAGAATGGGAAGCCACCAAGCTGGAAGTATGCAGCTACACCCCCAACGGTCGACAGCACTCTTCCACCACCTCCAGCTCCAGTTGTCAATCTATCCTACAGCTCATCCGCAGTATTTGATGATACAACCTTGATTGGCCCGTTGATTGTCCCGTTGTCATATGGCATAGCTGGAAAAAGCAATCCATCCGGCATTGACTCCTTCCAAGCCAATCAGGATAATGACCGTGCCCAATTTGGTACACTCCCACATTCAAACATCTCAGACACTCTCGGATCACCTGCCTTCCCTGCATATGACCAGTTGGTGCCCAATATCGATGATGTCAAGCGCTTGAATAACCCATTGTTGGTGGTTACAGCTGGGGATAAAAGTCGATCTAACTCCATCCCGATCCCAGTTGATCAATCTTCCAACTTTGTTCACTTCGGTACACCTCCAGATTCGAACTTCTCAAGCACTTACAGGTCACTCCCCGTCTCTCCATACAATCAGCTGAGGCCTCCTGTTGAAGACCATACAAGCTTGAATGCTCCGCGGTCAAACGTTACAGCTGCGGAAGACCGTCCACACAATTCCTATCGGTTCCAAGTTAATGACTATCCCAACTCTTCCCATTTCCATACACTTCCCAATCCAAACCTCACAGAAATTCAGCAATCACTTGCCTCTACCCCATTCGCCCAGCCGATGCCTGCTCCAGGTCATTCTCAACATCAAGATGCCGGTCCCACAGAGGGTTTCGCAATTGAAGGAGGTCCGCATCATGATCAGTCGTGGGTTGGGCAGCCTCCCATGATTGGATATGACTCCGTGATCTTTCCAAACAGCCAGCCAAGGTTTTGGTCAGGTCATCTGCAACATCCGGGATTTGAGGTGCTCCCGAATGAAGGAGGTTCACATTATAACCAGCCGAGCGCCCTCCCTGGGCAGCCTCCCACGGGGAGGAACGGCCCCGCAATGACAAAGCATTCCCTATCAATGTGGGATGGATTTGCCCATTCCCAAACAGAATACTTCCCACCACAACAAACTACCATGGCAGATGTTACCCAACCGGTGGGTGCCCAAGTCAACAGTGCTCAGTCAATGATTTCCCGCACATTGCCAGGACAAGCTCCTGGAGTTCAATCTCGGCCCTATTCGCACCAAGTACCTGGAGCAATCCGGGTACCGCTCTACTCTCCGGGCCAAGGACACCACGGAAATGACTCCCAATTTCAGGGACGTCTCTTGGCGCAGCTTGACCGGTCCTGGCAGGATGGAGACCTTCAAAGTGGGTTGGGTCACCTGCAGGGGACTGCGGAAGCTCCGCCGCGGCCGCCTCCGTCATATGAAGCTAGCCAGTCCGATTTTGAATACTGGTTATGGAATGGATGATCATCCTTTATATTGATCTCGCTTACTAAATGAGTCCTGTGAGAGAGCTACAACTAGGGAATGAGGACAATTTCAGCCGCACCTGATGGATTGAGGAGGAATGAATTGTTCGCAGCCAAGGACTCGCGTGATCACCAAGCTCTTTAGCGACGGGTATGAACCTTGTCTACATATTGACCTATGTATGATATGATTGCGTGTTGAAAGAGCTGATGCACGCTCAAAAGGTCGTTAAGACCACCGCGGATGGAGTCAGTCATCCATCGGATCTTCTCCAGTGAATCGGGCCAGGTCCGACAAAGTTTGCCACATGCCACATCGAAGCGGTAATTGGGGGGATGAATTAATCGCCACAAGATGCTACGTATCCTCCTCGGCGATCTCCACCTCGATTGCCCAACAACGCCTTCTCAGTCTTGCACTGACTACTTCACACCTACTTTCTCCACCTTTGACCCAAGTTCTGCTCCTATGTATCCATTAATTAAACGACGCTGACTCGAGTATTCTCAACCGGTAGAGACTGTACGATCAACAAAAACTGATGGGTTCTCCTTTGGACCGGACTTGAGGACCAGGTTTGCTGGCTAATGGCATTCAAGGGCGGACAAATTGGACATTTTCGACATAATCATTTGTTCTTACCTTCTTGTCGCTACTCGATATGTCCACTTCTCCCGATGTAACTTCAGAGGCTGCGGTAAAAAGCTTTCTGCCATTGAACATACTGGACTATTATAATGCCCCTGTCAGACGAGGATGGTGGACTCCCAACCGACGAGGCATTGCAAGCGGGAAGGAGCCCTTGCTCACTCTCGAGGAAATCAGGGCTGTGTCATCGGGTGTAGAGCCTCAAGTGTCCAGTGAGTCGTCTCATGCCTTGTCATACAGAGTGAATTGACACGTCAGATCTTGAAAGAAAGTTCAACACTACCATAATGACGGCCAGACGTGCCTGTGATCATTTGTCGATACAACATGTAATCCAGGGTTTCGATTCAAAAATCTACCACAGGAGAAAGATGTTGTGTCAAGCCATGGAACTCCCTTTCAAAACACGTCAAAATCGACAAGTTCCACTTGATCAGCTGACCTCGTTCCATCAATTTCTCACAGAACTACGGGAAACTGCTGGTGCACTTCCATTCGACGACTTGTCACTCAACGATTCAACAGTCCTAGGAGGACCCATGAATACAAGGGGAATCGACCTAGGAAACTCGCACCAGAATTCTGTTCATATCCCCATAACTCCCATGCTAAAAAGTGTCAATCTGACCGACCAGGCCAATCAATCGGCAAGGCTTTATCACCAGTTCGAACGTTTTGTCGTCAGCAATCAGCGTATTGTAAATGGCAGTTTGGAACTTCAGCAAGCCATTAAAACAGGCTTTCTCGACCTGGCTCAGAAGTTCGCTCTTATAGACAGTCTGGGCACAAGTGACGTATGTGAGTGGATAGTTGAGACGAGCTGGGCTAATGAAATCAGATTTGGACCTGTATGATTCGACTATGAGGATCGCAAGTGTACTCGAATCGATGTTCTTCGCTAATCCTTTTTTGAACCATGAGGATAGAATTTCAGATCTTGCGGCGCGAGACGCATACATAGACAGTTGGCTGAAGTACGAATTTCCGCCCGAAAGAAGGCCTTCCACGTCCATGGTGCGTGAAACGATCGCTCTCGTCCCGCAGTGGATTCGGGATGGCTTGACAGGCCACTTTCACATGTATCACCCTTTGTCGACGCCCATCGGCCATGTAGGAGATGTTCGTCAATCAGGATTACGACCAACGACTTTCTTGCCAGAACTCGCGAGCAGCAATCATGATATGCTCGATCACAAATCCAAGAGTACAGAAAAGGAAGGTACCGGAGGCTTCGAAATGAGCTCATATAACATACCACCCACTGATGTTTGTTACTCAGTAAGGCCGCTGGTGCCTGTGATTGTTTCTGGTCTGCATAATACCTCACTAATCCAATCAAACCCATGGAACCTTGTGAGTCAGTCTCGAGAAGGCTGTTGTTCGCTGATCTGCAGAAGGAGGTAACGGATCCTCGCGCGGCATGGTCAGCATCAAACTATCTCGGCTTCGAACAAGGTGCAGGTCATCACGATGAGTTCTCACTGGGGCAGACATGGGTGTCTCCCCAGACGCTAACGGACTCATTGGCTTACCAAAACATCTGATCTTGCTGGATGGCATGGAATCATCCTTGACCAAAGTGAGTCACTTGTGAGAGGAGCTGTACTTATGACAATAGGCAGAGATTGGGTATAGCAACTGAAGGACATTGAACGATACCCATCGGATCGATCACAGGGCTCAGATTCGAGGAGGGTCCTTCGGAGAGAAAGCCGTAGGAGACTCGAGGATAGAGTTGAACGAAAGGCTACTTTCGAAAGTAAATTTGCCCATGAGTGGTACCCGCTCCCGGCCGCTATGATCGCTCCGCATTAATGAAGGTGTCTCACGGGGAGGGAGAGCTTCTGGAAGAGATAGGGAGTGATTTTGGGCGGGGAAATCCTGGTAGATCTCAAGGGCAAGGGAGTCCTAACCCATCTATTGGGCCGATGTAAGTCATATGGAACATGTCATATAGGTGATATGATCGTTCGGAATGGGGTTCATGCATGCTTATATGTCTGGAGTCGATAAATGCTCGGGTAGATGAGGTTCACCTGGTAACTTATCACGTTGCCTTGTTTGTTCAATGGACTCGTTCTCTCCCCGTAATCGGTCTCCTGGCAGAATCAATGGGGCAAGTACGAGTATATGTGGAGTGAGAGGGAAGGCAGACTCGCGAGTTTTCCCTCAGTCAATGATCTCTCACTAGTTGGTCTCTCCACAACAATGGCAAGCTTAGCCCGGGTCGTCCTCTTCAATAAGAACTTCCTTACCCCTCGTCGAATGATCGACATTATTTGCAACAAGGGTCAAAGTACTCTAGTCGTCAAACATTTCAAGAGGATGTAATGGTGCAGACTTGTAAGAGGTGGATGACGTCCGCTCAATCATCGATCATTGTCTCAAATGGGGACGATTGGGAATATCTCAAAATCGGCAGAGATGTCACTTCTCGGATCCCCATACGTGGTGATTCTAAGAGAAAGAGACCGATCACCCTCGTGGCTCAATTATCTCGACATTCTAGAAGCGGATCGGGACTAGAATACTCAGTAGAGAATTTGTGGTATTGGTACCTAGCAGAAGTCATGCAACACCGATATAGTTGCCCCATCAGCGGAGGTCACCGCCAGATTAGGTGATCACACTTTGCATCGTTAGGACATCTAGGAAGTGATGGTATCAGTTCGTTTGTGTGGGGTCCCGAAGGTAAGGTGCGGGAAAGAGTAAGTTCCGATCACACAGAATCCCGAACCAGTCACTTGCAATTGCTGGCCTTTTCACCGTCCGCAAATGTGGCGATTGGGCGAAGTCGTCTACTTGTACACGTCAGTACGTGAAGATGGCGTGACTGCTCCCGGCCGAACTTGAGGTATGCATGTCCAAAACGAGGGTACAGTAGTGCCCGAAGACGAAAGTGGTTGTGGACCAGTGGTCGTGGTTGTGCGCACAGTCGTTGTTCCTGTTCTAATTAGCGTGCCTGAAAGGATCTCGGTTTTGTTTTCGCGTGCCACACTGCCACACTTGAAAAAAGTGCCACATTCCTCATTCAAAGGACGGTTCTTTCAACTCCGTCCTCGCACTCTCCGTCAACATTTTTCTCACTTTCGTACCCTTCCATTCACGATCCTCCACCAAATCGGAACCTGCGTCGGCCTGTCGGCCTGGAGCTGTGCATAAAAATGGAGATCAACTTGTCTGAGCTTTCTGACCTTGACTTGTTGATTGAGTACTAATACTAGAACCTATGTCTGAGCTCAACATCACTTCTTTCTCTTGCTTTTTTCTCTTCTTTCGCCCGCCAATATGTCGATGCCGACTCAGTCTCAAGCTGACCAGGAAAACGTACAACGGACACTGAAAGTTCTGCGATATTACAACGATTCCAGTGAATCCCAGTTTTGGTTCTCTCACCAATTGCCCCCTTGGTCGGACCAACGCCTATTTCTAACGGCTGAACAGTATTGGAATAGCTTCCAGGATCCTGCGTTACGGGAACAGAGTAAGTTGTTCCATGATCTCAATGGAAATTGCTCACTCATTGGCATCATTCATGACACCATTCAGGCCTGCTTGAACGTTGCTGCCCGTCTGTCTCAACAGAAACAGGATTGGGCTAATGCCGACAATACTGGAAAAAATCTTGCTATAAAGGTGGTCCGCAGCAGGGGAGACAGGTTGAGAAAACGCTTGAAGGACAATTTTGGCGCATCGAGTTGGGGCGAAGGAGCTTACAATGTTGCCCTGTCACTTGTCTCAATTGTTCACATACCATTTAGAGAACGTTTGAAAGGATATCATTTTATCCTTGATCTTTCTACTTTTCCTGACACTCGCTACAGTATTCTACCAGAGCTAAAGACCACAGCAAAGAGCGTCAGCAAGGGAGCCAATTCTACAAATTCTTTGGTGGTGCCCCCGCGAGGCGAAAGGAGTAGAAAGAAGAAAACTGCTTCGCATCCGTACAAAGCAGCCGACCGCACTGCCTCCCGCAGCTCCAACGGTTCGTGCTCCGAGTGGTCGACAAATTTGACAAATTCGACCTCGTCATATGGAGAACACTTGCCAAGCGCTCATCGTTCCAAAACCAGTCATGCAGCAACTTCATCACATTTCTCTCTGGTTTCGGACTCCCCAGACACTCCACTGACAAGCATACCTCCACAAATTAATGTTGGCGAGGGCCAACTAGCTACGCTGTTTCCCACAACATCTACGGATTATCTTCCAACTCCGGTAATGAATGTGAGTGAGCCCCGTGCCCATGACTATGCCAACATGGGCAACTCTTTGGCGTCCAACTTCTTGGCGCCCGGCGAGACTCAGCCCTTTCAAACTTCTAGCTTCCATCCTCCAGGGAACATACAGATGTTCAGTCACGATCATCCCGATCTCTATTCGAGGCCTTCACATATGTATTCACTCCAGTCCCCAAGACATAGCAATTACAATATGAGTTTACAACATGAAAATATGAACACAGCAGCTGGGAGCTCGAGCGTTCGTTTGCTGGACGAGGAGGCTCTTGCTGACCTTGCTGAGCTGCAACGAGGCTACGAGAACTACATGCGGCAGCGCAATAATGGACATACATCGGGTATCAAGTGTTCTCGTTTTTGCCCACCGTTTACATCATGTTTATCTTTGAGGATGTGACCAGGGTGGCTCATGATGGAGTGTGCACATCATAGCCCTCAGAGCGCTATGAGGGAGGAGGCGACAGGTCCATAGATAAGAGAGGATGATAAGCCGGGAGAAATCAATGCATTCGACCACTAATCATAGATAGGATCAACATGGTACATCTTGACACTTCCTTCTTCTGGTTTAATCGGCTCGTCTCCACTGTCTGTCAGTTTCCCATTCTCACAGACGGAAAGAGTGTGGTACATAGATGGTTCATGTTGTGATATGACGGAATACACAGTGTCATAATCTTGCTGAATAAAATAAGAGGGTCGACTCACTAGATCTTTCCACTTTTAAACATCGGTCTCCTCGAGGATACCTCAGTATCTGAATCTTCTTCCACGGCGATAGCTTTGACTTTGGGGGCAGGTTTGGCCCAGTTCGCTTTGTCTCCTGACCGTTTCGCAGTCTCCTTTGCCGGGGTTGCTTTGAGGGAAATGGTCTGTAGACGACCGCTGTTGGTGAGTTGAAACTTCCGATCTAAGCCTTCACGCCTATATCCCTTGCGTCCGACTACACAGTGTAGCTACATGTCACTTCATGACTGCAGTAAGAGCAGATATGAGGGGTGGGACAGTGCGCCTGCAGAGAGAATTATAGAAAAAGTCCAGGAGCCTGATGGAGAAGAATCAAATAAACTCACTCTGGTATAAACCCGAATTCCATCCTCCCATTCTGGGCCTTCGTCCCCTGACAGATATAAAAACCTTTTCTTTCGAATTGAATGATATCCCATTTCCTTAGATCAGCCACTTCGGCACTAGCCAGTGCATTGGTTCTGTATTCCGTTTTGGGATTGGTGATCTCGTCCAATGAATCGTCTTCCTCCATCCGTTTTTTGGTGATGAGATAGTCGTATTCTATTAGAACCACAGGTACAAGAGCGTGATTTTTGGTGGGAGCAGAGAGCCAAGTGACCTTTTTGGAGGTTTTCTTGAAATCTCCCTCGAGGTGAAGGGTCAAAGTAAGGTTCGTGATGAGACCGGAAGGGGAGTGGTCTCGGGAGGTGACATATGCGTTTCCCCAGTCCATAACGGTGATCTGACCGATCAGTAAATTATTCAAGAGTGTCTGAACAGAAAGCAAGTAAATGAGGATATGACCCACCTCTTCATTATCGGCAAAAGACTTGACGTCTTCTTGTTCCATCAAGAGAGTGGACGAGAAGATCACGTCTTTCTCCCCAACATCGGGATTCTTTTTATGAAGAGGTTTTTTTATCACTTCTTCATCCTCGCGATCTCGACCGATGACTTTTACAGTGACCCTCTCTCGTCAGCCGTTGTCATACAATTCTGAGTCGGAAAGAGAGGATCACTCACATTCCATCTTCCGCAATGGCCCAATATCGAGGGGCGACAGGATCAATGACTTTCTTGTTTACTGTCCAGATACCATCCCACTCCAGTTGAAGCTGAGACTGAGAAGCACCTTGACCAAGAATGTAGTCTTTCAACCCCTTTACTGTCATTCCCCTGGAGCGGATACCTCGGACAGTGGGGAACCGGGGATCATCCCAACCTTTGACCATACCCTTTTCCACCAGGTATTTTAGTTTTCGTTTGGACAGTACGGTGTATACAAAGTCAATACGGCTGTAATCATCAGCAAACGTCTCTCATTATTATGGTATCTTTGGGATCCGGTGATGTTAGGGACTGTGAAACCACGGACTGACCTGAAGTCGAAAATATCAATCTTTGAAAAACCTAGCTTTTGTAGGAACCATTGATACTGCTCATGTCTTGCGTAATATTCATTGGCCCTCAATGCATGAGTTACACCATCGAGATGGTCGATAATCGGACAAGCCAGGTCATAAGTGGGGTATGCTCTGTATTTGGTACTGGTTTTTGTTAGTGTCTCCTATTTCTTTCACGGCGAACCCAGACGTACCCGGTAATGTGATGGGCCCCTTCCACATAGCGGAATACGACAGGATCCCTCATACTTCCGTTCTTGTGCTGGTAGTCGATCTTGGCTCTGCCCGACCACTTCCGGCCTTCCTCGCTGCCGGTAAGGAGTTCTCGAAAGCGAGCTAAGTTATCTTCCACTGAGGCATCCCGGTTCTTTGAAGGGATCTCAGCTCGGCGCTGTTCTTTCACCTGATAAGTCAGTGTCCGAGACATCGTGGAGGGACGAATCCTCGCGGGACAAAGTCGACGTGCGAGCTGAGATAATTTGAGGTAGAGTAAAAATGTGTTCGATACTCACTGTCTCTCCATCGGTGTCATCCATGTACATGTCACCTTGACGAACAAGCTGCTCAGTGTATTTGATGATCTCGTCGAAGTGATCGGATGTGTGCACGACTTTGTCATAGGCGATCTCAATCATGGCCAAGTCCTCCATGATAGTGGTCTCGAACTCTCCCTTGAATATTAGCTCAGATCCGCACCTCACGCCTCACACCTCACAGTAGGGACGAGGAGTACAAATGCTCACCTCTTCTTTGAGAGGGTTCGTGTCGTCAAAACGGAGAATGAAGGTGCCTTGGTACTGATCGGCGAGGAAGCGATTCAAAATGGCTGCCTTGAGGTGACCAATGTGCAGATACCCGGACGGCTCGGGAGCTGAAAGTATCAGTCACACTTCTCGGGGCGGAAGCTGTACTCTGGTGGAAAGAGGACTGACCAAATCGCAAAACCACCTTTCCCGGCACCGCGTTGGGCAACACAACCTCAACACTGTCGATTCTTTTGGCTTTCTTATACCTTTCTGCATCCGCCTTTGCGGCCATCGACTCTTCCAGAACTCGCTTTGGTACCGGGAGAGTCTCTACATGTGTGTACCAACGAGACAGATGCGGTCTCCCTGGCTTTCTGACAGAGTTGGCGGCAACACCGTTACCTCTTCGTCAGTACGGCCCTTGCACTATATCCATACATACTGCGGATTGTGCCCCAGATGATGGCATCACCAAAGCCAAAGTTCGGGCCAGAGAAGTATGTACTTTACATCAGCTCTTGTGTCGGCAAGAAAGACACTCAGAGTTAACTGACCGGTATACCAAATAATCATCAAGAGCATCGAGACAAGCTTGAACATCCGGGAAAGGGGAGTTGGACTCGAAGATCGTGGGTAAAGGGGGCAAAGGTATCTGGAAGTCAGTCAGCCTTTCTCAGTTCCAGGACAGAGAGTATAATAGGACATATGATGTGAGAATGAACTGACCTCCTTGCCTGGGAGACCTGTCTCCAGAGCAGCTCGGACGGTGTTGAGTCCAGTCACACCGTCATACTTGAGATCATTCACGTCGATAGCATCGTAATTCCACTTGATGTCTGCTCCCTGCAGAAGTGCCAAGGCCAAGATGGTAAATGGAGGGTTTTGTGATATTGGCGCAGTGAGAGTGGGCATGTTGGGTGGCGTGGTAGTAGAGGATATGACTGTTCTGATCAGAATCAAGAACAGAAGGATGACGTGGGGGGGGGGGTTGGAAGTCTGACTTTTGGAGGTTGGGGGCGGAGATGAATACGATCTCCGAGAAGAGGACCGAGCGTCACCGAGCCATTGGGGCAACCCTTCCTCCACCGTCACCCTCCCCTCCCCACCTTTTCCTCTTCCCCGTACCACATATACTCACACTCATTATGACCTCTCTTCGCAGACCCTCAGCCGCCGTCAGAGCACCTCCCCCTCCTCAAGGGAGTAGGCCTCCAGCTGACAATGACCGTCGCAGAGATGCTCGCAAGTCCAAAGTGGGCGATGCTATAAAAAAGCGTCTATCCATGCGGTAAGTCGCTTGCTGTCCCGTCGCTTACGTCTCTATGCATCATGTGTACTCTATAAACGACAACAGGAGGTCTCTTCTGATGAGCAGCTATGTCCCGGGTGATCAGCTCTTTACACCTCCCCCGCCACTTCCAGGTCAGGGCGGTGACTTCCTCTCCACTGACCCCTATCAGCGTCACGTCCTTCAGGTCGATCGCCCATCGCCCGGTTTGGGTGACGGAGATGATCTCGAAGAAACTGGTGAATCCAAGTTTGGGTTGTTTGGATCGGCAGACTTTGCTCAGAGGGGATTTGGAAGTGGTCCGACCACTGTGCAAGATGAACAAATTCGCCGACGCGGAGCCACAGATCAAGGAATGCTGGAAGAGTGGAACTTGGATGAACTTGAGAAAGAGGGTATGGATCTGAATGGCTTTCTCCGGCGCACCCTGGCAGGGGCGGATGATGATGAGAAGAAGAGGTTCGTGGCTGCTCTCATGAAGAAGAAGGAAGGCAGCGCGAAAGAACTGCAGAGGAATGTTTTCAAAAAGTGGGTTTTTACTTCAGTCGTCTACCAGAGAGCTTGTATCGATATGGCCCGAAGCTTATGACCAGTTATGCCGAGTTTGTTACCATCTCAAAAGAGATCTCGACACTGGAGAATGACATGCTCGAGTTGAAAGAATTACTGGCACAATGGAAAGATCTGCCTCAGTTGATGGGAATGGAATCGACATTAGCGCCTACTCTGGACAAGAACGGAAATCGTGAGTTCCCCTTCCCGACTGAAAGACTTGATCAATCCCCGCCCTCGCTGGTTTCCACTGTTGACTAGCGCGGAGCTAACGGATCAAGTGGAGAGGCGTCGAACACAACGCAATTCGGTCGCCGATCTTCAACAATTATACAAGTCACAAATTACTAATCTGTGGTCAACCGTCGAAGGGTCGCAGAAATATCTTCCCATTGTACCCGGTAGACATCTTGTCTTTGAGACACACAATTTTGTCGAGCTCAACGCGGCGACGTACAAAGCTAAACAGAGTGTCAGCCTGTTTCTTCTGAGCGATCTGTTATTGATCGCTGGAAGACGGCGACTGAAAGCTGCTGCGACGATGGGGATAGATGACAAGGAGAGAGACAGAGGTAGAATGGTGGCCGAAAGATGTTGGGTGCTGGCGGATCTGGTGGTAGTCGATGTCAAGGACAGCGGTGGTGAGTATACCACACTTGGTCCCGCTGCTGAATCACGCCTTCTTTATGCGGTCTTTCGTCCAGTCACTGGTGTTATTGGTCAAGTTCACCTGTGGGGGCGAGTCCGCTGAGGTACAGATCTGACGAATGCTCTCAAAATCAAGCGCAGCAAAGAAGTCTGCATTTATCGTACATCTCGCCCTGAAGACAAGAAAGCCCTCCTTGCCGCCTTCCGTCAAGTCTCCCAAGAGCTGAGCGAAAAAAAGCGCAAAGACAATGAGAAGGAGCAAGAGCGACGCAAGTCAATCTGGCTTGGGGACTCTGCGGCAGGAGCTAACACCTCTTCCGGCTCACTCGCTACCCTTCTCTCTCCCACGCGCCCTCTGTCGACCATAGGGCTCTCGATGGCAGACTCCAAAGATCTTAACTGGGTGGACGAGTATGGGGATGATTTGACCATGGCTATCGCCACTCGCGATTGGCCTGAAGCCCTCAAATTGGTTGATAAGGGCAACGATCTCCTCCGGACGTTCGCTGGTAACGCAGCGGCGGTTCAACTTCTCAAATCCCGGATCGACCAGCTCAAACCGAATTTGATCACCCAAATAGTTCATGACCTCTCGGATCCAGAGATCAGAAAGGCCGCTACGGTCAAACTGGTGTCGTATCTCACCAAGCTTGACAGAAATGATCTGGCCCGGGACACGTTTTTGAAAGCTAGGAGGGATGTCATGCTCAAACGGGTGAGAGGGATCAAATGCGAGGGGGACATCAGTGTGTATATCAGCGAGTTGGCGGTCGTTTGCTTTACTATCGTGAGACACACGAGTGAATGGTATCGTGCAGCGTTTGAGGATAACAGAATGGCTTCTGGTGAGTCCATTGCGTTTTCTACCGTATTCATATCTTCCTTCTCCGACGCTCCTGCGTTATCCTAGTCTCCCTGCGGATACGTATCTACCAAAAAGGGTTGTGAGACACCACTGACAATCAGGGTTTGTCACTTGGGCCAAAGCGCAGATCGAGACGTTTGCCGACATGTTTCGTCGTCAAGTCTACGCTCCGACCATTGACGGTAATGTAGCGGAAGAGTGTCTCAAGGTAACCGCGTCCCATAATCGGAAGGTAGGTTCTTTACTCTTTTCATCTGACCCTTTGCCTCCACCTTCCTTTGACACTCTGTTCCGACGCAGTCAATCCCCCCAGACTAAGAGGCATGCTCATTGGTAGCTGTTACGCGACGTCGGTCTCGACTTCACCTTCCTTCTCTCCACCCTTCTTCAACCAAACCCCGCAGATACGAACCCCGAAATACCCTCCTTCAACCTGCCTGACTTTTCCGACTTTGTGGATACTCCTACGGTAGGGTATCAAGTCCAGCCTTCACCTTTCATCAGCACGTTCGACACATCAATCCTTCGATTTCACCAGACTCAGGGACGAGACACCGAGCCTTTAGTTGGAAATACAGCTCCACTCAGTATACGTAGTCCGAGGAAAGTCAGGGAAGGACTTTTGACAGCCGATGAACGTCCTAGCAGTCCCACGCCGCCTCCAAGGAGCGCAAGGAGGAGTCCATTGCCCCAGGGTGGACGAGATGAATTAAGATGAGTCAACAAGTCTCCATACATATGAGTATAGCATCAAAATGACATGTGATGAATGCATCATGTTTCTGGAATTGTCCATGAGCATTCTGCATTTCCGGCGGACATTCAGCAAAGTTATGACACATGCCACAACTCCCATAAGAAATCGGTATTACCCTCCACCCATTGATCCATCAACACACCCCACGGTTGAGTACCATAATCCATCTGTGTACCTTCTCCAATGGCGCTTAACGCTCGAGCAGGCTGGTCAACCAGATGATCACAGGCTATTATGGAGATTACACTTATGCAGGTGGTGTTATCTGCAGGAGAGGGTAAAGTGCAGGTGGTATTGGTGGAAGGGACAAAAAGCCCTGCAGATCAGTTGAGTCATGGGAAGGGTCATAACCCGTTATCCTCTATTTATGAACAGTATATGAAGACTAGCAGTTGACCGCCGCGGACGCGGCGGGTGAAAGCAAAATGTGCCATGTGGCATTCACTAAGAGGGTGTTGAAAGTCCCTGGAAATTCCCAAATTTATTTCCGCGTTTTCAATTCTTGTTCCCTTATAACAGTGCAGACTTCACCCAGCAGAACCAATAGGATTTGAAGATGTTACCGGAAATCTCTTTACTTGTGCGGGTGGCAATATAAGCCTGCCATATTTTGTAGTTTCCCCATCAATGAATCTCTTTTCCTCTTATTCTGATATTACTGACTTTTATGGTCAGATGTCACAGGTGTTGTTTCTTCTTCTCTACTGACCGACAGTCGACAAACCTTGGCTAACTACGTTGTCTTGGGGTGTTGATGTCTCACTGAGACAGGGTACTTGTTGGGGAACTACGCTAACTACGCCGTGGTAATACGTTGAGTGGCAAATGATAAAGTGATTGTCGATGAACTGCGGCTAACTTCACCGTGGTGTGTGGACCTGCTAGATGGTAGCTCTCCTTAACTCGAAGGTTGTAGCTACTGGATATATCTCTCGCTACTGACAACAATCAAGGATCGCTGAAGAAGATCAGCGATCTGTAAACTATCTATACTTCTCCTCTCTTCTCATAGAACATCCCTCAACTCCCGCACAGCCTCGTGCTCAATCCTCTTCGTTCAACTTTGCCATATCTCGCCATATCCCCAATATCCTACTCCGCTCACTTCGACTAACTTCGCTTAACTTCCTCCACTCTGCTCTGCCTCCCTTGGTTTCCTTCTCCTAACTTCGCCGTAGTTCTCCGCCAGGCGTGGTTGTCGTGACAAATGCTCCCTAGGTTCCCGTAATTTTGTCGAAGTTGGTCTCAGTGGTTGCGGGTTGTGGTGGTTGGCGATGAATAGGGGTTCGTTGATGGTGAAAGGAGGGTAGGTGGTGGTGGTTGTCAGGGATGTTACGACATGGTTTGCGACAGTCGGTCCGTTAGAGAGAAGTTATTTGACGGCTGTGACATTCTACTAACTTCTACCACTAAGACAACAGCCAGAGATCATCAAGGATCTATGGGAACTTCAGCTGTTGAGTACTTGGTCCCTCCCTAACTTTGCCAACGCCAAACTTTGTTCAACCAAAGCCCCGAGCTTTGTACCTCATGAACTTCATGCCTCCCTCACTTTGTATCTCCCTAACTTTGTATCCTCCCAACTTCATACCCTCCTAACTTACTACATGACTAAATTTGTCCTTGACAAAGTTAGCCTCCTAATACCCTTGTGGGTGGTGAAGTTCATGAGAACGGGATTGTTGCCAGCAAACTGATGTCCAAAGGAACCTTGTTTGATGGGAAAAGATGATGTCACGCGGCACCGCTTCACAGGTCTGGTCAGGGTTTAGAATGCATTGGGTATTTATCCAGCGACCGGCAATTGTACTGAAAGTGAGGCAAACTCCGACCAAAGCCGATGGATGTGGCATACCTGCGTTGGATAATGTTTTGGTAAGCTTTCAACCAGTGCCACATCTCACAGCGTTAGCCGGAGTACTGTATGCATCACTTTTGCTACAGACAAGTAGATATCGCTGCTTGATAGGCCTTTTTGTTGCAGCGGTTTAGAGCACTGTTCCATTGGGCATTGTTATATGACCAATGCAATGGTTGGTCATGGTTCATGACAACTGACCCCTTCCATACCCAAGGCAGTCCTTTGCTACGGCAGTTTACCCGAAGGCATGAAACCGCTTGCCTGGACATGCAAAGAGACATCATTGTCAATGTATGCATGAACGGATAGTCACATCCACGATTGGACGCTTGAATGGCATGATGAATGCATGATGTTGAATGCATGATGTTGCATGCGTGATGTTGAATGCATGATGCTGAATGCATGATGCTGAATGCATGATGCTGAATGCATGATGCTGAATGCATGATGCTGAATGCATGATGCTGAATGCATGATGCTGAATGCATGATGCTGAATGCATGATGCTGAATGCACGATGTTGAATCTCGGAGGCAAATTCTACAGGCGTATGAGCAGAGGCCGCGCCACGTGGTTATGTGTCCACTCGATTACTTTGGTTCTCGTGTATATATTATAGATTACGGAGGGGGAGCAGTCATGACAGACAAGATTTAGAGGGACACGGAAAAAATCTATAGCCGGTTAGATCATGCTTAGACGGAATACGTCAAATTGATATCTATGGTGAGAAGAAAAAAAAGACCAAACTCACATAATAATTTGGCAATTCGTAATCCTGTAGTACTCGGACAAGCATACATGACACCAGCATGATCAGAACCTATGTCATACCCCCATTGAGCGGCAATACCTTCCATCAGTCAACTCATCTTCTTTTACTTCCTACGAATCCTTTCTTTGCATCTTTCCGAGAATTCAATCTCACATTCTGACTCAAGATAACAATGGCAAACTGATGGTGCTCGATGCAAACATAGGTCAAATACCAATTTTAAGAAAACAAGTGGAAAGAGAGGAAAAGATGATGAAACATACGGAAACACTTACAATGTTCATCACCCGTTTCGAAACTTCTTTTCTTATCACTCTTCACAATCCAATCTTTCCCTTTTATCTGACCATCATCGTCATCTTCCATCGTTCCAAGTGTCCATATGGTCGGGATAACATCAGGTTTTATACCTCTTCCTTCAACGATATAGCTGAGGAACTTACCAGTTTGTTGTGATTGGAAGATGTAATTTCCGAGTGACACATTCAGAGAAGATGTGGCTATGGATAGAGCTTGAGGGGTGTTGTTAGTACTTGCTATTACTGGATCTAACATCAATATTATCATAGTGAAGTGACGGATCAGTCGTAACATCATCCTGGAGAATCCTTGACGAGTGATAGTTTATTATGAGCGCGGACAGGAATGGAGTCAAGAGGATGAATTTCATCCGATTAGAAATTTAGCTGGGATAACAGCTATGGTGGTATGATTCTAATTGGAAGAGGGTGACTAGCATCGGTCTCAGTAGGTCAACAACGGAGATAGGGTAACTTGGGTTCTCTCCGTGCGAAATTTCGATTTTCGTGGGAGGAGACAAGACACACGGGAGAAAGGAATGTTCAGGAGGGTGTGAAATGACCCTGGGGATTATGTTGGATGATATGAGATAAGAGAGAAGATTCACCATATCAATCATGTCAAAAATGTCAGTAAGGCATATGCAGTGAATGTTGGTGCATCGGTATGACAGGTGTCTATGATCACACTGAAAGCAACAAACACTGATGACACTTACTCTCTTCGTTCTCTGGAACTCTCTCGATCGTCCCCTCGTTTCCGTCTTCTTCTCTGATTCCGGCTTCTGCACTTGTAACAAGTAGAGTAATGGTGGCATCAAGTCTCATCAATATTACCCTGTCCATCCATATGGCGGACCCGGCGGAGGCTGAGACGACGAACTCTGCTGGTATTGCAAATCCTGCCAAGGCAGGTAGTTACCCTGTGGTGGTTGATTATCTGCTGTCCAATCTGGCTGAGGCTCAAGCTGGTAATGCCGAGCTTGATGAAAGATTTGGGGGGGATAACTGTATTCTCTATCTAAAGAGGACAGTCCCGAAGGGACCCGACCGTCTAGGACGCAATCTCCTTCCGGCGCTAAAAATCCATCATACCCGACAATCTGTCCTGTCCCCAGATATTGGGTTGAAACAGCTTGTGGGGCCACCGGTGTGTGTTCAGAATACAACTCCAACGCCCGGTAATCACACTTCAACTGTGGGGAATCATAAGACACATGACTGGGATGCAGGCCGATTTGAGGCTTCTCCGTGGTATGCCAAGCCTCACCAGGCAAGCCAATATCAAGGGATCGCATCTCTGAGTTCATAGCGGGCGGAGGATCCCCTTGAGCTCTGTCAACCAGATAAGAAGGGAATGGCAAGGCCTCGTCAACTCGCTTGAGATGGCTTGGTCCTTGCCCACTGTGAAAGAAATCAGATGATGGCCCTTGCAAAAAGGTGTTAGGAACATTGCCCGTCATGTTGATCGGTGTGGACAACATCAGTCCGTATTGTTGAAATTCCTCCCAAAGACCTTTGTGTATCCAGTTTGCCGCTGTCTCCACAGCCTGAATTATGTCAGACGGCTTCACAGAGGGGGGAAGCGTGACCCCATTTAGGAGCGTGCGGGTAGCTTTTATCGCGCCATATCTCTCCTTGCCACTGATAATGTGTCCTGTACCCCGTTGATCAAAACCAGGAATTAATTTGGACCGCAGCCAAGCTGTCAACTCCAGTAACAAATTATATCGGTCTCTGACTATTGTCGTCAGCATCTACGACACGAGTCGCACACTCACAATCTTCTGTTGTTGTCTGGTGATAGATCAAGCTTCGCATTTCAGGTACGGAAAGCAGGTCCTTGTCAGTGGAGGCTTGAAGCCGCGGGTAAGGTACTTCTCAACTCCGGGAGAATGCAGTGCGCAGTACTGTAGAAGGTGAAAGTTCTCCAGCAACTGCTGAGCACGCGGGGTCGTCTGATCCTGATTATCAGTTCCAGAAACCCCCACGGGGGAGGGGGGGGGGGGGGTGACAAATGTGACTCACATGTTTCCACACTCTATCTGGTCCGCGTAACAGCGTTTCGTACCTCCTACCAGGGGGAAGTGAAGATGAGTAGTGGGTGGCAGAGTCGGCGGTGTGGGTATTGTAAGTGGGTTCCATGACAACTTCAATGGCCTGTACAAGTCAGAGATGTAAGTATGAAGAGGTGTAACTCGACAGTGAGGTTGATCTTAAAACAAAGAAGAAGAGGAAATCGACCCTGGTTGTGGAAAGAGCCATCATTGATATACTACTTAGTTAAGTAAACTCGAGAAGCGAGTTAGAAACAGAGCGAACGATCCCCTAGCTCCTTTGTACAATGGTGGAGCTATGGTCCGAGAGGCCGAGGTAGGCTGTGCTATGGTCGGATGTGGTAGGGAGTCGATGGGAAGATGGACACATTTTGGAGAAGAAGTACATGTCAATGGTTGAATGGAGAGGGAGAGGGATGCGAGGAAAGATCGTGAGAACGTCGGTCAAGTTTGCAAAGTGGCGATGTGGCACTTTTCTCTCTGTGGCCGGTCGGCGGTCGAAATCACCCCATAGTTCCGTTGTGAAACTCTGATAGGGCAACCTGGTGTAGGTCTGAAATGATCAGGTCCATCAGGTCTGATGCTCCGTTCAACGGCAAGTTTCGCAAAAAGACTAACTGTTTCCTGGAGATCCTGAAGTCAAAGGCAGGTTGATCGGCGGTTTCAGGAACCTCTTATCGGCCAATAACGCATCACTCCCATTGACTCCGGTCGACATGATCTCTTACATTTAGCCTATGGCATAATGGCACTGATCGTGTCAGGCCGCTCGGGTGAGCCATTCCAGTCGTGAGGGAATCAGGACCTGGTGACCGTCGTGTTTGGCTCTAATCACCCATATTCCCGGAGAAAAGAGCATTCTCATCAAATATCCCAGATCAAGCACTCCATGACGTCCGAAGCCGATCAATGGACTTTCATCTACCAACAAGGCTGCCTACTCCTATAATCTCTTCACCTATCTCACAGCTTTTTACTCATGTAACACAACTCAATGCTCCTGCTCTGGACCCCTTCCCCCGTCTCCGTGTGGGTATATTGGTCAGCGGAGGGATTGAATACTGTACGTGGCTCAACCTCAACTTGGGTAGTACTTGCCATTTCACCCATCCTGACGCGCACTTTGCTGATGGGTCTTCAGAGGCAATTGTTCAGGTTCCTGAAATATGTCCCCCTGTTGGCAAGGATACGGAGTATCATTCCATTTGGTTGGAAGTTGCGAATATGGCGCATTTGGTCCAAAGTGCCCACCATACCCAAATAGCACGTATCCATCAGACAAAACTGTGGTATCATGTTGGTGTTGCCCTAAATAGTCAGGAATTGGTGGAGGTGAGTGCTGGCATGATCGACGCTCATGATCCCATTGCTGGTACATTGACTGTTTATGTTCAGGTTGTTCATTCACTGACTAGAACGAAATTTCGCCCGTTTCAGGGGCATAGCGCCAATCCTCTTCTGATGTCTGAGCTTCAGGATTCAGGGGAATGCTAGCAGTCAGCGAATACGGATCTTGGAAGTGACTGGTCGGTCCAAATGGTTCACATTCCACCTCTGCAGACGTTGGTGTCCCCTGAGTGTGAGCATCAATGGTGAGCAAATCAGTTCTCTTGGACGTGTCAGGAAGTTGAGGCAAGCTAGGCGCATATTGTTGCTGTTGATCATGACCAGGTTCGGGTACGAGGAGATGTAACCAGTTGGCCTCTACGGAGGTCGGGAGGACGCTTGATGAGTTACTCTCGTTTTCAACAGGAGATGGGTAGGATACGGGCGGTGGCGCCCCTGTACTTTGATTCAGGTAATTTGGGGGAACCTGCACAGTCCCCGAGAAAGGATCATGTAGAGGCTCTGGGACAGGCGCTTCAGTGTCCTCTAGTTCACATGCATGATCGACCGGCATAGGCAGAGGATCAGGGTCAGGGGATGGAATACGTTCTGATGATAGGGTTTGACTTGGTTCTGGTGTTGTCAAAGGCCAAGGCGGTTTGAGAGTCACTGGCGACATTGTCAAATCCGTCTCATGTGCACTTGAAGCAGCCTTGAGAGTCAACATGTTGCTTGTGTCAAAAACATACAAACTTACCCCTAACAACCCGGGTACTTCACGGATAGCCTTTATAGATATCGTTCTGGATGGTACGAGTTTGAGTGATTTGTCTCCGATCCTGAGCAGCAAACGCGAGAGACGTTTGTGGCGGGTTTCGTAGGCGTTCCGTCCTGTCGACAACTGGCCAGGAAGGAAAGTTCGTTGCATTATTCTCGCAATCGCCATGGTTGTCGTCCACTCGGCGAAGACTATTTTGGTCAGTGACTGAAGGCATTGTGAAGCTTGATCTCTCACCAGAATCCAGAGGCACCTCATGTCTCGCCAATCCCAACTTCTGTTCGAGAGACAGTGGCGCTCTGTCCTTGAAGGACATCATGACGGGCCCCAAAGTGCTTTGTGATTTACGGAGAACTCTTACTGCAGTTTCCAAGGCGTGATAAGCCCTGATCAATTCTTCGAGGCGTTCGTCTTCGGTCGGCTGCTCAATCAGTTTGGATTTCATTGCAACGGGACGACTCACTAGAGACAGGATCTGCTCATGAGTGGTTAATTCGGCGCCATCCTCTGGGCACAGAAGGTACGGCAGGCGAGTACCCGACTCCAGTGACTTGCGAAGCAAGAGCAGTCCGTACCCGTAGGCGTTCCAAGAATCAAATTTTTTTGATCCCAGGGATTTTTCCAAAGTCCGCACTCTCTTTCTGAGCCTCTCAAGTCGGTTCCTGCGCTGTCGCTGATCCTCTTCAGTACGGTCGCAGTCGATCGAGGACAAATATGATGCGATAATCTTACACGCGTTGATAGTGACGTCCAAACGCTGTTGCAAATCCGCTACGCCTTCAGTGATAATTTCGATTGAATGATAGACGACTTACTGTCTACGAGTTTGTCAGGATTCTGAAAGTACGCTTCGATCTCGGGACGGGTCATCAAGCACTCGGTACCATCACGTAAGGCAGAGCAGTGAGAGGGTATTCCAGGAATGGGGCGTTTTTTCACAAAGTGGTGCAATACCAACAAGGACACTTCGACATAATCGGTCTCGGCTTCACTCATGACTTGGAAAGTTTCAAGAACAGTGATTTGAATTTAGACTGAGATGTCTACCTTAAGTATCTTACTCCCACCCCTTCATCCTTGTGGGTCAGGTCTCGAGGCCGTGAGAACCTTCCGCTTGTGGCAGGTGGCGCGATCTCCGCATGAGTAGCATAGTCTCAATACGGTTAGCTAGTGTGGGTCAAGAAGCCTAGCGTGAGATGACAGGTCAGAAGACTTAGATGACCAAAGGAAGGTGATACTCGAAATGACACGTCAGGAATCAGTCACTGTGGCACTTTGTTCTTTGTGGCGTTTTTCAGACCGACCCCCTTTCACGGTTGAAACGTGGAGATAACTTTATATGTAAACGATAACCAGTGTCCAGGGGCATGACACAAGTTACTTGATGGACTGTTCCCTGGTCTAACACATGGTTGCACCATAGATGATACAGCATGACTACCAAAATTCATCAAATCATCCCCTTGATCGGGAAACTCGAGGATCTTCCGACCTATGCTTGTCTTTCTTCTCTTCCTTTGGGGGAAGGAACGGGTTGATAATTGCTGTAGCTCCCTTGATATCAGTCCTTCATGATCATTCGCCCCTTGCTCTCAACTTGTATATCCTTCAAATATGATAGCATACAAAAGTCGTATGAGGAATTTAAAAATGGAGACTCACATAACATGTCCGTTTCTCTTGCACCAACTTTTTACTACTATTGATCCTCTCTTTCATGATTGTACCGGTTTTAGAATACAATGCTAGACATAGGATAGCTTTTACCTACCCGTGAGTACAGTTTCCACCAATTCTGACGTGTGTGCGTCACCATCTCTTTCTCAATGATGTCCCCCGAGCTCGTGCAAAGATGCTTTCTCCCCTTTTAGTCTTTGAACCTTTCTAACAGATTGGATTATACGCTCTCTTCCATACTAAATGATGCACTTGTCATCATGGCAAGCATAAGTATGAGAGGTGATGAAGAGACTAGGAAGAATCAGTATGACTTACCTTTGGCCACCAGAATAGAGGAAGGGTACTACCAAAAACCAAAAACTCGATGTATCCCATAACTGCCAGAATCACCCAGTAAGCTTGCCTGATGATCAATCATTCCTCTAATCAATGGACCAACCGGTCTGATTTACCGAGACTTCCTCTTGAATTCTCTTCCATTTCTTTCGTTCATCCTCCCCTTGCGGACAAGCGAGTACGAGTACTGGACATATGAACCACATGAAATGACTCACCATAATTGTCGATCTTCCCGAGAAGCGTTGAAGAGGGATGATAGACTGCACCAAACGGGGATGAAGTAAATCAAAGGGAAAGGGAGTAGGAATTGGAGGTACCAAGGTGCTGACCACCTGAAGTTCAGATCACTCTCTCCCATCCCTTGCCCATTCTATGCGCTATAAGACACCAAGATAAAATTGACTCGGGAGTGATCGAAAGACCAATACCAGAATGGTTCCGAGATACATTTGGTCGGTACGAAGCCGATCATAGGAGTGAAGAGGAGGAAATGAGTTGACGAAAAAGCGGGATAGAGAGACGTTGTCCCTGGCCCCCTCTATGGGCTACAAGACATCATAATAAGATTGACTCAGGTGTGAACAAAAGACCAATGCCAGAATGGTTCCGAGATCCATTTGATCGGTGTGAAAGTTGACCATAGGAGCGAAAAGAAGGAAATGAGTTGATAGAGAAGCGGGATTGAGAGAGGGAGAGAAAGTGGAAGAGACATACTTACCAGAATGCTAGATGGAGAAGTACGAAACCTGGTAAAGCTCTATGAGGCCGTGCGAAACATCTCAAGAAAAGATCAAGTTGAGGTGAATGTGTTTTGATCTAATTATCAATTCATTCAATCACATTATCCTCAATTCGCAACCTTTCCAAAAGTTTGGAATGAGTAAAGCATGTGTGGGTGGGTGTTGGAAGGACAAGAGAAGAGATTTCATTTTGAACGGGGGAGATGATGAAGAAATGAAAGACCAACAGACGAGATTGTGTTGTTGTTATGAGTTTTAAAGGAAGAATATTGAAGGAATAACTCACAAAATCATTTATCAATTCTTCCGCCTTAATCTCATGAGCTTTTAAACCTATAGAAGGATCTGTCCATCTTCCTCTTTTCTTCAAATATTCTTCTCTTTCATCTTCATCTACATCTTTCTTCGAGTTTTTCGTTATACGTTGTCTATTCAAAGCTGCTTGTTGAGCTGGTGTCCAAGCTCTCAAAGCTCCTAGAGCGTCATCATCTAATCTCTTACTGCTCATCTGTGTCCTCTACTAATCAATCGTTGTACAACTGTCGGGGTAAGAAAATTCTCGGCTTAGATTTTTATCCTGTGAGATTTATTGAGGGTTTGTCAGTGGTTGAATAAGTTGACCGAATTTGTTATTTCGTAAGAGACTTGTGTCGTACGTGATGAGATAAAGGGATGAGTGAAAGGAGTCAGATGAGATTGGTGAGTAACATGTGTATGACACAGTCCTTTGTCAATTTGTATTTCCATTCCTTTGTTCTCAGAAGAAAGATAATCACATACATATGATTGTCCATCTGTATATAGATCTTCACATTTCTGTCGTTTCTCCTTTACACATAACCCGTATGGAAAAAGGATTCGACCGGCGATCCCATTTTCCTTCGATCTGATTAGAGTATCGTACTTCACAGACTTCATCATCGAATTGGATCGAATTGGAGCTAGACGAGAGTATTCGGAATGTTTCAATTATTGTACCTCTTGTTGGATACCTAGAAGAACTCATGGTACAGATGGAGATTGTCACCGATAGAGGGAATGTAGATTATTGTTCTGTGGACAAGTGAGAAAGGTAAATCGGATGTATGAATGTTGATTTTCACGCCCAAGCATTCCATACTTCCCATTCTTGACTACTATCTCCTTTACTCCACGGAACCAATTGTCCACCCCATGGGAACTCCTCGTATTCGGTTTGTACACCAGGTAAAGAACTGGACAAGGCCAAAGTCTGATTATCGAGCATATGATTTGTGGGGATGAGTTCGAATGTACCTTGACAATTGGTGACGTTTGAGAAGGAAGAACCACATGGTTTATCTTTGTTTGGGTTGAAGAACCCTAAATATGAGTATGATTCTTATTTATGATTATCAGGGTGATATTCCAAGATAGCAGAACTTTGCACCGTTCTGACTCCAAGCTCAAAGTGAAGAACACGGGGTAGGGGTTAGTAGGGAAAAGTCATGGTTGCCGAATCATAGAGTGGGGGGATGATCATCCGAGAGTCTCGAGGAAAAGAGGGGACGGATGAGAAAGGAGGAAGGAGATAGAAAGACAAAGGTGAGAATCATGAAGGCAACTCACATAGTGTCTTGGAAAAGGCGACTGGAGGTTGAGCACAACTATACATCACCGCCCAATGTTCAGCCATGACTGACGGATCCCATTTGGGGCATATACCTAGTACGATTAGCGTTCTTTCCGTGACACGTTCCCCAAGTTCATCCGCACTTCACCCAATAGAACCATTCACGCCTTTTCAAGAGCCCATATCGATTTTATGAGAGAGGGGTGTCAAGGAGGATCAAGAGGGATCAGCGCTCACAATTCCCAGTACCAGGTGCTTCCAAAGTTCTTCTCGCTCCTGAACAAGCAGCAACAACACTGACTGTCCCTCCTATTTGACCATCATTATCCGCTGAATTCAACTCTGCCACACTCCAAGCGTAAGGCTCACTAGCGTCCGGTGCCAAACCTCCGTCAGATCGTAACGCGAGGAAATTCCCCGTAGAAGAAGATTTGATATAATAATATCCGTATGGTACCGGAGTAGCGGCGCATGCTACTTCAGTAGAATTATCGATTATTTGACTTGGATCCACAATGAGATCTGTGACTGCTCCTCCTAATAGACTTAAATCCCTTTGCTCTCCCATTGATCTTTTGGAGTAAAGGTCTTCTTCGCCGTTCAAATGAGAAACTGGTGTTTCTTGTGAATGAGGATCGGAATTTGGGATAGGGGAATGATCGTGTGAGAGTGAAAGAGGTTGATCATCTTGTATTGGAGGTATAGGAGAACGTGGGAGAAGGTTTTGAGCGTCTAGAGCTGTGAATCGGGATGGTGGATTGAGATTGTGTTCATCTTTTGGAATGAGAGGCGAATGAGTTATATCGATACTTAATGTCCAGCGACGATGTGGAGCAGGGGCAGGAATACCTAGTACGCCTGTTTGGAGGTAAGATAAAAGGACGAAAAGAGAAATCACCTTCGAGGTGGATGACATGGAGAATGAATGAATATCCAGTATTTGTAGTTGACTAAGATAAAAGAAGGAGGATATGATCCTATTTGATAATCGAGGTGAAATCAGTCGATAGTTTAAGAAGTGACAGAGAGGAAAAGAGATATTGTTGTGATGGCGATGTTTGAAAAGAAAGAATGTGATCAGAAATGGAGAAAGATAGAAGAAAGAGGATGATTCCAAGTACACACTCAACCTATTTCTACACCTGCATTTCTCATGGATCATGAGTATTCGGTCAACTAGTCTGGGAGTAAAGGTACATTGTGATAATGATAACAAAGGTAAATACAACCTTTGGGATCAGTTTCAAATGACCCATGAAATTTTCCCATACTTCAGACTCGAGTTTAGATTCCTTTGGGATCATCGTTCCGTGTGATCATTCCTTTCGGTTTCCCCCTCGATAGAGGTCGGGGTTTACATGAGTGAGAACTTAGCTCCTGGTGCCATCGATGACAAGATATATAGAGATATGAATGATGGTTTGAAAGTATGCTTACGTAGTGATAAAACTTTTAAGATGCAAATGCTATTTTCGTTCCCTCGTTGTCCACACTGATACCAAAGACGGGCCCGCGTCGGATATCGAAACACCCTCTTCATGCGAACATTTTCGCATAAACCTTCCTTTCTTTCTCCTTCCGGGCCTTCAATCTAGCTTCCACTTCCTTCAACATCTTCACGATGCCCGCATCGCCGGGAACAGCTTGGAGGGCGGTTTTGAGATCGATCTCAGCTCCTTCGTCGTCTTTCACCAAAGATTTACCCAAGGCACGACGGTAGAGGGCTTTACCACGCTCGGCATCGGTCAGACCGGTCAAGGATAGAGCACGGGAGGCGAGAGAAATAGCGAGAGAACCAGCCGGTGGGGAACATTTGATCGCTGCTAGTGCCGCGTTGGTCAGGAGGGGTATACGACTGTTTGTCAGCTGGGCGCTCATGTCCATGTACCGTATTGAACACATTGGCGAGGCCGAGTAAAAGTGATGTACTGTGCTCGAAGGGAGCGAGCGCAAGTGTCGGGTGGAAATGTGATCGAAGGGGAGGAACTTACGCGACACGGAACCTGTCCTCCAATTCCGCATCCCCATCCAGCAAGACAGGATGGACATCAAGGTATCTAAGAGCTTTTTGATACTTGTCCAATGCGGTGGCAAATTGACCGTTTTTGAATTCCCTGTCACATCAGCTCGGAACGTTTCATGAACACTTTTGAGCTCACGTAGTTCCGATTTCTTTCAACTTCAATGCCACACCAAGTGCCTCCTCTGGTTTCTCCGTATCTACTCCCTCTTCATCTGCTGGGTAATCCTGCTCTGTCAGTACATGATCTCAGCCGCAAGATGATCACGAGACAAGGTCAGAAGGAGGACAACATGGAGAAATAGAATGAGGAGGCGAGCACAAGAGCAGCGGGTGATGAGAGAGGAATAACGGAAATTCACTCACCTCCCAAATGTCCTCACCCGCCGCTCCTTCCTGAGCCGACCTCCTCTCCTCTTCCTCCTTTGCTAGATCCTCTTCTGTCAAAACGCCGGCAGCGACAATCTTGACCTCTTCGTTCGGTCGATCCGAAGTAGTTGGTAAGGCCTCTATGCGTCGTACGAGACCACGGTTAGTTCGTACCTTGCCGAAGATTACGTGTTTTCCATCGAGATGAGGAGTGGGTACGCTGAGGTCAGATAGGATAAAATCATATCGCTGTCAAAGAAGCACGAGGAGAAGAAAAGGTGGTCCAGCCATCACAAAAGAGTGACAAGAGGGAGAAATTCTACCTTTACGAATGAATGGAAGAGGGCCAGGAGTTCGCAATCAGACGCGTGCGTTGAGGAGTGATGGATTACGATAGGGAGTGAGGGAAGGAACACGATTCGAAGTAACATTAGGTCGCGGAGCTGGACTCACGTGGTGATGAAGAATTGGGATCCGTTAGTGTTAGGTCCAGCATTTGCCATGGAAAGTAACATGGGTTTATCATGTTTCAAAGAGAAACCTTCATCTGGAGAATCAGTCATTTGTTTCAGGACCAATCCATAGATATGCTAACCTGCAAACTGTACATCAGCATCGTATCAGTCATCAACAGCGGGGAGGTTTGAGGACTGACCTTTTCTCCATAGATGGATTCTCCGCCTGTCCCGTCCCCTTTTGTGAAATCTCCTCCTTGCAGCATGAAGCTATGTGTCAGCCAATATCACATCGATACTTTATGAGTGAATTTATGAACAGGGGATTTCATGTAGCTACGTAGTCCATGAGATTGTGAGATGACAGGGAGTAGGGAAAGTGTACTAACCCTTTGATACATCGATGGAAGCAAGAACCAGCATATGCCAATTTTACACCAGCCGCATTGGTCTTGTCACCTATGCAAAGTTGTTTGAAATTCTCAGCGGTCTGAGAGGTGAGCGTAAGCCTCACTCTGTGTTCTGCGGGATAAATGACTCATGAGGAGAAGGTGTGATAGGTGAGGTCGGGAGACACACTTTGGGCACCACATCGTCATACAACTCGAATGTCAATCGACCAGCTGGAGCACCGCCGATACTGATATCGAAGTAACACACGGTGTTGGGCATCGTCAAGAAATTTTATAGCTTTCTCGGTTCTACTTTCTTCCAATCTTGAGGTGTTAAAGGTGAGAAGAAAACGAGAGAAGTATATGGGATGTCAAGTAGGTAACTCATGGTACAGAGGTCCTTTTCGAGCAATTTCTTTAGCACAGGTCAGATCATTTTGTGGGGCCCCGCAATTTCTTTCCTACACTTCCTCCACACCAGGAAGAGCACATATCTTTCACCTTTTTCAGCCCCGACCAAGCAACTAGCAGCTGAATCGATATCAAAGATCATGGTCGAAGTCGAAGTCGCAAGTCACAGTCCCATAGCCACTATGTCAAGAAAAGATCATCTCTCAAGGACGTTTGAAGCTTATCGAGCGGAGATAGATTCAGATGTATGTGTCCTTCACTCTCCCACCTCGCTTCGTGCTGATGGCACAGAACGAAAGACGAGAACGTCTCATCATCCTATCTCGATCTATCACACAATTATCCAAGAAACTTATATTTCACTTACATAGAGGAGCTACTTCCTCTCCTGGAGCTAGAGCTAAGATGCTCAATGATGCCAGGACCAAAGAACGTGAGATCAGGGAACAATTTCGGAAGGTAAATGAAGTATTGAGAGAAGATGGGGATGATAAGGGATGGAGATGGCATAGACAAGTGTGAGTCCACACCTTGTCCATGTGAATTTCTGTCTGGGTTACAAAACTGCTCAGAGAGATTGGAGTAAAACGAACCCTGGTCGTGCTGATGAAATAGTTCTCCGGGATTGGAAGAGTATATCGAATCTCTCAGTTTCCTACATTATTTAGAGGGAAAGGGTCTGATCACTCTTTCTGATGTTCAAGCTGCGCTTTCTGATCAAGAGACTGGAGACGCGGTGAGATATACAATTTTATCCCCATCGGTTTACAATTTGGACGAAAGTACATGATTGACGGTCAGTGGCTGGTGGTCACTCCGGAAGACTACGTTTTAGGCATTTCAGACCTCACAGGGGAGTTGATGAGATATGCGACGAACGGTGAGTTTCTAACCTTGGTTGGTCATATTTTGAAGTCAAAATAGTATGCGGGAAGTTATCACTGGCGCCAGCTGTGTAATCGTTGTTTCAAGCTGAAATTTAGCCCTCAGTACTGGAGATCATGAAACCCCTTTGTCTGTGTGTCAATTTGTCCGTGATGTCAAAGCGAGTAAGCAGAGTCTCCTCATATCTCACCGCGACCCCCCCCTCTGAACTGGCCAATTTTCTCCTTGCTATCTGTATTATTGCTGTCTATCATGGACACTGTTGACCACTGGAATTCGACAGAATACCTCCTTTTCTGATCAAACCTCTGGCGAAGAAACAAGAAGAGACGACCCGTTCTTTGGAGAAAATCGAGAGAGGTGAGCTACATATACTTTCCCTTACTCCCTGTGATTGTAATCCCAATGTAACCTCAATGAAGGACGACACTAACAATAGTGTGTTACGCTCTTCGACTGAGATTACTGGAATTTGCCGACAGACCGGAGATCTTGAGACAGATGGCTAAGAGGGCGTTGGACGAAGCGGATCGAGAAGAGATTGACTGAGTGTTGTAATTTGGTTTATTGTATACATTATTGGTATCTCGGACATCATACGTTTCGATCGGATAATGATATGTTCACCCACTGACCTGTCTCCTGTGCTTTCATAAGTGATATGTCAGACGGAGGTGGCGGGCTAAGTAGGAAAGCATGATATAGCCATGTAGCCAAGCACCTCCTTCCTATATGTAGCCTCTGCAAGATGTATCCCTCGGTTCCGACGGAAGTGAGTAGACCTCGTGCGTCATGTTCGCTTCCCACCTCTCCCCTCCCTCACATCCCATCCAACCTTTGCTTCGTTTTGTATATCACCTTATAGCTATAGTCAGCTGAGCATCATGCCGGTCATAGACAAGATCAAAGAGGTCTTCCATTCGAAGAAACCTCATCGATCAGACACTGCTCCTACAATCCCAGCAGGTAAGCTTCACCGTCACTATCATTCCACACCTGTTTCCCAGCGCCCAGAGCTCTACTTGTGTACATCTGTCATTGCTGCTCATATAAGACAGAATCGTAGAGGGGAGCTAATCAGCTAGAAAATGAAGGAGAGGCCACTCCTTACCTCCCCACAGAACCAGTGTTCGATGATTCTAAAGTCATCGTCATCTTCGTCCTCGGTGGTCCGGGAGCGGGTGGGTATCCTTCTCTTTCTCGTGTCTAACTCTCCTCCGCCCATCTTATGTTAACCCTCTCACGATCTCTCGCTCGCACGTGACAGGTCTCCCATTGCCTCATTCGATGTGCATCTAAATATGTTGATTAGATGAAGAAGACTCGCATGACATGATGAATTTAACGAGCTTGGCTAACCTATAGGAAAGGGAACTCAATGCGAAAGACTTGTGAAAGATTATGGTTTCGCTCATCTTTCCGGTTAGTCAATATCATTCTTCCTCAACCTAACCAGAGGAGAACTCAGTGAAACTTCCTATCAATTTACTTGTGTGCTTCATAGGAGGAATAATTCGATATGTGACGTGGGAAAGGTGAATGCACAGTTGGACAAAACTGATGTACAGCTGGAGATCTCTTACGTGCTGAACAAGATCGTCCAGGATCCACTTATGGTGATTTAATTAAAGATTACATAAGGGAAGGTAAGATTGTACCTATGGAAGTGACTGTCAAGGTGGGTTCTTCTTCTCTCTTTCCCCCTCTTTCCCCTGCCATACTCTTAATATGGAGTGGTATCCTCGATCAGCTCATGTCATATATGAAGAAATTCGTCCTCTGGTCTGTTGATTTGTGTAATTGGGAGTGCCATTCTCGCCTCTCTATGTAGAATCGAGAGAACTGATTTACAGTTATTGGAAAACGCAATGAGAGTGTCTCTATCCAATCCCCCAGTCACTTCTGGTCCTTTGGCGGAACATTGGAAGAATGGTAAAGGAAGGTTCCTGATCGACGGATTCCCAAGGAAGATGGATCAGGCTTTGAAGTTTGATGAAGCTGTGAGTGGTTTGTTTCTTTTCTTCCTTTGCTTTTCTTCTTGCCTCACACCTTCTGTCATGAATCTTTTCCCTTGAATATACCAATCTATATAAACGCCTCGACGATTCTGTGTTACTTCTGACATGATACAATTGTCATGTTAAGATTCCATCACAGACAATAAAAACAAAAAAGGAGAAAGGTGAAATAAGAAAACTAACTTTGTAGGTATGTAAATCATCCTTCGTGTTATTCATCAATACCACAGAAGAAGTCATGCTCGTCCGTCTTCTTGAGAGGGGTAAAACATCAGGAAGGGCGGATGATAATAAAGAATCCATCGTGAAACGTTTCCGTGAGTAAATCTCACCACTGAACCTCACAGACTATTCCTTGTCTTCTTTCCTACTTTTCACCTTTCTGCCATTCCTTGAATGCAATGTCATACTCTGGGTAATGTATACTATGTAATAAATCAAAAGAACAGGTAGCGGAGAATGAGCCGGAGCTGGAGAAAAACTGGAAAGGGCATCAAATAGCTATAGCTGACCATGAAGGTACATTCGTAGAAACCTCTATGCCTGTAGTGGATTATTATCGAGCTCGAGAAAAAGTCGTCGAAGTGAGTCATAAACACCTCTTGTCCTATTTCCAAGGCCCTAAAGTTCTACCTCTGTGACTTAGAACCTCTCGTCCTGGGAATCACACGTTCGACCCTCTTTAAACCTTACTCACAGAGTAAATGGAATTCTGGAAATCTTTGTGTCAGCGGGTAATCGTGATACGACAATTGACCCGTAGATCGACTCTTCTCCTCCGGCCGATGTGGTGTATGACAACGTTAGAGTTGCAATCGACGAACGTCTTCCTGATTCTCCCACTTACTTGGGTCAATCTACTTCCACGACATTCACCACTCCCACACCTATCGTGTCCACCACACCTTCTTCTCAGTCTGCTCCAGCTGGTCTCACCCATCAAGTCGAATTGGGTCAAGCTTGATAGTAGGAGGTCAGAATAGAATAAAAGTAGCATGTCAAAGTAGTCAGAAATGCATATACATAGTTTTTGAAAACATCGTCTCCCATAATTTCCCACAATTTCCCCCAGAATTATTTCAGTTGATCATGTCTTACTGAATCTCGTTTTCATACTGCAGAAAGAAGACGGGAAGTTTCTCAATTTGGGATAGAAGTATTTTGTACTCGAACACAACCTCCGAGCTGACGACGTAAGTAGATAAGAGAGGTATTGTGGATAATGTTCACTCCCATTCCATACCCGCTCGATTGATTCGTTCTTGTCCCCTCTTATAAGCATCTTCAAATAACAAACGTTTTCTCCCTGGAAGTAAAGGAGCAGGTGTTACTATAGACGCCCTATCCATTAGCCATCCTTTTTTTTGGATTTTGGAATGTAGAGAAAAGACATACATTGAAGTACCGCAAGAAGGTGCGGGAGTACCCATGATGATACATTCTGATACACCTTGAATTTCATCTTTCTTCGAGAAGAGTGATGCGTCAAACTGTCGTCAGTATTGTACTCACACGCCCAGAGCATATTCCGTTTTGTCCGCGAGTAGATGTTTTTGCGAATGGACCGGCTCATATGTTCAGAGAAGGGAGTAGGGTACATATGAACAAATGGTTTGATGTGATGTGAAAAGATAACATTGAGATTCATGGGAAGAAACATAAGTTCGGGTGGTGGAGTTGAAGTATGATTGAGAGATGGAAATCATGTAAGAATCAAAGTTTTCGAGGAGAATTCAATCAAATAGAAGGAGATATTTGGTTGGTACAGGAGTTGATAGATAAGTGGCAAGTAGAGGAATAGATAAATAAATAGAAGATCAAACAAAGGATACAAAGTAATTGGGAGAGAAAGAGAGACAGGAACAGATACTAACCAAATGATCCGTAGTTTTCTCAAAACTTGCCAACATCAAAACACTATCTTTCATCTTTTGTACACCAAACCTAGTTATACCTAAAACTTCTCCTTTGTAAGTCATCACATCCCCTAATAACATGACATGTCGAGGATCTATACTCATACCGTGTGATTGCATGGTATGTTGGATCTCGTTATAAATGGTAGTACGAGCTGCTTCTATACCTAGAACTTCTGCAGTTTCCATGACGTGATTTGTTTTGGTCCTACGGCCGTCGACGCCTGGATGTGAGTTTATGTCAATGGGCTCTTTTTGATACATGAGGTATTTCCTAAAATCTTTTGTTTTTTCCAGATATTGGAATACCAGGTGACGGATGTGAACTGGGAAAAGTAAGAGGTTAAGGCGCAGATGGAAGAGATGATACGGAGCAATTGTGAGACGTTTGGATGACGAATACGTATAAATGAGAAGCTGGAGTTGCACAGATTCCAGAGGCAAGGATGGACAGATGTGTATATAAGAAACGAGAGAATCGTCCCAGGAACACAGACGGGAAAAGACAACCCACCGTCAGTCCCCATCACCTCGGCCAACCCGTATCCAGTAACTAACAACCTATTGATATTCTGATTCTTTTCATCCTTCGTGATAACCCCTCTATCAGCTTGAGGTAAACCTTTGATTTGAACATCCGGAAGTGCCCTTTTGAGAGCTTTGAGACGTTCATACAATCCTTCAGTTTTATCTCCTTTACCGCTTACTTCTGGGTATATTTGGATTCTAGAGCCTTTGTGGAATGAGAATGACTGTTGCGTCAGTTCTGACTCAACTGTTCGTGCGTAGATTATCGCTCAAATTGTTCCTAACAACCATTTTGATCATAAGGCCAAGGCAATCAGAGGACGTATATAGAGAGATGAGGTACGAGGAGGGGACAGAAACCGAGAGCGAGATGGGAAGTGGGAGAAGCAGGCGAGAAGCGGAGTGGAAAGAGACTGAGAGAGGGGGTGAAGGAAGGAGAAGGGGAGGGAGAAAGACGCAAGGGAAACTTACACTCTGGGTCAACTTCAATTTCGATCCAATCAAACTTTCTTTTATACTATCCAGCGTTATCTCCAATTGCAACCTCTGTACCGCCTCTAAATCAATATGTACCATTATATAACCCATCGCATTGCTCCAAGACTCTTCGATAACCGAAGCGATATCACCCAAGACCGTCTTCTCAACTCTTCCCTTGACGATCCTAGCGGCATGTTCAGAAGTAGCGTTCACAAGTTCAGCAGTGATAATAGGCGTACTGATCGTTTTAGAGGCGTTGATGATTTCTTTGATTCGAGGTACTCCTAGAGTAACGTTCATTGATGCTACACCTGCGAAATGAAAGGTTTTGAGGGTCATTTGAGTACCTGGTTCACCAATCGATTGAGCCCCGACAGCTCCTACTGTGGATCCTGTGGGTCAGTTAGTGAACTCCTTCTCTCTGTTCTGAGATAATCTTGGCCAAGGTAGTTAATGGTGAATGGTGAACATCAGGCATAATAGATGATTAGTGTAGAGGGAGAGATTGAAGACTAGCTATGGATGGTGAGAACTGATGTGAAGAGCTGTCAGTGCGAGTATGTGGAGTGATGCAGGAGATAGACAAAGAACTCGCCTGGTTCAATTTTTGATCGAAGATAACGGATACGACATATTTCAAGGAATGTTCGGATTTGATCTTGGGAGACTTTGTTGGTATTGTCCAACACTTGCTTGATGGCGACTATGTCTCAGCTCATCATATCCAGACGTAAAACAACGAGCTGTAGATCGCAGGTTGAGGGAACAAACTGAGAATCACGCAGAAGGAAGGATGAAAGGCAAAGACTGAATTAGAGAAATATTAGGGTCACGTAGGGAAAAAGATGAAAAGATGGATATTTGAGTAAGTTTCAAGCTACGCAAGGAGGAAAGAATGAAAATAAATGTTAGAGTGTCAAAATGACAAGCATTGAAGACACAGGAATGGGACCGATAAAGAGGTAAACGACGATTGAAAAATGAAACGACACATACAATCATCGGGAACAAGCAAATCACCATACTCTTCAGCATCTTCCAATGTGTCCGCAGGAGGTAATCCTCTTGACAAACGTTGATCTGCCATAACCTTGACGATATTATCCCTGACAAAGGCGAAAGTGTTTTCTCGGAATTTATCATGACAACTTTCCCAGCCTGTCAACATTTCCGTTGATACTATCTTTTTGGTTGATCTACCACGTCTGTTTCTCTTCGTTTGTGGTTCGGTGACTTCGGCACTTTCGGGGAAAATACGTTGAGCAATGGCGAGGACTTCATATGGCAATAAAGCTCTGCCACCACGGGATGCGATGCGCTATGACTCAGTCCTCTTGATCTAGTACGTTCCATCGTGACTCATGAGTCCAGAACGAGCTCGTAGCGTGTTGGGATGTACTCGGGGAGGGAGAGGGATCACGCAGTACGTGCGTCAGAAGCGCGTAACGAATGTGTAAGGCATGCAAGCGGGTGAAGAAAAGGGGGGAGGCAAGGATCTGAGAAGCGATTCAGAGGAGGAAAAAGGAAAGGGAGGGAAGAAGAAAGAGGAGGGAAGGAGAAAGAGACGAGAAGAGGCGAAGAGGAAAAGACAAGACCACTCACCGAAGCATGTGTCCAAGTCCTACCATAATCAACAGGAGTAGCATCTCCTTCCAAACAAGCAGGATCTAACATATCATCACCATATTGGAATTGTACCACTCCACCTTCTGAATTCCTAACACTTAAATCATAATGTGTTGATAAATCTTCCATAGCTTTCATCAACCTTCTGGCCATATAACCAGTTTCAGCAGTTTTGACAGCTGTATCGACCAAACCTTCTCTTCCAGAAATAGCATGGAATAGGAATTCAGTTGGAGATAAGCCTGTGTAGAATGAATTTCGAACGAATCCTTTCGAAGGTGGATTTCTAGATTTTTTATGGAAATGTGGTAACGAACGATCTTGAAATCCGTTTGGTATACGATTACCAGAAATGATTTGTTGACCTACACAAGCGACCATTTGAGCTACGTTGATGACGGAGCCTGTGACATCAGATGTTTTCTCAGATGACTCGTGGGATATGTGTGGTGGATGGGAGATTAGATAACTCGTGGGACATGTATGGTGGATGGGAGATTAGAGACGACATGTCAGTGATGGGTGAAGATGAATGAAGATGGGAAAAGATTGGTGAAGATGAGGGGGGAAGAAGGTCAGGTGTAAAAACGTAGAAACGACTGACCTTTAGATCCACAAGTAGCCATAATCAAAGGAGCATTATGTCTACTAAGATCTTGCATACATAACTCTCCAACTTCACCACGAACTTTTGATAAAGTCCCTGAAATCTGTTGTTCCAAAGTAGTATCTTGATCGCATCCAGGAGCGTTCTCCAATAACCCTTTTTTTGCCTTTTCTATCAAATCATCACAATACTTATAAGCTTCTTCAACTTTACCATCTTTACTTAAATGTAATTTCGGTCCTGGAATAACATCGTTGATACCTAATGAGAAACCTTGATTTGCCAACCATCTAGCAGCTAATTTAGCCAGTCTATTCATTCCTGCTGCAGCTTCATCCGGACCATAATCACGTAAAATAACTCCAAAAACAGATTTCTTCTTTCCATCTCCTACTGTATTCTTATCAAACACTCCACACATGATTTCACTATTGACAATGACCAAATATCCATCATTCGGGGACATATCAGGTGGGAAATGATCTTTCGGATCAGGATCTTTCATCGTTCTGCATTTAGCTTCCAGATTGACTTTGATTCTAGAACGACGATTTGGTTTCATGAGAACGTTGAATATTTGTTTTCCTGTCCAAAGACGTTGAGGTTTCCATATTGTTGGTGGAGGGATATCAATGTCCAAATCTGCGTCACAGAAGAAAGAACAAATTTGAGTGAATTGTTGACGACTGAAAAATCGATCTCGTCGGGAAAGAAGGAAAGAACCAGTGATGAAATCTTGTATGGCGGCAATGATAGGTTCTCCATTTCGAGGAGTCACTAGGTTTTTCTTGACGCTCATCAGTTCCAAAGCTTCAGTTCGGGCTTCTTCCGTTTGAGGGATGTCTCAATGATCAGCTCTCTACCACGGTACGTATGTGAGTTTGATGGTAAACTTACGCAAGTTCATCTCATCACCGTCGAAATCGGCATTGTAGGGGTTGCAGACACATTCGTTTAGTCGAAAAGTTCGCCATGGTCGTACTCGTACTCGATGACACATGATAGATAGCTTGTGTAAACTAGGTTGTCGGTTGAACAATGCGATACTATCTGATCAGCCACGATCCCCGTCATTGACACATTCGGTTACTCACTCCCCATCCCTGACATGTCGATGTACCACATCCCCAATTTTCAGTTCCCTCGCCACCAAGGTCCGTCTCTCAACATCTTTGATCATGTGCAGCGCCGTCCGAACAGTTGTTCCATCTGGAGCTTTTCTTTCCAAAATGTTTGCACCCGGATGAAGCTTGGCACCGTGAATGATGGCCTGACGCATTGCTACGATGTTGTAGTTGTTCACTCGTTCAGGGTAAGACAATTTGACAGCCACTTTCTCAGGAACTGCTACCTCGTCTATTCGTAAATTAGGATCCGGCCCGATGACGGTTCTTCCGGAAAAGTCAACACGTTTGCCCGACAAATTACCTCGGAATCGACCTTGTTTTCCTTTGAGACGTTGGACAAAACCCCGATTGGGTTTGCTCTGTCATCGTCAGCTACTAGACCAATACGAAGATCAGGAACCTCACCCCCGGAACAGACAAACCTGGAGTCTGTGAGTTGATATACAAAGCTACCACTTGCCCGAGATTTTCCCAGTTAGCCTTACTTCGTCAGTTGGACGGATCAGAAATTGACAATGACTTACCATTATCTGTTCAATACCTCTCCCACTCTCCATAGTCAACTGTAGTAGCTTGTTATAATGAGCGATCTCTGCCAACTTGACAGTCAAATCATCTTCGTTATTACCCGATTCTGACGCAACGGAAGGTCGAATAGCCGGGGGTGGTACCGACACATATCTCCAGATATAATCTTCTGGTCGACCAACTTCAGGATGCAATGACAACAGTTCACAGTCCTATTCGTCAATCACATTTGTCATGATAAATATGACAATCCTACTCACCTCAGCTGTGATCCTCTGGAAGAGAGCTAAAACCTTGACAGGATTCAAATCCTCCACCACAGACCCAAGATTGCCTTTCAAGGTTATATCGTCCGCGATGGCGGTGGTGAACTTTGATTCGAAATCCGCTTTCATTGCACCCATTTTCTTCGCTCTAAAAGGTTCGTGAACGATTTTCATAGCTCCTACTTTCTTGACCGGTCCATTGGCAGCACCACAATGAGCACAAATGTTTTGTTTCTTACATAAAGTCAAGACGGATTTATTCGCACTCGTCCTTTGTCTTGAGTCGATGTTGGCATGTCTAAAACGTCGTAGGAAAGTTTCTCGTTCTTGTCGAGGTAGAAGTATTCGAGAGCAGGTTTTACAAATACAAGAAAGCATATTGATGGTAGGACGAAAATAACCAATGTGAAAAACAGGGAGAGCGAGTTTGATGAAACCGTAATGACCGACACATTTCGCAGGTTCTTCTCCACAAGTAAGACATCTTCGACCTTTTTCATTAGGACCCTAAGGTTGTAAGCGACTTCGATATTTGATACGAAGCGAGAGGGAGGAAGATGAGGAATGAACTTACCATACGTCCATCTAATGGACCATCTTTCGCAGTCGTCCTACTGCCATCTTCGTTATTCACGTATAGATCGGCAACGGAGACTTCAACCTCTGATATTCTGACAATGTCCTTAGGTGTGAAAGGCTGGAATTGGATATGTTTTCTGATCTCATCAGTTTTGGGGAATTGTGCCAGGAATTGCTCACTCACATTCTCTTGGGAACGTCCTGAGCCACGTAAGACTTGTCATTATGGTCCACCTGATACCAGTCTGCCATGATGAGCCCGATATCCCTAGTACACTGGCGAGAAGGATAACGAGCGGGCAAGTACAGTAACTCGTAGCAGCAATACGAGTATAACAGTAAGATTTCAGTACAAAACTCGCTCGCAATGGAGAACTGAGATTCGAGTGGGAAGAATTTGATTCCGCTCTTCCACGTGGCACCATATACAGTCCCATTCCATCCCAATCCACAACCATAAACTCCACTGCCGTCGCTCTATACCTCGACTTGTCTCTCAAAATCCTCATCGGTCCAGGTGAAACAAGGTCCTTACATCACAATGTCCAGATCTACTCTCTTACAATCCCAAACGAACGCCCTTCTCACCCTTTTGAACCTCAACGAACCTCCCACTTCTTCCAGCTCATCTGCCGATCCCTTCCCTCGCCCTTCCTCTCCAGCAGCAAAATACTCTGAACCTGCCGGTCCACTGGTATGGAAAGTTCTCGTATTGGACGAGTTGAGTAAAGATGTACTAGCCACTAGTTTAAGAGTACAAGATCTTAGAGAGCAAGGTGTCACTTTGCACATGTAAGTGTTTCCCCCTCTATCAATGACAAGTCTCTAATCTTATAGGCAATTACATTCCCCTCGACCTCCTTTACCAGACGTACCAGCTGTATACTTTGTATCTCCTACATTAATCAACATTCAACGTATCGCCCAAGATCTCAATCCTCCATTATACTCAGCATATCACATTTCATTCACTTCTTCCCTATCTCGATCTTTACTCGAAGAATTTGCTTCGTTGATCTTGGCCAATGACCCCACCGGTCAAACGGGTCAATTGATAGCTTCTGTCCATGACCAATTTCTGGAATTTCTCGTTCCTTCTCCAAATCTCTTCTCGTTGTTACCCCGTCGAGAAGTGAAACAAGAAACGAACGGTGTCAATCACAAAACCCCCAAAACGAAGGATAAAGAAATCGAAGGACGTCCGAGTTACGTAGTTCTGAATGATCCTAAAGCTGGAGAAATCGAAATCGAAGAAGAGATTGAACGTATTGCAAAAGGTTTATTCAGCGTCATCATCACTATGGGTGTCATACCCATCATCCGTTGTCCGAGAGGTAACGCTGCCGAAATGGTCTCGAGGAAGTTGGAAGCAAAACTCAGAGATTACCTCGCTTCTTCTTCTCAACGTGGAGCTGCATCTAGAGATGGGGGATATGGCTCAGACGGTTTCAGTAATTTACAAAGACCATGTGAGTTTCTTCAGTAGCGATAAGTAGAGATGGAACTGATTGTGAAAGTGCTAGTGATTTTGGATAGAAACGTTGATCTCATCCCCATGCTCTCACATTCTTGGACATATCAAGCTCTGGTTCATGATGTTTTGGATATGAAACTCAATAGAGTCACCGTTGAATCTCCTGAGAATGGTCGACTGCAAAAGAAATCGTATGATATTGATTCCAAAGACTTTTTCTGGGCGAAAAATGCTGGAAACCCTTTCCCACATGTAGCAGAGGATATAGATGTTGAGTTGAGTCGGTATAAAGCCGATGCGGCTGAGATCACTCGATCAACAGGTATAAGTGATGTCAATGATGTTTCTCAAATGTCAGTTTTAGCTCTTCTTCAAAACCCTCACTGCCATTCTCCTGCACCGCAACATGGTCTGTGTTATCACATCATCAAATTTGACACTTGCTAATATGTAGTGACTTTACATCCAACACTGCCAATTTGAAAACAGCCATTACCGCACTTCCAGAACTCACAGCCCGTAAACATACCCTTGACACACATATGAACATCGCCACCGCTCTTCTCCAAGCTATCAAAGAACGCGGTCTGGATAATCTATTTCAAGTGGAAGAAGCAGCTGCCAAACAACCAAAATCCACCGTGATAGCTACTATGAAGGGACAAACGGATGATCCTACGCAACCCGCTCACCCAACTCCAGATGATCAACTTCGATTGGTCATCATCTATTTCTTATCCATGGTTGATAATTCCATGTCGAAGGAAGATCTGGTCGAATTGACGGATATACTCAAAGAGTCCGGGGCGAATGTTGCTGCTTTGGAATATGTGAAAAAAGTCAGGGAAGTGAATAGGATGACTATGATGGCTAGTCAACCTGCTGTTGCTGCTCCTACACAAGGGGGTGATTGGACAAAAGGTTTCGGAGCTTTGGGTAGTAGGGTATGTTTTCTGTCCCTGCATCATTCACTACCACTCAGCTATACGTATGGAACCAACGCTGGTTATTGAAATTATTACGGATGATTTGGGATTGAGGTATGTGTGTGAGGACAGATACTGATTGACAGATCACTGACAGATTACGAGAAGGAGGTATAAGTGGTGTAGGTCTCGACAACCTAATCTCAGGAGTCAAAAACTTCCTTCCTGCTCGTAAAGAACTCACGGTGACTCGATTGGTAGAAGCTTTGATGGAACCATCATCAGCTACTAGTCAAGCTTTACAAGATACAGACGATTTCCTCTCTTTCGATCCCAGAGCCACACGATCTCGTAATCCAGGTCAATCGAATAGGACTAGACAACAATATCAAGAGAGTATAGTGTTTGTGGTTGGAGGAGGAGGATATGTGGAGTATGGTAATTTGATGGAATGGGCAACGAGGAGTCAAAGAGATGGTGGTGGAGGTGGGAAAAAGATCACTTATGGGAGTACGGAAATAATGAATCCTACTTCTTTTGTGAGGACTTTAGGGGATTTGGGAGCTGCTTGAGATTGAAGGTGAGGGAGAGGGTATATGCATCAGTGTTCAATGTTTACATTATAAATTGTGATATCACACTGAGCATCCCTTGGCTGCCGTATGATATGTATCCTCGCACATAGATGCTCTGCACAGGTAGATGGCGGAAGTAAATAGTAACCCCCGTTTCCGACGGAAAACCGACGCGACACGGCGCAAAAGGTCAATGCGCGAACACTCCATCGTAACCTGTTGGGTGATGATGGAATGCATAAAGAGACAGAGAGAAACTACGTGTATGTATACGGGATCAAATTGACCTATCGCCGATACGTGTGTTATCTCCGATACCTTCGACACTCCCCTCGAGAGGTTAATCTACCTTCTCACCATCAGAACCCCTTTCCTCACTATCTTCTATGTCTTCTTCACTGTTTGGATACCTTTGGTATGTTCAAGTCGGAGAAAGACTGTCTGGATGTGGTGGGTTGTTCCGGAGAGAGGTTTAGTGAAGATATCTGCTCTCTGCTTACTTGTATGAATGTATTCCAACTGAATATCCTTACTCTCCACTCTTTCTCGTACTAAATGATGTTTGATATCAATATGTTTCGTTCTTGCATGTGTGATTGGGTTGCCGGAAAACTTGATGGCACTCTGATTATCCACGTGCATTACTGTAGGACTAGAGACAAGACTCCCCTGTCCAATTTCTCGAAGGAGAGTTCGGAGCCAGAGAACTTCTTGAGTAGCTTCAGCATACGCGACATATTCAGCTTCCATCGAAGATGTTGAGACCGTAGTTTGTCTGCGAGAAGACCAGCTGATAGGAGAGCCGTGGAGGTACATGACATAGCCAGTCGTGGACTTGCGTGTATCTTTACATCCACCCCAATCAGAATCGACATAACATTGAAGATTACGAGGAGATTTGGCTCCACCAAGGGTAAGACCAATGTCTCGGGAATGAGAGAGATAGGAAATGAGTAGTAGGCCCATTTGCCAATGGATATCTTTAGGATCCGAGCCATAACGTCCTAAGAAGGAAGCAGCATAAGAGATGTCTGGTCTCGTACAACTAGAAAGCCAGAGGATTGATCCTACTAGTTCTTGATAATTGCGTTGAGAAGTTGCTTTGGTACTTTCTTTTGGTGATTCTGTAGGAAGAGGAGCACGACGAGCGGAGGATGGGTTGAAGTTAGGAAAACGGGAGATAAGTTTGTCGATGTAACCACCTTGGGTGATCCATAGCTTGCGATTCTTTCTATCTCGTTGAACCTTCATACCCAGGATATGCTGGATTGGACCAAGCTTGCTGATTATCCATTTCTCTCCTAGTCTGTCAAGTACCGAATTGATATCTGCTGTAGATTGTGAAGCAATGATGAGATCATCAACGTACACTAGCATCATTATTGCTGGGGAGCCATCGGAGTTGAATAGCGTGTAAAGACCCCAGTCTGAATTTGATCTCTTGAAACCCATTTCAGAGAGAACATCACCGAGTGCTTGCCACCAAGCTCGACCAGATTGTTTGAGTCCGTAGATGGTCTTGTGGAGGCGAAGAGCATTGTACTCGGGTTTACTTGTTGTTACACCATCAGGAATTTCGAGGTAAAGTTCTACATCGAGTTTTCCGTTAAGATATGCACCTTCTACATCTGCTTGATGAACTTCTAAGTCGTGGACAGCAGCAAGGGTAAGGAGGATTCGTAGAGAAGTGTGACGGCTGACAGGAGCAAAAGTTTCGAGATAATCAATTCCTTGTTGTTGAGAATATCCCTTTGCGACTAGTCTTGCTTTGTATTTTACGATTTCACCGTCTGTGTTTGTTTTTCGGTTGAAAACCCATTTACTTCCTACTGTCTTCCTTCCTGCTGGAAGTTTGACTTCTGACCATGTTCCTTTTCCTTGAAGGTTATCTATCTCTTTTTGGACGGCTGTCCACCAATCTTTATTGTCTGGAAGTATCATAGCTTCTCCAAGAGACGTAGGATTATTGTGGTTGGATGAGACAAAGAGGAGGAATTCGGAATTATTGAGGTGATCAGTGTCTTGCTCGTAATCAATGGCTGTGAGTAATCTTGAGCTTCGACGAGTACCTTCTCTTGGTGGAGGACGAGAAGGATGTAGAGATGGTGCTGGAGAGGTTTGTGGTGCTGATTCCTGAGGAGGAATGGGAGTACCTTGACGTAAACGCTCCCCTGTCTCGCTTCCCCTCTGTTCAACAGTTGGTGGTACTACTGGTTGAACAGGAGATGGGAGTGTAAGACGGATGGTGAGAGGTTGTTTTGGCTCTGCAGGGACTGCAGGTGTCGGAACTGAAGCCGTAATAGTTGGTGTAGGATTAGGAGCAGTAGGAGGAGTTGGTTTTGGTCTTGCAACTTCTCGTGGAGGAGCAGATGGGATAGGAACCATGAGAGGTGTGTTTATATCCATTCCCGTAGCTGTTCTTATGTCTCTTGAGATTTGAGTGGTACCAGTATTTTCAAAACGTACAACATATCCACTTGTATCTGAGACTTGTCCTAAAATCCTTGCCAGTTGAGCTTTAGGAGTACCCAACTGTGATTTATCTCGAATTTCATATGGAAGAAAAGCATAGCATAATTCTCCAAATTCTCTTATTGATTCGAGATTGGTCTGACGACCAGTAATTGTTGTCCATGCCGATTTTCCATTACCACCTATTGTTGTTTTATTTAGGATGGTACAGGCGTAGATAGCAGCGTAGTCCCAATACGCATGACCTAGGGGAGTTTGATCAAGCATGGCTGATATCATCTCTTTGATAGTTCGATTAAACCGTTCAATAACTCCAGCATGTTCGTGAACATAGCGTGGTGTTTGTTGATGAATGATACCAGTTGTTTCGTACCAAGCTTTAGCTATGTTGCTATCAAACTCTGATCCCCTGTCAGATCGAACAATCTTGACTTTGATTCCTAATTGGCGTTCAAGTCGTATGATGAAAGCTTTGAGTTGATCAAAAGCTGCTGATTTTGTTCGAATTGGGATAGCACATTTGACTTTGGACCAATCGGCAACTATACCAAGGAAATATGAATTTCCTTCCTGTGAGGGTAGTACTGGACCGGCTAGATCTACGTGGACAATTTCTCCTTCTTCAGTTCCCCTTTCACTATGACCAGGTTTAGATAGAACTGTAGCTTTTTGACGTTGACAAGTATCACAATCTGATAGTTTGAATTCATCAGACTTGAGAGCTTCGTAATTTGGCCAGTCTTTAGCTAATTCAAGGATTTTGTCGGGATGGATGTGTCCTAGACGGCAATGTTCTTGAAAGAGAGGAGATTGTACGCGTGTGACAGCGTTGATAGACAGAGGAGTGGAAGTGGAAGAAGTTGTAGATCCTTGAGTGATGTTGACCCATGGAAGTACGCCCTTTCGGTGTATGTGGAGCACATATCTGCCGTATGAGAGCTTCAGATTCTTTAAATCCACGTTCCATCCTTGCTTTGTAAGCTGTCCTTCTGAGAGAATGTTTAAACCCGTATCTGGCATGAGATGTACATCGGTGAGGAAGAGTTTCTGACCATCAAGAGTGGGAATATGTAGTTTGCCAACTTGATTTGCTGTTATTGTACGACCTGTCTTCGCTAGTTGAAATACTCTAGGCCTTGAGAGAGTAATCAGGTCGGTCAGAAGACGTGGGTTTGAAACAATATGGTGAGTAGCACCAGTGTCGAGAAGAAAGGTAAGTGGCTTGGAAGCCGTGAGTGGAGACAAGAGGTATTCGGCAGAAATTGCAGAAACAGAACCAAAGATCTCCGGGGAGGAGGATCTTGCTATATTATTTATTGTCCCTTTTTCTTTCAACTTCTTTGCCGCCTCCAAGAGTTGAGCCTTCGAAGGATCTCCCCTTTCTTTCCCATTACAGTCCTTCTCCTCATGACCCCTATAACCACACCATCCACACTTCAAATTCATATTCCTCTTCCCCTTTCCCCCGTTTCCTTTTGGTTTCTCCTTTCCCGTACTAGTTTTTCCTTTCCCCTTTCCACCATTTCCCCTTGGGGGTTTGATGGCGTCCTTGTTGGCAACAACAGAATTGACGGATCTGACAGCATTGACAGAAGCTTGAAGTTGTTGACGAAGACGGCGGGAGTCGGCAATAGAACGATAGGCAGTGAGGAGATGTTCCCAGTTACGTTGTTCTGGGGCACGAAGATCCCATTGCATACAGAATGGTTGAAGATCTTCCCCAAAAGTGAGAAGGAAACGCTCGGTACGATCTTCATTTGAAAGTGTCGAACCTGCTCCAATAGCTTCAGCAATGAGTCCAGTATAAGTTTCGAGATGTTGGACCATTTGTTCATGGGAAGCATTTTCAGGGAGCTTGAGCAGAGCAATGCGTTGATTAAGATCATTACGACGAGAAGTAGTCTGAACTTGGTGGGTAGATGAGATACGTAACCAAATGTCATGAGCAGACCAGAGATTTTCGACGTCTGAAGCAATGCCGGGAGAGATGGAGAGAATGATGAAAGATCGAGCAATACGTTCTTGTTTTGCCCAGTTGTCCCATGTGTTCTTCTGAGCAACAGTAAGAGCAGTTCCATTCGTGGAATTTGTCGCATCAGGAGGGACTAGGCCGGCGTATTGACCAGGGGGATGGATGATATCCGTATGACCAGGAATAGCAGGGTCTATGAAAGCACGATGTGGTTCAAGTTCGTAACCAAGAAGGTTGTTGAGAGCATTCTTGCTGAGAAGATATGCTTGAAGAGCACGTCGCCAACGGATAAAAGTTTCGGTACCCGTGAGGGTAGGGACAAGTTTGTTGAGGGAAGAGAGTTCATCGGACATTGTAAAGCGTAATGTCAGCGTTGTTTTATGACAAGGAATAGACTCTCAGGAAAGACTTATCGTGCGCTAGGTGAAATCACCGTCCAGTAATTCCACCACCGGGTTGGACCGGATTTCCGTCTACCGAACAAGCCAGTAGGTATGCGTCTCACAGAGACGTCTACACTGCAGCAAGCTGACAGCTGTGGTTGTGGTAGTGGGGAAATGAGCGTGATTAGGAATTGACTTGGTAGATTGTGACGGGGGACACTAGGTCGTACCGTGTGGAATCGTGGTAGTGAAAGGGAGTATCCTATCTACTACAAAGTACTAAGAGACGTGAGTGTCGAGGAAGTACGGATAAAAGGCAGGGATGACTTTAGACTAAGACGTGGATTGAAGTAGACTAACCAAGGGACGTGAAAGTCGTGTTGGTGAAATGGATCTGAGTAGTTGCAGCACGACGCGCTTTTGACGTACTCAAGTGTCCGTGAGGTATGGGATAAGACGTGATAGTAGAGGGAGCGTGGAGTGCTATCTGACTATATACGAGAAACCTCTATCTACTGTTATTTGGTGTTTACGTCTATTAGAATTAGTCGAAAGGGAACCCAGCCGGGAGTGTGCCCAAGCAATGGCTCAAGGGTTGTTGAGCCCTGTGAGGAAGTATAGAAGGGGGGTGATGCTATTCCGACTGTTAATCTGTTGGGTGATGATGGAATGCATAAAGAGACAGAGAGAAACTACGTGTATGTATACGGGATCAAATTGACCTATCGCCGATACGTGTGTTATCTCCGATACCTTCGACATAACCGTCCCTACGTCTTTCTCTTCCTCTTTCTCACATTCCGACCCGTCAGCGATAGTACAAACATACGCTGACGGTTCAAGTTCATGTTCATGTTCATATAGCTGCTCACGAGGTAGATATCGCAATATGACTTCTATCTCTCCGGCTATAGAAGATGGTCTGGCCACTACCATCTCCAATGGGGGAGCTTTGGCTTTTGATGTCAAGGTGTTTCGTACTTACTTGTCCTCTCTCTTACAACCTGGTCAGTCTTCTTATTCACCCTATATCCCTACCCATTCCTATCTCTCTATCAGTCTTCAGACTACTTGTCATTTCGTACGATTCATCTCGTTGTCATATTGATCTTTCACTCATCATGATCCCCATGAGAATCAACTATTACCACTCATAGGTAGCTAGCTCAGTTGTCGACAGCTTCACTGATCCACCCCAGTAATGTCAGCATCTCATCAAGACCTCACAGATTCTCTCTTCTTAGACCCATCATTCGAAGAAAAATCACTTCGTTTCGCTTCTGATCCAACATGTCAAGTCATTTACATCACCCGAGAAAGATTTATCGACGTAGATGTAGATGATCAACCTATTTCAAAATTAACATATCGTCTTCAACTTCCACCTACTCCTCAACATTCACCAAACATTTTATCAACTTTAGCTTTAATAAAATCATCTCCTATACTTGATCCTATGATCCCATTGGGAACACAACTTCATTTCGTTCTTCTTTCCTCTGGAATAGGTGCTACACCTGGATTGGTAGTTGATGATGTTGGAATTGGGAATTCAACTGTCGTAAATACTCCAACCACTCAAGGAACTCCATATGATGGATTACATAGTTTGGTACATTGGGGTGTTGCACCTTGGTTTGATGCGTATGTTAGTTCGAAACAGATACAAGGGGATGGTGTGGGGAGTAAAAAGGGTGGTGAGGCTCAAATGGGTGAGTGACGAGAGTATGCTCTGTCATATTATTATTCTTCTTTTGAGTCTATTCATATACACGTAACTCGCTCGTATAATTTCTTCTGATCACCAATGTCTTCTACTCAACAAACTCATCCGCACTCTTCTAATCACCAATGTCTTCTACTCAGCAATGTCATCTACTCTACAATGCCACCTACTCTAGCTTCTCGAAGTGTATGAGATTCGAGGACGTCACTTGTTTGGGTGTCAGATCAAAACTATGTAATCTCTGCGCGCCCTGTCAGAGCTGATGTCAGGCATCCCGGTGACCAAGAAAAAGTTTGCCGAACTTGAATTATCCCTGTTGCACCTGAAGCAAAATGTCGAGATTCCCGAAGCTCATCTGTCTGTTCATCCTTCTATCCGAAAAGCTGTCGCTGCATGTCACGCATCCAATACTCGTGTCTCCGTCGACGCCGTAGAACCACAATCACTACTATCAGATCCTTCTTTTCTCAACAAACTTCAAGCCGATGTCAACTCTTGGATCAAAGAAATTCAAGCGGTCACGAAACTCTCTCGAGATGTATCCTCCGGCACAGCTTCACAGGAGATCAATTTCTGGCTCAGCATGGAACATGCTCTTGAAGGTATCGAAGCTCAACTCAAAGGTGAAGAAGTCACTCTCGCATTGGAAGTCTTGAAACACGCCAAGAGATTTCACGCCACTGTTAGTTTCATCGCCGATACAGGGTTGAAAGAAGCTGCAGATGTCGTACATAAACATAATATCCTTATGCGCGATTTCCCCTTGGACGAACTTCTCGCCGCTACAGATCTGGAGAAGATCCAAGAAGCTGTATATCTGATATTTGCACATATCAATAAGAAACTAAAACTATCCCCATATCCAATCAGAAGAACACTCCCGCTTGTCGAAGCTATTTCTCAAGACTTTAATGACCAGTTGCTGCGTGTGCTAGGAAGCCAAAGATTGATGTATATGGATTACGCAAAGTTTGAGGCAGTTATGAGCGCTTGTGCGGAGGTGTTCACGACTTGGGACGAAAACATGAAAGATTTCACGAATGTAGCTAGAGAAGGTTAGTGTTCTGGTGGAAGTTGAGAGAGTTGAAGCTGACGAATAGTGTCACGAAAAAGAGCCGAAAAATTCATCTCCATCAAAATCAACCCCGCTCATGCCAAATTACAAGAAAGGATTGCGTACTTACGAAATTTCAGACGCTCTCACGACCAGTTACGAACCATGACTTCGTCCACCCGGAACTTCAGCGGTCTCGGTATCGACGCACCCTTTGAACTCGACATGGAAGAGGAAGTGAGATTGGCATACGAAAGTGTCAAAGCTGCCGACGTCCTCGATGTGTCTCCAGAAGGATCTGAGATCTGGTACACTGCCGAGAGTGCTTATAACGACCGTGTGGCTCGTATAGAAAATCAGATCATCTCCCGACTACGAGACAGGCTGGCCACTGCTCGCAATGCTCAAGAGATGTTTCGTGTCTTTTCAAAATTTAATACTCTCTTCGTCAGACCTAAAATTAGAGGTGCTATACAAGAATATCAAACTCGACTTATAGAGAGTGTCAAAGATGATATCCGACGACTGCGTCAAAAGTTTACGGCAAATTATCGGAACTCTCAAGCATATCATATGTCCCAACTGCGCGACTTTCCTTCCGTTTCGAGCGCCATCACTTGGGCGAGACAGATTGAACGTCAATTGATGACATATATGAAACGCGTGGAAGATGTTTTAGGTAAAGGTTGGGAGAGTTATGCGGAAGGTCACAAGTTGCAAGTTGAATCACAATCATTCCGTCAAAAGTTGGATACAAAACCTCTATACGACGCCTGGATCGCCGACATTTCCAGACGGGGAAATCTCACAATCACAGGGGAGGTTGTTTGATGTTGTCAAGTCAAGAGCAACCGCTCAGAATTCGCAGGGGCATTTACAATTGATTGTCCAGTTCGATCCCCAAGTCATCGCGTTGTTCAAAGAGGTCAGATCACTCATCTGGCTTGGGTTTCCAGTGCCGCTCACCATATCTCATCGAGCTAAAGATGCCAAGCGAGTTTATCCACATGCAGTCAGTTTGATGGAGAGTGTCAGGATATACACGCAGACCTTGGATTTAGTAGAGCAGAATGAAGATGTGGCGATGTTGTTGGCTAGCTATCGATCTCATACCCAACAAATGATCGCAAAGGGTAAGTAAACTCTTGTGATGCGATCGAGCTGACTAAAAGGTATCAACATGCAGTGGGATCATTTGATCAATGCTTACGACGGTCATCGTCTCCTTTCTGGTGGCGCGGATGGCCGCGAGAGTCGACATTTTGTCTTCGTTCGCGAATTCGCCAGCGTAGTCTCGCTTCTACAAGATAAAGCCACGGCTCTGGTGGAGATCTCAAAGGAGATATCGAATGTGGTGGAAGAACTTGGAACTTGCGCATTCACCATCGAAGCTTTCTCTGGCCTCTTGGCACAGATACAAAAAACGGTGGATCATCTCAATCTTGAAAATTATAGCAATCTCGATGCTTGGGTATCGATATTAAACTCGCGAATTGATACTGTGCTGGTGAATCGACTGGTACAGGCTATCAACGATTGGTGTGACGAATTCATCCGATCAGACTTTGCAGATGGTGTCAATGGTGATACACCTGCCCACAATGCTCAAATTTCAAAGGTATGTTTTCCATACGCACACATGAATGATCTTTTGGATCTTGACTGACTCCAGAAGTCCGCTTTACACATTGAACCATTGGTACATGAAATCCGCATTCGTAATCAAGTCATCTATCTTGACCCACCTATCGAAATAGCTCGTGCTGAATGGCTCAACCAATTCCAGAACTCACTCGGAATCATCTGTCTTCTCTCTCGAATCCGTTCGTCTCGATACGAAATTTCTCTACAAGCTGAATCTCCCTCAGAAGAAGAAACCACCTATACCTCCCTTCTATCTTCCCTTGACATTTCCATCCTTTCTAAACCACTTCAACTGATAGAGAAAAAAGTTCAAGCCGTCAGTGAATACGTTGATAAATGGCTTCAATTTCAATCTCTTTGGGATCTAGAACCAGATCACGTTTACAATCGTCTTGGAGATTCTCTTTCTCAATGGGGTCAATTATTATCTGATATTAGACAAGCTCGTTCTACATTCGATACTTCCGATACTAGGAAAGACTTTGGTGTTTGTGTTATCGACTATGCTAATGCTCAAAGTAAAGTGAATTCTAAATATGATTCATGGCAAAGAGAATTGTTAACTCGCTATGGCACGAGATTGGGTAATAGTATGAAAGAAACTTATTCGGGTATTTTGAAATCTAGAACGGATCTGGAGACGATGAGCATTGATGGGACTTCTACTGCTCAAGCAGTGACGTTTATAACTTTGGTTCAAGAGTTGAAGAGGAAGAGTAAAGTTTGGGGACCGGAAATGGAATTGTTTTTGTTAGGTCAGAAAACTTTGGAAAGACAGAGGTTCACTTTTGGAACGGAATGGTTGTACGTTGATCAAGTACAAGGAGAGTGGAGCGCTTTTACGGATATTTTGAAGAGGAAGGATGATGCCATTCAGGAACAGATAGGTGAGTGAGACATCATTGTTTTCTTTTCACACCTATTGTTCACTGTCTTTCCCCTTTCCTCGAACATGTGCACCTCTCTAGTGTTTTCATCGGTGACTGTACCGCCTTTGGTAGTTAAATCTGCTCTATCCTTGTCAGCATTCAATTCATCACTACCAACCGCTCAGTTATGATCCAGAATAGTGATAGACTCCATTGAAGAGCTATCATGTCCGCTTGTGTTCGACACAAATGGTGGTGCACAATTGGGCCCCAGTAGGAGGAGCATCATCGATGATAGTGAAATGTCTATGTTCGATGGTGGCTCGGGTCATTCTCTTGTGTATCACTAACTGTCAGCTGGATTACAATTGAAGATCGTCGCGGAGGACAAAGTGGTCGATGGACGTATTCGCGAGTTCACGTCGGAATGGGAAACACTCAAGCCTCTTCAAGGGAGTATCAAAGCCGATGTAGCTATCAACACTCTTAACGTTTTCGAAGGTCGTCTCACTCGTTTGCTCGAAGAATATGATCTCGTTTGTCGTGCTAAAGAAGCACTCAATCTCGAACACACGAAGGATGATCGTCTCGAACCCGTCACCGAAGAACTAAGAGATCTGAAAGGTGTATGGACGGCTTTATCTGGTATATGGGGAAGAATCGGTCAACTTAGAGAGATGCTCTGGTCAGCAGTCCAGCCGAGGAAGTTGAGACAAGAGCTTGATGCCATTCTTTCATCCACTCGTGAGATGCCTTCAAGGATGCGGCAATATGCGGCTTTTGAGTATGTTCAAGAAACCATCAGGGGTCTCTTGAAGAGCAATGTACTCATTTCCGAGATGAAAAGCGAGGCCCTCAGAGAAAGACATTGGTCTAAGCTGTACAAAGCTTTGAGGATGTCAGGGGCATCACAATCATCTACGTGAGCTAGCGATGTTCTAGCAAAGATTTTCAGCTCATATGACAGGATGACACTCGGTCAAGTGTACGACCTTGACCTGCGCAAGAACGAACAGTTGATCAAGGAAGTTGTCATGCAAGCCCAGGGCGAGGTAAGCTAGCTTATGAAAAATTCTGGTAGAGCTGATAGGCAGATGGCGTTAGAAGAATTCCTCAAACAAGTTAGGGAAACTTGGACGTCCTATGCTCTCGACCTCATCAACTATCAGAACAAATGTCGTTTGATCCGTGGCTGGGACGATCTGTTCAACAAATGTGGTGAACACCTCAATTCTCTCAATGCCATGAAGCTTTCACCTTACTATCGAGTATTCGAAGAAGAGGCTGCATCATGGGAAGAAAAGCTCAATCGCGTGCATGTGCTTTTTGACGTATGGATCGATGTACAACGACAATGGGTTTACCTGGAGGGTATCTTCACAGGTAGCGCCGACATCAAACACCTTCTTCCTGTCGAAAGTGCCCGATTCCAGAATATCAACTCCGAGTTCCTCACTGTCATGAAAAAAGTCAACAAATCGCCTTTCGTATTGGAGATACTCAATATTCCTGGAATTCAGAAAAGTCTCGAACGTCTGGCTGATCTTCTGACAAAGATCCAGAAGGCTCTCGGGGAGTATCTGGAGAAAGAACGATCATCATTCCCTCGATTCTATTTTGTCGGTGATGAAGACCTTCTGGAAATTATCGGGAATAGCAAAGACATTCGAAGAGTCATGAAACATCTTAAAAAAATGTTTGCAGGTATATCCACACTTCAACTCGATGAAGATGAGACAATGCTTCTTGGTTTTGCCTCCAGAGAAGGAGAAGAAGTTTCATTCCGTTCGCCTATCATGCTGAAAGATTTCCCCAAGATCAATGATTGGCTCGCTCGTGTCGAATCGGAAATGCGACATTCATTAGCGGAATCACTCTTCCGTGCAGTGACAGAACTTCGAACCTTATTCGCCATCGACAGTGAGCTCTCTTTACCTGGTCTCATGACTTGGATCGATTCGTACCCTGCTCAACTTGTCGTACTTGCTGTACAAGTAGCTTGGACGGAATTGACAGAGAATGCTTTGGAATCAAACTCTCTTACGAATGTTCTCACCTTGGTCGCTAAAACACTCGACCTTTTGGCCGATACTGTTCTCCAAGACATTGCTGTTCTTCAAAGACGTAAATGTGAACACCTCATCACTGAACTAGTTCATCAAAGAGATGTCATCAGAGGTTTGATAAGTAACGGTATCCGATCTTCCTCAAGCTTTGACTGGTTATATTACATGCGTTTCTATCTTATCGACACTATAGAAGATCCTTTACTCCGTCTTGAAGTTCGAACAGCCGATGCGATATTCCCATATGGATACGAATACCTAGGAATTCCCGATAGACTCGTTCAAACCCCACTTACAGATCGATGTTATCTCACTCTCACTCAAGCGCTCGACAATCAACTGGGTGGATCTCCTTTCGGACCAGCAGGAACAGGCAAGACTGAATCCGTCAAATCACTCGGTGTACAATTAGGTAGATTCGTCCTTGTTTTCTGTTGTGATGAAACGTTCGATTTCCAAGCCATGGGTAGAATCTTTGTGGGTCTATGTCAAGTAGGTGCTTGGGGATGTTTCGACGAATTCAATCGATTAGAAGAACGTATTTTATCTGCTGTTTCTCAACAAGTACAAAGTATTCAACAAGGATTAGCAGAAATAACTTTTAATCCTGATGCTGAAGTTGAACTTGTCGGTAAGAAATTAAAAGTCAACCCACGAACAGGTATCTTTATCACTATGAATCCAGGATATGCCGGTAGATCAAATTTACCTGATAATTTGAAGAAATTATTCAGAAGCATGTCCATGACTCGACCGGATCAAGAACTTATCGCACAAGTTTTATTATTTTCCAAAGGTTTCAGAACCGCAGAAATCCTAGCTAGTAAAGTCGTACCTTTCTTTAATCTCTGTGCGGAACAATTATCTAATCAACCTCATTACGATTTTGGTTTAAGAGCTCTCAAAGCGGTACTTTCAAGTGCTGGGATTTTGAAAAGAGATAGGTATCTTAAATCTGTTGATGGTGAGTTGGAAGTAGAAGGGGATGATGTGGTTGAACAACAAATTATGATACAAAGTGTTACAGAGACTATTGTTCCTAAGTTAGTTGCGGATGACGTACCTTTGTTGAAAGGGTGAGTTGGGTAATTTCACCACTTCTTTGTTCAATGTTCATCATCCACCACAATCTGTTCACTATTCACCTTCTTTCACCCGCTGTCCTCTGTTCACTCTCCACCATCCACCGCGCACCATCCACCGCTCAACGTCCACCGCTCCTCGTCCACCGCTCACCATCCACCGCTCCTCATCCACCGCTCCTCATCCACCGCTCCTCATCCACCGTTCACTCTCCACCATCCACCGCTCACCATCCACCGCTCAACGTTCACCGCTCCTCATCCACCGCTCACCATCCACCGTTCACTCTCCACCATCCACCGCTCACCATCCACCGCTCAACGTTCACCGCTCCTCATCCACCGCTCACCATCCACCGCTCACCATCCCCCGCTCATCATCCACCGTTCACTCTCCACAACTCATCATACCCCATGCATATGCTCGGTTCGAAGCCATGATAACATCCTGTATAAGGTTTTAGCTGAAAGTATAGACTACTGCAAGATGTTTTCCCTGGCATCGCTTACGTTCCTGTGGATCTCGAAGCCTTACGAACCAAGATCGCTGAAGTATGCGCTGAACGTCATTTAGTCCCAGGTGAAGCATGGGTAGACAAAGTGGTACAACTTTATCAAATTCAAAATATCTCCCACGGTCTCATGATGGTAGGACCATCTGGTACGGGTAAAACACAAGCTTGGCAAGTCCTTCTGGCCGCTTTGGAAAGAGTGGATGGTGTGGAAGGTACATCATATTCTATAGATCCAAAAGCTATCGATAAAGAATCTCTTTATGGTACTCTTGATCCCACAACACGGGAATGGAACGATGGATTGTTCACTCATATTCTACGTAAGATTGTCGATAATGTCAGAGGAGAAACTACTCGACGTCATTGGATCATTTTCGATGGTGATGTTGATCCTGAATGGGTTGAGAATCTCAACAGGTGAGTGTCTTTCGATCGCATTTCCAAATCAGACTCACACCGAAAACTCACACATCCGAAGAATACCCGGAAGTAAAGCAGAGGTCCAGAGGCGAACCCGACGTTCAGCATCAAAGCAGATTCAGATCTATAACAAAGGTAGAAAGCTGACAAATCAGTGTGTTGGATGACAATAAATTGCTCACCCTTCCCAACGGTGAACGACTCAACCTCCCTCCCAATGTTAGGGTCATGTTTGAAGTTGAACATCTCAGATTCGCCACCTTGGCCACCGTCAGTCGATGTGGTATGATTTGGTTCAGCGAGGACGTGATAAGTACTTCTATGATCTGTCAAAACCAATTGCGACTCCTCAGTACCGTCCCCATAGGTGGAGACGACGAAGAAATTGCCGATTTTGGAACGTCATCTTCGTCATCGTCTGGTCGATTGGAAGCTCAGAAACAAATGGTCTCCATGTTACAAAAACAGTTCGGAGAAGGTGGTATTATCATGTCCGCCTTGGACTTTGCATCTACCAGTCAACATATCATGGACTTTACTCCCATTCGTGCACTTAACACCCTATTTTCGCTGTTGAAAGCCACCATGCGAAATGTGCTCGAATACAACGCTCGACATGCCGATTTCCCTCTTTCACCAGAGAAAGTCGAATCGTATATCACTCGAAGACTTCTGCTCAATGTCGTCTGGGCTTTCTCTGGTGATGGTCGATTAGAATCACGAGCGGACCTTGGACAACATCTTCAACTCCAATCAGGTGTGGAAATGCCCCCTCTGACCATCGGAGGCTCACTGATCGATTTCGATGTCGACGTAGGTTCTGGTGCTTGGATATCATGGGAGTCAAGAGTACCCACTGTCGAAGTGGAAACTCACGCAATCACTGCTTCAGACATTGTTATACCCACCATCGATACCGTGCGACATGAAGAAGTCCTCTATAGCTGGTTAGCCGAACACAAACCATTGATCCTCTGTGGTCCACCTGGTTCCGGTAAGACCATGACACTATTCAGTGCGCTCCGTAAATTACCAGATCTCGAAGTGGTCGGACTCAATTTTTCAAGTGCCACCACACCTGAACTAGTGCTAAAGACATTTGAACAATATTGTGAATATCGAAAAACTCCCAATGGGGTCATACTCTCTCCTACTCAGATCGGACGTTGGTTGGTCGTCTTTTGCGATGAAATCAATCTTCCCTCGGTGGACAAATACGGAACTCAGAGAGTCATTTCGTTCCTCCGTCAACTCATTGAGAACAACGGTTTCTGGCGTACATCAGATTTGTCATGGGTAACCATGGAAAGGATTCAATTTGTTGGAGCTTGTAATCCTCCCACTGATCCAGGTCGTGTACCTCTCAGTCATAGATTCCTTCGACATGCACCTGTCGTGCTCGTTGACTACCCAGGTGAAACATCTCTCAAGCAAATCTATGGAACGTTCAACAGAGCACTTCTCAAGGTCATCCCTACCCTCCGAGGACACGCAGAAGCGCTCACGAGTGCGATGGTCGGTTTATATCGTGCTTCCCAAACTAGATTCACTGCCGATATTCAAGCACATTACATTTACAGTCCTCGTGAACTCACCCGATGGAGCAGAGGGATATTCGAAGCTATTAAGCCTCTCGAGACCCTTTCAGTCGAAGGACTCATCCGTGTTTGGGCTCATGAGGCTTTGCGCTTGTTCCAAGATAGACTTGTCTCTGAGGAAGAGAAGAAATGGACGGATGAAATGATAGATTCGACTGCCCGAGAACATTTCAACAATGTCGATCTCAAAGAGGCATTATCGAGACCAATTTTGTACTCGAACTGGACTTCAAGACATTATATCCCTGTGGACCGAGATCAACTTCGTGAATACACAAAGGCGCGCTTGCGAGTGTTTCACGAGGAAGAATTGGACGTTCCTCTTGTCCTTTTCAATGATGTTCTAGACCATGTCCTTCGTATCGATCGAGTGTTTAGGCAAATACAAGGTCATCTTCTTCTTATTGGTGTTAGTGGAGGAGGAAAAGTAAGTCCCGTTAATGAATATATGGTATATGCTGATGTGACAGACGACCTTGTCTCGTTTCGTGGCGTGGATGAACGGTCTGAGCATCTTCCAAATTAAAGTCTCCAACAAATACACTGGAGCTGATTTCGATGAAGATCTACGTACTGTCCTTCGTCGAGCAGGCTGCAAAGGGGAGAAAATATGTTTTATAATGGACGAATCCAACGTTCTCGATTCTGGTTTCCTCGAACGGATGAACACTCTTCTCGCCAATGCCGAAGTACCGGGATTGTTCGAAGGTGACGAACATGCTGCACTCATGACTGCCTGCAAAGAAGGTTCTCAGCGTGATGGCTTGATGCTCGACTCGCACGAAGAATTATATCGATGGTTCACCCAGCAAGTCGCCCGTAATTTACACGTCGTCTTCACTATGAATCCCCCCGCGAATGGCTTGGCTTCAAGAGCGGCAACGTCTCCGGCATTATTCAATCGATGTGTTTTGGATTGGTTTGGGGATTGGTCTGATCAGGCTTTATATCAAGTTGGATGGGAGTTTACACAAACGCTGGATCTAGATGTGGCATCGTATAACCCTCCAATCCCTTTCCCTGCGGTCTATAGGGAATTACCTCGGAACCCTTCGCATCGATCAGCTGTTGTCAACGCTATGGTCTTCGTACATCAGTCCATGCGAGCTATCACGTCACGACTGGCTAAGTCGCAAGGGAAATATAATCATATCACCCCTCGACATTTCCTTGATTTGTGAGTAATTCTTTTTTGACATACAGGCCCAAAATGGAGAATCTTTCTCAGTGATTCTACCCCCGAGTCCTTCCGATTACTGTACTACTTTCAAGTATGGTCGACGTATATGCTGATGAAGTAGTATCAACCATTATGTGAGGTTGTTCAACGAAAAGAAAGAAGAGCTGGAAGAACAGCAAAGACATTTGAATGTCGGTCTTGACAAACTACGCGACACAGTCAGTCAAGTGGAAGAGCTACGAACAAGTCTTGCGGCGAAATCAAAGCAACTCGAAGCAAAGAATGCCGAGGCCAACCTAAAATTGAGACAGATGGTTTCTGACCAACAAGAGGCCGAAGCTAAGAAAGCTGCTTCTATCGAAATACGCGCCGCGCTCGAACAGCAGGACGCTTATATCAAAGAGCGATCACAGATTGTCAAGGAAGATCTAGCACAAGCTGAGCCAGCGGTATTGGAAGCTCTCGCGGCGGTTGGTAATATCAAAAAACAACATTTGTCAGAAGTACGTTCGATGGCGAATCCACCTGAAGCTGTCAAATTGGCTATGGAATCTGCTTGTTCTGTCTTAGGTCACCAGATCGATAGTTGGAAAACTGTACAGAGTATCATCCGTCGTGATGATTTCATCTCGAGTATTCAGAATTTCGACACGAAGAAAATGTCCAAAGGTGTGCGAGACAGAATGATGCGAGATTATGTCAGCAAGCCCGCTTTCAACTACGAAACCGTCAACCGTGCTAGTCGAGCTTGTGGACCACTCGTCCAATGGGTCATCGCCCAAGTACGCTTCTCCGAGATTCTGGATAAAGTTGCTCCACTCCGTAATGAAGTGGCATCTTTGGAGAACCAGGCGGAGACGACCAAACAGCAAGCTAAAGTCGTCGAGGATACCGTAGCCGAGTTGGAAGCTAGCATCGCTAGATATAAAGAGGAGTATGCGTTGTTAATCAGTGAAACCCAAGCTATCAAATCAGAAATGGATCGCGTACAAACCAGGGTAGATCGATCAATGACTCTCCTTCAGAGTCTATCGTCGGAACAGCAACGGTGGGACAGTGGAAGCAAGACTTTCGAGGCTGAAATGAGCACCATCGTCGGTGATGTTCTTGTCTCGGCAGCCTTCTTGGCATATAGTGGTTTCTTCGATCAACGTTATCGTGATACTATGCGAACGGAATGGTCTGAACATCTTTCCGAAGCTGGTATAGCTTACAAATCCGATCTCGCCCTCGCGGAATTCTTGTCGACCGCAGATCAAAGACTCGGCTGGCAATCCAATGCTTTACCCGCCGATAGTCTTTGTGTCGAGAACGCTGTCATGCTCAAACGATATCAACGTTATCCTCTCATTGTCGATCCCACCGGCCAAGCTGCTACATTCCTGCAAAACGAATATCGGGAACGTAAGATGACAGTGACGAGTTTCCATGATGAATCATTCTTGAAGAACCTTGAGAGTGCATTACGTTTCGGTAACCCTTTGCTCATTCAAGATGTTGAGAACCTCGATCCGATCCTCAACTCTGTTCTCAATCGAGAATTACGTCGGACGGGTGGTAGAGTCCTCATACGTATCGGTAATCAAGATATTGACTTTTCTCCTTCCTTCACCATGTTCCTGTCTACTCGAGATCCTTCCGTGGATTTCCCTCCAGATATCTGTAGTAGAGTCACCTTTGTCAACTTTACCATGACGCGAAGTAGTCTACAAACACAAGCTCTGGATAAAGTCTTGCGTGCAGAGCGTCCGGAAATTGATCAGAAACGACAAGATCTAATGAAGCTTCAAGGCGAGTTCCGTTTACGTCTTCGTCATTTGGAGAAATCGCTCTTGCAGGCTTTGAACGAGTCGGAGGGGAGTATATTGGATGATGATAAGGTCATTGGAACTTTAGAGACTCTCAAAAAGGAAGCAGCGGAGATTGGGAGGAAAGTTGAAGATACGGAAACGGTCATGATGGAAGTAGATGCTGTCACTTCGGAATACCTTCCCTTGGCTCAAGCTTGTAGTGGGATATACTTTACCCTGGAGCAACTCGCTACGATCAACCATTTCTACCAGTTCTCCCTCGACTTCTTTTTGGAAATCTTCGACTCTGTGTTGTTGCAGAATCCAAACCTCAAGGGCGTATCGGATGCGGCCTCAAGAAGGGAAACCCTTTTCAAAGATCTCTTCCTTATGGCGTATAAACGAACGTCGAGGGCGTTGTTACATACCGATTATCTGGTTTTCACTGCTACTCTCGCCAAGCTCCGACTACGCGGGGAAGAACTTGCCGTGGTGTCAGATGAATTGGACGCTTTGCTGGATGTTCCCGCTGGAATCGACAGGACCTCTTTGAAATTGAGTGGGGAGCAACGTCGTGTGTTGGAAAGTCATCTCGGACTCAATGTGGTCAAAACGCTAGAAGAGGATCTGTCGGCAAATCCGAACGAATGGCATTCTTTCATTACCGATGCCAAACCTGAGAAGAACGTTCCTTGGCCGTGGGCACCTGCGAATGGTGAGTCCATATATTCCGATTCAAGCTCATGCTTAGGTATAACCACATCTGCTCGCAAGGTCATACTCATCAAGCTCTTCCGTCCAGACCGTCTTTTGCAGGCTTTGTCAATGTTCGTCGATCAAGCTTTCGATATCGATCTCGCCAGTCAGAGCGAAACTGAACTGCGGAAGATCGTCCTGGAAGAAATCACACCTTCTCATCCGGTCGCTTTGACCTCTGTACCAGGTTACGACGCAAGTTATCGTGTTGATAATCTGTGTAAAGTCGTCGGCGTATCTTGTACCCCAGTAGCCATGGGTTCCGTGGAAGGTTTCAGTCTTGCCGATCAGGCCATCGCCAATGCCGCACGTACAGGTTCATGGGTATTATTAAAGAATGTTCATCTATCTCCAGCATGGCTCAGTCAATTGGAAAAACGACTACATAGTCTTACTCCTCATCCTTCTTTCCGACTTTTCTTGACAATGGAGACGAGCCCGGTCATCCCAGTCAACATCTTACGACAATCGAGAATCATAATGAATGAACCTCCTCCCGGTGTCCGTGCCAATCTTCTAGACAGTCTGCAGTCTCTTCCGCAATCTCGACTTTCTTCTGGACCAGCTGAAAAACCTCGATTGTTCTTCCTCCTCGCATGGTTCCATGCTGTTGTACAAGAACGTTTACGATACCTTCCTCTTGGTTGGAGCAAGGCTTACGAGTTCAACGATTCTGATTTCGACGCTGCGTTGGGTACGATCGACACTTGGTTGGGATCTTTGGCAAAGGGAAAGGCTAATGTTGATCCGGCTCAAATACCTTGGATCGCCTTGCGAACTCTTATCAAACAGGCTGTATATGGAGGAAGGGTAGATTCGGATTTCGATCAGAGGATCGTTGATGCGTTTGTGGATCGGATCTTCAGTCCAAAGGCTTATGATGCTGATTTCATGTTGGTAGATCGGGCAGAGGGAGGATTGGCAGGACCTGAAGGAACACAGATACAGCAGTATATCAAATGGACGCAGGCGTTACCGGAGAGGGAACCACCTGCTTGGCTTGCGTTGCCTGGTTCGGCTGAAGGTTTGGTAGCTGTTGCAGAAGGTGAGTTGCATCGCACTTTGATCAGTCTTCTGGCCTATGACTCCCTCATCCTCATCGTAATGCCTTCGACATAATAATGCTTTTCAATGTTTTGGAGGGTGAGTCAGAGAACCAAAGCTGACTCGTAGGTGAGGGAGTTATGAACAAACTTCGAAAGATGCGTACTCTCGACGATGAAGATGATGGTTCATCCTCACCCACCTCCACCTTGGCAGGTAGACCAGGATGGATGACCACTCTCAAATCTCATGCACAAGAATGGCTTCAGAATTTACCTGAAACCCTTTCCACTCCGAGCGATAAGAATAGTCCATTGGCTAGATTATTCGTACGTGAAGCGGCAAGGGGAAAGAGTTTGTTAAGTCGGATCCGTCGTGATTTGAATGAATTGATTGGAGTCTGTGATGGAACTTTGAAACAGACAAACGAACTTCGTACTCTTATTTCGGATCTAAACACCGGTATGTTTCTACTCTTGCTTTCTTACGATGTCGCTGATGAGAAGGTACCGTACCAACTCACTGGAGGAAATTCAAGATGCCATCTGGAACACCTGTTCAGATTTTCGTATCTGATCTTCGAGCGAGGTTGCAACAACTGCAAAATATCGCTATTGGGGTTCAGAAAGGAGGTGTATGGTTGGGAGGTTTATTCCAGCCCGAAGCGTATATAACAGCTACTAGACAGACTGTGGCGCATGCGCAAGGATGGTCTTTGGAACAATTGGTCATGCGTTTGGAAGTGGAGGTGGAGGGTGGTGAGAATAGTTTTGCTGTTGAAGGTTAGTCGAATTCCCTCATCTCATATCGTGTCTTGATTTCATCTCTTGTCTCCTAAACTTATACACCGCATTCGTATATCGATCTCATCTCTTCTTCCCCTTTCTTCCAGACCCTTTGGAACAACTTGATATCACACTTTCTTCGCTCTTCCACTTCACTCTGACCCATTTTCATATCTCCAATCGGATCTCGGGTGCTCTGTTTCATTTCTCATCTTTCATGGTGTGAGCTAAAGCTGATTGTCAGGATTAAAACTCGAAGGTGCGGGATGGAAAGAAGGCAAGTTGACATTGAACGACGGAGAATCAACATCATTAGGGACATGTCAAATACGTTGGTATAAAATCAACACTCTACCGAATTTGGAGACAAGTGTCAACATACCTGTTTATCTCAACAAGGAGAGGAAAGACGTTTTGTTCTCTGTGGATTTATCCACCACTGGTTTATCTCAAGCTATCGTAGCTCAACAAGGAGTGTGCATAACGAATATTTGATAGAAATGATTATTTGATGAATACATTGTTTACGATTACATATGAAAATAATGTGCATCTTTACTCTTCTCTGCGTGTACAAAGTACTTGTATATGTACTCGTCATCGTACTTATCAAATAAACCCATTTCCACCTTTAAAAACCATACTTTTCCCTCTACTCAACTCTTCACCTAATTTCATACCTAACCAATCACATTCTTCCTCTACCCTTCTCCTCTTTTCTCCCAAAGGTGGGAATCGACCTACTAACAATCTATGAGCTATAGCATGATAACAACTCGCATCACGTAATAATAATATCCTCAATTCGATTATTGTACCTAATGGACCTTGAAGACGTAGAGGATCACGTGGAGCTTGAATCCTACGTTGTTGAATTGATCCGGGTAATGTCAAAGTGTAAGAAGATGAAGGAGAAGGGAATTTCGCTTGTTGAGTATATTGATTCCTAAAAGCTGCTCTACGTGGTGGAGGTGTTGGAGCTCTAGAATTTGGTGCTCTCGAAGATTGATATGTCGAATGATTATCCGTGGGTATTTGACGAGTAGAGATATGATTGTTGGTTTGAGATATATAAGTGGATGGTTTGGGATATGTGATGGAAGAAGGTAATGATGGGACTGGAGGAGGTGCTGGAGATGGAGGTGATACTTCTGTTGGAGAAGCAATGTAAAGTGATCGAAAATATTCGTCTCTATTTGAAATTTAGCATTTCTTACATTCTAACTTCACATTGCAATCATTAAAGCTGGTGAAGATCTCATTGACAAACAACTATCAAGTGAAAGGAATGAGGATCATCACTAGTGTATGTTTTACTCTTCTTTTTGAACGACCACCTCTTATGAGTTTCGTTCTTCATGATAGGGGAATGTAATTGGTAATTGAGATAAATGTGAAAAGCGATTAACTTGAGAATGTAGACGAAAAGATTTCATTTGAACTCACCTTAACAAAGCATCTAATTCATTTTCTTCTTCACTTTCCAATTCTGTATCCTCTGCACTACTTCCATCTGTCATACCAGGTTTTTCCTCTTCTTGATCATTCAACATCCCATCTATCCATTCGACCAAATAACCTCCACCTCTTCTGAGGATATCAAGAGGTATAACGACACTTTCGTTTTTTGGTGGTGAATCTAATGAATATGAAAAATCCATCATGATCAATATTTGGTTTTGTGTGTTTGGTGAAGGACGTGTTGATTTAGATGATAAAATAGCAGAAAAAGAATTTGGTGTACAAGGTAATGGTCCTCTAGGTGGTGGAAGTGGTTCACCTAAAGAAGTTAATCGTTTCGTATCTATCGTTCTACGTTTTTCTGATTTTTCAGTATATGTTTTTTCTCTTCTTAAATTCGTTTCTGTCCAATGATTATCATTTGTTAGATTATACATTTGAGTATAATCGTCTGATTTTGAGTTTGAGGAAATTGTTATCCCTCCCGTTTTGATATTCGAGGGAGAGAGATAATAAGGATTTGTTGAAGTTTGATGATGACCTGAAAATCGATTTGCTGAAGGAGTACTGGTTTCTGTTGTAGAAGTTGATTGGGTGAAACTTGTTAATGGTGTTGAAGGTGTAGGTAATGGTATTACTAAATGTTTTGGCATGTTTAAATCTTCTGAAGGTCTTCTAGATATCCTTCTTGTATCTTTTCCATATATATCTTGTGAATAAGAAGGATGAAAATCTAAAGAAGGTTTATGTGACATTCTTTTATCCATCACTTTTCCTCTTGAAGATAAAGATGGTTGACTAGGTCGGGTACGTAAAGGTGCCGTGGCGGGTACAGGGGGGACAGGGATGAAATCTAAGTTGGAATCAGGTATACTGGTTTGTAAATGAGCGGGAGAACGGGAAATGTTGGTTTGAACTTGTGTTGGAGCTCTAGAAAGTCTTCTAAGAGAAGGGAGAGGATTAAGACGAAGTGTACTGAAATTGGTAGAGTTGGAACTTTGGTTTTGGTTTTGAGGTTGGTTTTGAGAAAGACTTCGATTTTGGTTTTGCATTTGTGAAGCGATTTGAGAAGAAGGTAAATGATCTTTTCTCATTCCTCTTCTAGCTTCACTTGGGGTTCGTACCACTTGGGCTCCACCACCGAGGAAATTACCCTTTTTCTCCATGGATGGAGGGACAGCATTGGATGATGTGGAAGAAGTAGGAGTGTGGAAACCGGTTGAAGGGGAATGTTTAGGCAGAGGAGGTGGAGAATGGGAATGGGGGGAGAAGGTAAAGAATCTTCGTGGAGATTTAGGTTTAAGATCAGGAAGCATAGATGTGTTGAGAGATGACATTGTTGTTGACGGCATTTCTTGCGTATCCCACAGCTGAAAATTAAAG